GTTAATCACTTTGTTTATGTAACCATGGTAGATACTAGCTGCCATATACCACTTGCTTGGATTGAAAGTAACCCTGGCAAATAATAGCTTCAATATACTGCCTGGCTAGAGAATGTAATCCTGGTCAATAATAACTGACATATACCGCCTGGCTAGAGAGAATGTAACCTTGGCAATACTATCTGCAATATACTGCCTGGTTAGAGGGATTGTAACCCTGGTAAATACTAGCTACAATATACCGTTTGGCTAGAGAGAATGTAATCCTGGTAAATACTAGCCGTAATATACCGCTTGATTAGAGAGAATGTAACTCTGGCAAATACTAGCCACAATATACCACGCAGATATAAAGAATGTAATCCTGGCAAATACTAGCCACAATATACCGTTTGTAAATACTTGCTACAATATACCACTCAGATATAGAGAATGTAATGCTGGTAAATACTAGCTACAATATACCACTCAGATATAGAGAGTGTAACCCTGGCAAATACTAGCCACAATACACCACGCAGATATAAAGAATGTAATCCTGGTAAATACTAGCCGTAATATACCGTTTGGCTAGAGAGAATGTAATCCTGGTAAATACTAGCCGTAATATACCGCTTGATTAGAGAGAATGTTACTCTGGCAAATACTAGCCACAATATACCACGCAGATATAAAGAATGTAATCCTGGCAAATACTAGCCACAATATACCGTTTGGCTAGAGAGAATGTAATCCTGGTAAATACTTGCTACAATATACCACTCAGATATAGAGAATGTAATCCTGGTAAATACTAGCCGTAATATACCGCTTGGCTAGAGAGAATGTAACCTTGGCAAATACTAGCTACAATACACCACTTGGCTAGAGAGAATGTAATCCTGGTAAATACTAGCCACAATATACCGTTTGGCTAGAGAGAATGTAACCCTGGTAAATACTAGCCACAATGTACCACTCCGATAGAGAGAATGTAACCCTGGTAAATACTAGCCACAATGTACCACTCAGCTAGAGAGAATGTAACCCTGGTAAATACTAGCTACAATATACCACTCAGATAGAGAGAATGTAACCCTGGTAAATACTAGCCACAATACACCACTTGGCTAGAGAGAATGTAACCCTGGTAAATACTAGCTACAATATACCACTCAGATATAAAGAATGTAACCCTGGCAAATACTAGCCACAATACACCACTTGGCTAGAGAGAATGTAATCCTGGTAAATACTAGCTACAATACACCACTTGGCTAGAGAGAATGTAACCCCGGTAAATACTAGCTACAATATGCCGCTTGGCAAGAGAGAATGTAACCCTGGCAAATACTAGCTGCAATATTTCGCCTAGCTAGAGATAACATGACCCTGGTAAATAATAGCTGCAAGATATCGCTTGGCTTGAGAAAACTTCTGTTCAGCTCAATTGGTTGAACATCTAGTAAGCTAGGGGTCCTGCATTCGAATCCCAGCAGGGGCATTGAAATAAATAATTACCTCTGCTATGTTTGAAAAAATACATCTTCTTAATATTTCATCCTATATATTGATTTTAACATTTCCTTCTTTCTTATCAAAGTTCACTTTTGTGCATTAGGAAAGATATCATATCAATGCTAGCAAATGCTGATATTATTTACTGTATACATGTATAGTGCTGTATAATGTCTAATGGCATGCATGCATCTAGAAAGTTTGTTCTTTCCTATTCTTTATTGCATTTTAAGCAAAGAAAATTTATAACTATAATACAACAAGTCGCTTCTCAAATCAAATTCTGGTGTAGAAAATAAACACAGGACTATATCTCTGAATATACATAACAGTACACACAAAAGTACAGGTACTTTAGAACAAAACTGTTCCTATCCCATATGGTACTAATGCAAAAAAATGTTTGAAATCTATAAGACAGAGACAGCTTACCTAAAAGTCTGTAATAACCTTGCTATAAAGTTACAAGAATGTACTTATAACTGTAGAGTGACCAAATGGTAATAGAGGTTGATAAAAAGTGGGTGGTAAGTAAAAAGTGACAAAATGCATATAGAGGGTGTTAAAAAGTGACCAATGGTGAATAGAGGGTAAAAAAAAGTGACCAAAGGGTAAATAGAGGGTGATAAGAAGTGACCAATGGTAATAGAGGGTGATAAGAAGTGACCAATGGTAAATAGAAGGTGATAAGAAGTGACCAGTAGTAAATAGAGGGTGATAAGAAGTGACCAATGGTAAATAGAGGGTGATGAGAAGTGACCCAATGGTGAATAGAGGGTGATAAGAAGTGACCAATGGTGAATATAGGGTGATGAGAAGTGACCCAATGGTGAATAGAGGGTGATAAGAAGTGACCAATGGTGAATAGAGGGTGATGAGAAGTGACCCAATGGTGAATAGAGGGTGATAAGAAGTGACCAATGGTGAATAGAGGGTGAAAAGAAGTGACCAAAGGGTAAATAGAGGTGATAAGAAGTGACCAATAGTGAATAGAGGGTGAAAAGAAGTGACCAATGGTGAATAGAGGGTGAAAAGAAGTGACCAAAGGGTAAATAGAGGTGATAAGAAGTGACCAATGGAGGGTGAAAAGAAGTGACCAATGGTGAATAGAGGGTGAAAAGAAGTGACCAATGGTGAATAGAGGGTGAAAAGAAGTGACCAAAGGGTAAATAGAGGTGATAAGAAGTGACCAATGGTGAATAGAGGGTGAAAAGAAGTGACCAAAGGGTAAATAGAGGTGATAAGAAGTGACCAATGGTGAATAGAGGGTGAAAAGAAGTGACCAATGATGAATAGAGGGTGAAAAGAAGTGACCAAAGGGTAAATAGAGGATGATAAGAGGTGACCAAAGGGTAAATAGAGGGTGATAAGAAGTGACCAATGGTAAATAGAGGTGATAAGAAGTGACCAATGGTGAATAGAGGGTGATAAGAAGTGACCAATGGTAAATAGAGGGTGATAAGAAGTGACCAAATGGTAATAGAGGGTGATAAGAAGTGACCAAATGGTAATAGAGGATGATAAGAGGTGACCAATGGTGAATAGAGGGTGATAAGAAGTGACCAAAGGGTAAATAGAGGTGATAAGAAGTGACCAATGGTGAATAGAGGGTGAAAAGAAGTGACCAATGGTGAATAGAGGGTGATAAGAAGTGACCAAAGGGTAAATAGAGGGTGATAAGAAGTGACCAATGGTAAATAAAGAGTGATAAGAAGTGACCAATGGTAAATAGAGGGTGATAAGAAGTGACCCAATGGTAAATAGAGGTGATAAGAAGTGACCAATGGTGAATAGAGGGTGAAAAGAAGTGACCAATGGTGAATAGAGGGTGAAAAGAAGTGACCAATGGTGAATAGAGGGTGAAAAGAAGTGACCAAAGGGTAAATAGAGGTGATAAGAAGTGACCAATGGTGAATAGAGGGTGAAAAGAAGTGACCAAAGGGTAAATAAGGTGATAAGAAGTGACCAATGGTGAATAGAGGGTGATATGAGAAGTGAAAAGAAGACCAAAGGGTAAATAGAGGATGATAAGAGGTGACCAAAGGGTAAATAGAGGGTGATAAGAAGTGACCAATGGTAAATAGAGGTGATAAGAAGTGGGTGATAAGAAGTGACCAATGGTAAATAGAGGGGATGATGACCAAATGGTAATAGAGGGTGAGAAGTGACCAATGGTAATAGAATAGAGGGTGATAAGAAGTGACCAAATGGTAATAGAGGGTGATAAGAAGTGACCAAATGGTAATAGAGGGTGATAAGAAGTGACCAAATGGTAAATAGAGGGTGATGAGAAGTGACCAAATGGTAAATAGAGGGTGATAAGAAGTGACCAAAGGGTAAATAGAGGGTGATAAGAAGTGACCAATGGTAAATAAAGGGTGATAAGAAGTGACCAATGGTAAATAGAGGGTGATAAGAAGTGACCCAATGGTAATAGAGGATGATAAGAGGTGACCAATGGTGAATAGAGGGTGATAAGAAGTGACCAAATGGTAATAGAGGGTGATAAGAAGTGACCAAATGGTAATAGAGGGTGATATGAAGTGACCAAATGGTAAATAGAGGGTGATGAGAAGTGAACAAATGGTAATAGAGGGTGATAAGAAAAACTATATGAAGACAAGAAATCACCAGATTTTACTTAATAACACTTCTCCATTTGAATCTGCTAGCTCTCCACTGGCCACATGCAAAATGTGACAGTTGCTTATGAAAGAGTTGAAAAAAAACAAATTGCTCTATGCAAACAAAGTGATTATTTGAGTCATATTTTCATGTATACAGTGTACACATAATTCAAATGTCATTTAACATAATCTTTCAGTTAGGCCTCAAATAGCAGATATAAACGCATGGTGATCATTTTGATCGATAGTATCAGAACTCACATATTTGGTTTTCATTTTTTAGTCCTTATTGATCTTCAATTGTGTGAATAAATATATAGATTCCAATACACATAGGAAGACTGGTAAATGTGTTACAGTTATCAGTTACTGACTTGTTAAACTTTCATTTTGTAATAATTCTTGTAAGGAAGGGGAAAATTTCTTATAGATATTTTCACAAAGATTGTAAACATATATAGGGCAACCTATCATAGAGAGCTTAACCAACTTTCACCAATATTCCTATTAATATTGATTATTTTAGTCCAAATCATGCTGCACTTTTTCATTTTTAATCGCTACATTCCTCAAGAACAGTAATTTTTTATGATGTCTGTACGGAAACATAAAGTTCTTTGTGTTTAACGACCATTTCATATTGAAATAGAAGCAAAACTGTCACTGTAATATACCAATTAATTGGAAATTCATATTTCATACAAGTCTAGTTACTTTAGTTATCACAGTTATGTGTATTGACATGCGATACATAATTCATCTACGACACAGTGGGAAATTACCCTTTATGAACATTAAAAGCTGGTACATGACACGTTCCTGGCTTGTCAATAACAAATTAATCAATAGCACAGCCAGTTTTACACTGTTATCTACCTACCTGCTCCGTCAGACTGTGACAAAATCAGCAAACCAGCTCTGGCAAAATTCTAACTATCAGACCAACTCTGTCAAACATCCATGCTGTATTTTGTACTCAGTTGACACAGTCAGTGCTGGTGATTTGTCTTCAAAGACCTTGCATCAAGCAAAATACAGTACTTGCCATTGCTACTGGGAATATCTGCCTTTAAGACAATCAATTTTGATCCGATGTTACTGAAAATTCTGACAGTGAAATTAAAGCTGTACCATTATGTCCACGATCAATGAATCAAATCAATGGAATAGACCAGCTTTCTCACCAATATCACAAATTGTGTTATACGAACACTGCATTAATCTGTTATATAACAAGTACCTCACTGTATAAATCCGTGTACCACAACAGTGTGGGCATATACACATTAGATGATGAGCTCTGTACTGGTAAAGTCTATAGAAACACAAACATACAAAAGAGCTCTGATAGGTGAGGATTGTCCTACTGCTGCCTACCTGTGACTATTTACAGAGAACAGCCAGAAGGCCTCCTGTAACCATACAATCATAACTGTCTTCTCTCTACCCTATCACTCCGCTAGCATTCTGTTATATGGGACAGAGCATCTGTCAGCAGCAGCAGTATAGCACTCTCTATAATAGTGAGATCTATAACAACACCTAAACTGATGATCCTGACCTTTACTGAGAGCCGATATAATAATCACCCCCTGTAATCACATGCGCTGGAAAAGGGAGCCAGCTTCTGGATTGCAGTGACCATGAACTTTATTAGCAGTGTCGTCAACCTCTAATCATCTATTATCTGGTCACTGCTCTTTAAAATCAAGGGTGACAGGGTGTTTTAAAGAGATATTTAGAAAAGGATTTATAATCAAGCCTATGTTAAAGAAATCCTGATCAAAAATAACAAAAATACCAAGATTGTTGTATTTTCACAATTTCAGTAGGTTGTTCTATTGGCTAATACAGGTTGACCAGATGAAATCAGATGAGTTGGTAAAACTGTTTAATCAACTTACACAACGCATAGTTTTAACATTATATGATGACTGAAAGTTGTATTATTGTGTCATTTCAAAGGATGGCAGTAATTATTTTTATAAGAAATTGATTACATTTAAACCCATTTCCATCAATTACCTTTCTTACCCTTCAATGTATGTGCATACATGTGCAAAATGGTTCCTACGAGTCAGTCACATATCAAAATAACTATTAATTTGGGTTGGTGCTCTCCCCGATCAAATTCCCACCCCCAGTCCCAGCAGTAATTGAAAAATGAAAAAAGCATTAATTCTATAAATTCTTCTAAAATGAATGTCCCTTCTGCACTGCCCCTCCATCTCCAACCCCTCCCCCCCCACCCTCCATCTCCACCTTTCCCTCCCTTCACTGACAAAAAAAAAGAAAATGATATAAATTTTCCATGTTGTTTTTTTTCTATAATATGTAAACACTACAGTAATGTTGTGGTCATGTTTAAATATTACTATATGAAAAAGACACAAATGAGTTTTTTCGTTTTAAAAATTCCCTCAAACATAACATTTTTATACTCAAACAACATCTTTCTTTTCAAGGAAGAAAGTGAAAACTTATCTCATATTTTAAAGTACCTGTTTCAAGTTAACTATAAACTATAAACCGTAACTTTTGAAGTAAACATAACAATGCAGCTGTGATCCTTAAATCTTTACAATCTTTTCTCAAAATCATTTTGTCTCTAAAAAGTTCATCAAAAACACACAATTCCTACAATCTTTTCTGGTAGATGTTCATACTACAGTGTAAAACTCTAATGAGAAACCGAGCAAAATTTAAAACTTTCAAATCTAGCTTTTCAGCATCGTAAATTTTAAAGGTTTCTGGACTATAAAATATGATAGAACTTTTGTAAATAATGGATGTGTTAAGATGTCCACTGTGTGATCTATACCAAATTTGGTCATAACTGGATTTATACATTTAAAAAACAAACACAAAATTTTAAGTGACATCAATGCAAGGTAACACACTAGCCAACGATTTTTCATCACAGGTGAAAAACAAAAACCACAAATTCCCCCTTCTGGTTTCCTGACCCTTCAGATCAATGAGAGCTATTAACTTCATCTACACAAAATATATAATTGCCCTCATCTAAGGATGTTTCCATCAAATAAGGGGGAGTCTGCCAAGTTATAATAGAAGTATTTTAAAGCAAAATCACAATTTCCATCTTCAAATGCCACAATCCGATTTATACACATGGACTATCACCATCTTCATTTGAACACAGGATTATACAACAGACCAAATGAACAGTACCTTCAATACTAATTCATAATTAGATAGATTACCAGATATACAAAATAAATTCATCCTCCAGAACTCATCAGTGATACTAAGGGCCTAACTTTCCCAAACAGAAGAGGCGATTTTAGAAAAAAATGAAAATTTATCAAAATAACTGATAGAAACCATACTGGAAGATGTACTAACACCAAAATTTTAAAAATCAATAATTTTCAATATTGAATGAGGGACTGAAGTTTAAAAGCAAAATCTACCACTTGTAATCTCAAAGGATATTGTATATACATTGAATTTGATTAAAGACACACAAATTTAGACCTCTGCTAAGGATGTTTCAGACCTTTGGTTAAATTGGCTTATTTTATGAGGTGTCTTTGGAAGATTACATTTCAAAAGTAAAACCTTCAAATTCCTGTTTTCTGGCCATGCCTCTCTTGCTCATGCTTGGGAAGCCACCAACTTTGCTTTTACAGATATTTTTCTAAAATATATATTGTCATAAAAAAGAGGTGAATCAAGCTGTGCACCCTTATGAAGCCACTTGACAGGTAAACGACATTAATCTTCTAAGATGTCTTAATCTGTGTCCCACTGGAATATAATTCTTGTTAGTTGTCTACATTTACACTAAGGGTTGTCTGTCATATTTCTCTGCTGCCTTTAAAGGCAGACTTGAGCTTCACTTATATCAGCACACAAAAAGGGAACGTGAAAATGAGTAAAAATTTGATGTCATTTATGAACAAGCAATAGCTTCTTTAACAACTCTGTAAACATCTCGTCATTTATTATTGAAAATGGTTTTATGATTTGAACACAGTCCTTTTTTATTAACCTTTCATTTTCATATGATTGGAAACTTAAAATTCATTTTAAGCTCTATACTGTAATAATACAACACCTAAGCTATATAGATTTTAGCTTTTCTTGCACAATACTGGTTCTAAGGGACCTATGAGGTCCTGTAGAATCAAATAATTTAGCAGTATACATAGCTTACTATAACTGAAGAGCTAATGTTACATGTGTTATAGTGACCTTATATGTGGCCTGCATACTTTACATTGAAGTGTATATAAGTGTAATAGGAAAGAACAATTAAAAATATGTACCCTGCCACATATGGGGTTCCAACCAGCGACCTTTAGGCCTCAAATAGCTAGACATTCTACTGCTTGACTAAAGGGAATTCCCACTAGCTGAAGCAAGTAAGGGAACCTGTAGCTAGCAAGCTGTGCACTACTCCCTCTTTCCACCCTGAAGACAACAACAACAACAACCCAAGTTTGATATCTCTAAGAAAGCATCTCAATCTCCTACAACTTCTATACCCTTGGGTCCTTAAGACTAATATTGTAATATTAATGATTATATATATACATTTGAACATAATTCAATCAAGCTACAATAAAATAACCTGTCTTGGAAATATCTCTCAAAATTAAGAAATAACTTCTTTATCATCCTGTTTGACAAGTATTTATGCAAACACTTCACTCTTTTCAGATATAGCATGTTCCATATTAGCAGTTGAAAATGTAACAATTAAAAACTCTCTTTAATAGTTTGTCCGATCATGCCCATTGTTGTGAAAGCAGATCTATACTCGAATGAAAACATGTATTGTTTTCATACAACTAGGTTTATTCAATATCTTACAATTTATGGCAACACATAACGACCAAAAATCTCATGCTTTGTTCTAGACAAACCACATGTATATAATGTTTACAGCTTTAGGCTACTTTTCGCTGTTTTCCTGAAATACTTACCTTGCATGTGCACCGGTACACAGCTGTCTGCTATGTTTTGACATGTGTTCGTAAGTGGCGCCACCTTGTTGAAACAACACTTAACCACAAAATGCAACGCTGATGTTGATTGGTTCAAATTATTAAATGTAACAAATAAGAACCATCGTTGTAAAAATAGTACGGGGACTGATCATGTGATATACAAAATGGCAGACGTCTGAATGGACGAAACATTCTGATTTTTATTCTGTATTCGTATTTTCTGTTGATCTATCCCTTGTCATACAATTTTAAATCATGGTTAAAGTTTATAAGTGCCATAATTTCAAGTCTCAAAGTGTTGTTCCAGTTGACGGTGAACCGGTGGCTGTATTTTCATCCAAACAAAGAGTTTTTGTCGCAACTCAACAATGTGTTATCGAGGTATTTGTACTCGACGAACAAGATCCTTCTGGGTCAAAATATACAAAATCCAACTCGTTTTCGACGGAGGCACCGATTGAGCAGCTGTTGTATAATGAAGCAGGTACATTTATTCTACTTGTATATTCTATCATGCATGATGGAGCCGAGGCCTAATGTACATGTGTAGAAGTTGACAGTACTGTCCACTTACTAGCATCGGCTCGTAAATTTTTCCTTTCAGTCGAGTGTTAGAGAGCCCGGGTAGAGACCGAAGGGTCGCTAGTTCGAACACAAGCGATGGCAAAGTGTTTTTCATTGCTACTTCCTGTAACAGATTTTGTGCCATTGACCACTTCAAGTGTAGAAGATATAGGTGATATGCTTCGTTGGAGATATCGAACCTGGGTTGTTGTTGTCTCCGAGGTAAAAGATGTTATCAAAGAGAGAGTAGTGTAGAAGTTGAGAGTACAGGTCTCCTTACTAGCTCCAGCTAGTGGGAATTTCCATTTAGTCAAGCAGTAGAGTGTCCGGCTAGAAACTGAAGGGTCGCTAGTTTGACAGGGTGACAGGGTGTTTTTCCCCTTCCTATTACATTTGTACCCAGACAAAACCACAGACTTTAGTATAAGCCTTAAGGATAGGAAACAAGACCCAGTAGAGGATTCAAAGTCCTCTCTCAGTTATTTTTTTTATTATATAATAGCATATTTTTATTTAATTCACTATGATTTGTAGAGTGTAGACTGCAGTTAGTATGGACTTAGAACTGACCAGAGTCATTTTGTCATCCATTGAGAAGTAAGTCTCATTTCCGTAACAAAAATAATGCTTATAAGTTAAAATTGTGTATCATAAGTTACATTAGTCAAACAAAATTACTCTGCTTAATGTGTAACAAACAATTTTCTTTTTACTTCGCCCAGATTTTGGTATACAATTCATGGTGGTATTTCAGTTGTATTTTGTTTTTAAAATACCAAAAGTTGAATGAGTAATTTGAAATTTACTAAGTTTTTGATATAGCTACCACTGTTTATTTAGAAAAGATTGAAAAATTACATACTTTTTGAGTAAAAATGGCATATAAGCTTTACAAATATACACAATGTAGACAGTTTCCTTCTTTTATAGGGTGCAAAAATTTACCTGAAAACACCTTGGTGAAACCCCAAAATACCCCATACCTTAAATATCACCCAGTAAGTGGAAGATATATGTGAGAAAACAAATATGGCTCTGATTTATTGATTTTCCTGAACTTGCTGTTGACATTGGATGTTTGTCGACATGTTGGCCTATTGGAAGAGGAGTAACTCTAATAAGCGTACCATAATACTGCAAGGCTTCAGTATTGATATCTCTTGTATATATGAACATAGTAAAAGAAATGAGAATAAGAAAGAATCCAGTTGAATGTATTTACATTTATTTTGTAAAGAGCAATAAAATTGCATTAATTTTCAATATGGCTAATTCAACAATAACCATGCAGGATGAATATATGACAAATGCAACATTTACAAGATGTATATATCAAGTATATTGCTTGGTTTTATAAGTTAAGAATTACAGTGATACATTCACATCTATATTTCTGTCTAAATAACCAATGTCTGAATGGTGCCGTCGTGCAGTAATTGAGAGTGAAAATTATTTTGTTAAAACAGTTGTTATATACATAAGTTACAGAAAAAAAACTTTTTAGATTATATAATAGCATACCAGTCTAGATAATTACAAGGAAAAGACAGCAAAATAAAATGTAATTCACTATATAAAAAATACATATTATAGGTTTTAAAAAATGGTAATACAATGTTAATAATATACATGTGTCAGTCTGAATAATTATAACATACGGTAGAAGTTGTGAATGAAAATATATATTGATCAGTATATAAAGAATACACATAGCATGTTGAAAAGACTAATACAATGGTCTTAATATGAATATTTCAGTCACAAATGGCACCTTTAATTTTTCCATGACATGTTCCAGAGTGCAAAGAGTGAAAGTGATTGTAACCCCTGGAGTATTGAGAATGCAATATTTCTTGAATGTTTGAAAATAATGTACATGCATAGATGTTGGATAACTGACTTAGATATACATCTATGGTTGGATTATTATGTTTATTCATTTTTTTCTTTTTTTTCCCTTTCAGGATAACCATTTAACTATGATACTGTTTTTTGTATCATGGAGATTTTTTTTAATTTATCCATCTCATTTTGCTCACTTATGCAGATGCTATATATAAGGGGTATGGAGTAGTCCAAAGGCTTCTGTCCTTGTATATATATATCATATCTATAATTATCTTTCTGCAATTTTTTTTTCATTCATTTTTTTTCCAGTTTTAGTGACATGCATATGTGTTCAGTTGATATTTCACATCATTCAAATCCATGGATATATACAAGGCTCTCACACCCCATTTTAGGACTGGGGCCCGGGGCCCTTAGAATTGGGAAAACTTGGGTCTAAATTGGGAAAAAAAGATACTGTTTTGCATTGGGAATTCGGCCCCAAATCTGGCAGATCGAGAGCCCTGTCTTATAAATACCAAAGAACATCCTGAAAATTACCCTCAATCCCATTTTGATTGAATGAATTTTAATCTTATTTTCCAGTTTTCCAATAGACATAGAGATACTTATGACTTTGCTAAACATCACATAGTTGTATTGTTTTTCAAAGAAGTATATAAAGACATTTTTAGGTGACAGAATGTAATAGTGCAGCATTGGTTATGATATTTGGTTTTTATATCCATGCAAAATGACTGAAAATTGAATATATACTTAATTGTTATTATCACATGTAACATACCATAATAATATATAACAGTATGATATTATTGCTTCTCATTAAGGTGGATACGTTTCAACAATAGAATGTAAGGTTTCAAGGAGACAGACCTTTTATTCTGTAAAAATCTATCTGAATTGGAACGTGTGCACTGAAGATAATCGCCCAATAGCCCATGTTCGTCTAGCTGGTGGAAATCAAAGTGTGAAAAGATCTTCCATGGAATCTGATTGGATGGACGTAATTGACATTCCATGTAGACAAAATGTATCCAGCATATCAACTTGCAGCAAGACTGGTAACCTTGCTATTGCCTCAGAAGAAGTGATATTTCTATACCATCTTGTAGAGAAAACGGTGCCAAATTCTAACAATACATTTCTGGATGTTGTACTATTCCTTCAATTAGACTGGAGTTTTTCTGTGAATCAGGTCACTTTGTGCGAGAATTTCGTCGGAGTGTTATCAGAGAAAGAAATCCAAGTTGCACGAATTTTGTATTCAGATAAATCCTTTGGAAGGTTAGTCGACGAAGATGAGACTTGCAGAACATTTAGAAGTGTCAGTACAGAGACTTTTCGAATAGCAAACAAAAGGACTTCATCTTCAATCATATATCCTTCTTTTCTAAACGACAGAGATCCATCTATTGTCGGTCAGTTTTCCAATGTAGGATCCAGAAGTTCTTCAACCCCAAGTCCTGCTCTTTCAAACTCTTCTGTCACAAGGTCTGCAACAGATTCATATAGCTGTATTCTAGATGATGAAAACTTTGTTCAGTGGAAATTTGAAGAAAATGAGTTACCTAGAAATGAACTATCAGGTAAGTGTCATAGATTTATATGTACTGATGCCAGTAGTTGGTTGAAATAGTGCTTTCATTTTCCTGAATAATTTTGAAAGCAGATTTCATTTTCCATTTATTTGTACATTACCTGAAAATCTAGATCCATTCTGATTTTTGTTATTCAAATAAAAGTGCATTTCATTGATATCTCTGACTGTTAGAACATTGATTTTAAAAAGAAGGTTGGGTCAATTTTACAAAGGATGGTTGTTGTTCTTGCAGGCATTAAGAGAAGAGACATGTTCTGTGATAGCAAAACTGTTCATCTGAAGGGTCTCCAAGATTTACTGAGTAGAGACCTTCTATTGGCTGACCCACCAAAGATTAAAGATCTGAGGGGTAAGATTTGTGTTTTTATTTGCTGTGGCTTAAATGTTTCACAGTCAATTAAATTAACACTGTAATTTACAAAGTAGGTCACAGATATCGGATTGATTTATACTGCGCTCATTTTGTGTACTTCATATTTTGTTTAAATATTCTCAGAGGTTATATTTCATTGTACAAATATATAAATATTCAGAGAATGATCAGTTGTCCTGATGTCTGTTTGGAGAGGGTATTTAGTGAAATCAAATAATCAGCAAATATGATCAACTTGAAAGTATTCAATTTTAATACAAAATTAAAATATTTGAATACAAAAAACTCAGTCCATGCAAAATCAAACTGACAGATGCCAACTGAGTTCAACAGATATTAAGGCACTTTGTCATAGAGATATGCTAATTAATATAAGACTTTAAAATAAATTGGTTGTTTATTTGAAAGTAAATCACATTTTTGTCTTGTATTATTTTCTTTCTTGAGATCATAAGTTAATTTATACAAATATCACAATTTACAGTAGAACATTGAACATTTTAAGTATTGCAATAATTTTGATTTTTTTAACAGCTAGTCTATCAGGTAAGAGTATCATTGTGGTCTCAGTTGAATGTGGAATTCTTGGCTTGCGATCATATGTATCAAAAATGTGTTTACATGTGATAATTTTTTATGCTTTTATTTATTTATTTATTTTTGCTTTATATTTTGACTGTTTTGTTTTAGCTTGCTTAGTATAGTATACATGTCCATGCATGATATATTATACAGTTCTAAAATTAATTTTTAACAACTATTGCAAAACAAGTTTTTCCAACTTTTATTAATCACTCTTGTTCGCGTGGATAGAAGTGCACAAGGGGTCTTACTGTGGGAGGAACCAGTTTACCTGGAGAAAACCCATGTAGAGAGGCATGTTACCCCATACATTTTCACATCAATTCTGAGAATCGAACCCCAGACATCTGGGTGAAAGGCGAGTGCATTGCCATTGAACCACGTGTCCACAGTTCACTAGTAGACATGTGATATTAATGCATTATGGCTTTTTCTCTAACTTTAAGATATTTAAACACAACAGTCGACATTTTCAGTCATGTACATATGTTGTGGTATACAGGGACACAAATGTTGTGTGGTTCATGTCAGATCTGTCAAGTCAGTTTACATATTAATGTTGGTACATGCCTGGTAGTTGTTGTATTCCCCTAACGATGGCCGTATAGACATCTAAATCACAATAAAGAAGATAAATATTCTTGAATGTTGAGAAGCCTTCATTTCTTCATTTTACATGACAGTAGAAACATGTCCAACAAAGCCTATATATATCTGTTTTAAAGTCAGTTCTGCAGAAATACCAACAAACATTACAAAATATTGTTACTCAATCCTTATCAGATATATAATGGCACAGGCAGAAATGCCAATAAATATTTACATTATGCTATTTCATTGTCTAAAAGTTCTGTCCTTTTTAGAGATACTACGACCTAGGCTTATTGTTGAATAGATACAGCATATAGACTGCTCTATATATACAACAAATTGATCACAAAAAGATGTTTTGTGTTCACAGAAGATTTTTCCTCTCAATATAAGTGTAGACATTGTCACCCGCAGACAGTATATTCTGGTTACTTTTCATATTTTGACAACTGTTAACTCATTTGCAGAACCAAATACATATGTGCTTTATTCTGCATGTTTGCATGAATGCTTCTAGTCTACAATATATGCTGTGGATGTGTAAAAATTGCATGTTTTCTATAGTGTGTGTCTATCTGTTGTAACCAAATTTGCATATTTGTTTCATTACCATACAACTCAAAATTTTCTTACCTTTCATATTTTCAGTTTGATGCATGAATTATTGAATGCATTAATTTGCCTTATTTCGGTATGCAAAGAAATCGAAATAATAAAAAAAAAGATATTTTTAGAACTCTAGCTTTATAGTATAACAGTAAAGCACAGACTTAGATGTCTGTGGTTAAGTAATGTCCCGAACTTAAAAAAAATATTTTCATTGTTGAAATGGTATTTGAGTGCTCTCACAGAACGTGTTGAAACTACACTACTAGTCAAATTAACTTGTTTTGGTTGCTGCCTTTCTCATCAACAATTTATTGCTGCAATTTGTATTGAAGATCTGAGGAAGGAGGGTCAACCTATAGCACTAGAATTTAAAACAAATCAATACGTAGGATATTTTTTTATTATTTAGATGGTGACGGGAACATAAAAGGAAAATAAGCATTTTTGAAATAGATAATTATCCAACATGGTAAAGAGAACATAAATTGAACTACAGATGTTATAGCTCTGATGGAGAAGTTGCAGGAAAAAATTCTTAGAAGGTGTACTCAGAAAATTTTACAATATTAATATCGACATTTTTGATAAAAATGTACAACTATCAGAATTTGAATAAGAAATTAATCAGTTTTATAACATAGTTTATAAATGTCTGTTTAAATGTTTTCTCTGGGATTTTTTAATTCAGGAGGGGGTCACATGACCTTCGGGGAAGTGAAGGTTGAGACTGTCCTCTATAAACGTGTAGATGGGGGCTGGGGTCACATACAGTTGGTACCGACATACCTGGCAAGTAAGTGTGTACTTATAAATTAGCATATACAGATGGTACACAAACTCATATAAATTTTAATTTAGGTCTTTTAGGAAAATACACAAAGCCAATAATCTTGGATTATACAACTCTTAATGGAGGCTGATTAACTTTGATGATTATTTTAACTTGTCAACTGAGATTCTATCAAGTTATATTCCTCTTTGAAAGCTTTCCAGAAAATGAGTGATTTGGTATTGGAGACAAAACAGGATTGAATATCTTTTTGAATGATTTCCAGAAAATGAGAGGTTTGGTCTTGGAGACAGAACAGGAACAATTCCTGTCCACTCGTCCAGCTTCAGTAACCTAGTAGGCATGTCTGTGCTTGTCAGTGGGGACACTACAGGGTTCCTATACAGTCTGTGGCCTCATAGCTCTCTCCTGACAGAATACAAGTACACCATGCCTGCCAAACAGGTAACATGATGTAGTCAAACCACAGCTTCTAAATCCAAGTGTTTTTCTTTTTTCTTCACCTTAAGAGAAGAACTTCTGATAAAAGGATACTGCAGATGGATCAAGACTTGGTTGATAATAGTAGTTCTAAAACCACCTATGTACATCTGACAGTACAATTTTTTAATCAGATATTCTGGATTGAAATATAATTATTTTTCAATTCTTTTTTTTTGTATTTTTTTTCTTAAAACCATGACACCTTTTTTTTTTGGAACTTTTGGATAACAATTCAATGAAGTACTGAGTTGTATGGACCAGAACAAAATGAGAATCTGTTGGAGACTTACTCACTATATTAGACAAAGACAATATTAGATTGGTTATCCAGGTTATCAGTGTCTAGTAATATTAACGTGTTTGTGTTGTTAAAGATTTGGGCAGAAGGAGAGCTGATATACATTCTGACTGAAAATGGACTAGAAATTTATACCTGTAGGGCATCAGCTGCTGCTGTCTTCAGCATGGAAGATTACGCCTCACCTGTAAAGGTATGTATCTGATAGATTGTGTCTCACCTGTAAAAAGTAAGTACCTGGTAGGTTGTGTCTCACCTGTAAAAGTAATAACCTGATAGATTGTGTCTCACCTGAAAAAAGTATGTACCTGGTAGGTTGTGTCTCACCTGTAAAAAGTATGTACCTGGTAGGTTGTGTCTCACCTGTAAAAAGTATGTACCTGGTAGGTTGTGTCTCACCTGTAAAAATATTTTGTACCAGAGATAATGTGTTTCACCAGCAAAAGTTTGTTCCTGGTAGAATGTGTCTCATCTGTAAAAGTATGTATCTGGTAGAATGTGTCTCATCTGTAAAAGTATGTACCTGGTAGATTGTGTCTCATCTGTAAAAGTATGTACCTGGTAGAATGTGTCTCATCTGTAAAAGTATGTACCTGGTAGAATGTGTCTCATCTGTAAAAGTATGTACCTCGTAGATTGTGTCTCACCTGTAAAAGTAAGTACCTAGTAGATTGTGTCTCATCTGTAAAAGTAAGTACCTGGTAGATTGTGTCTCATCTGTAAAAGTATGTACCTGGTAGATTGTGTCTCACCAGTAAAAGTAAGTACCTGGTAGATTGTGTCTCACCAGTAAAAGTAAGTACCTGGTAGATTGTGTCTCAGCTGTAAATTTATGTACGTGATGATTTGTATATTGCCTGTAGGAGAGTGTAACTGGTAGGTTGTGTTTCAGCTGTAAAAATTGTGAAAGTATATTCAAGATAGATTGTTTTTTACCTGTAGAAGTATGTATGTGATAGAAGGTGCTTTTTAGTTGTTTTTTCTCCAAGAGACTTCCTATTGGGAAATGTAGTTGTCTCAAAACAAATGTCAGTGATTTAGCTAGCTGAAGGGGCAAGTTTCAGCTCCTCATGAACCATCTGTATAGAAGTACAGATATTGAATAGTTTTAACAAATGGTTTCTAGTCTTAGAGCTGCTTATCCTTTCAAGAGCGTAAATGTCATGATTTACAGCATTGAATTATATATCCAAGACTGATGGAAAGAGGAGAGCTAATTAAGGTTATTGATGTGGCCAAGGATCATGCTTTGTTGTCAATAAGTTCATCTAGTTCCTGAATTTTCCAAGTGATTATAGTTAGGTAGTAAAGAAAGAACATTGAAATTTTTTTTATACCAAGGCAAGAAATTGTTACTCCTGATATCTGTTAATTTTCTTGTCCCAGAACTGTACAGAAATCTTTCTGTGCTTTGACACTTCTTAATTTTTTTGTCTCTGAAATCTTTTCATTCTTTATACCTGTATGTTTTTTATGTCCCAGAAATATTACTGTGTGCTTTTATGTCAGTTTGTTTTAATATCTATGTTTAAGGTGTTTCCGTCTGTTAGACGAGACATATGCCTCTGTGGTATACATCCATTTATAGGCCCAAAGAAACTGACTGTTTCTGAGAATCATGTTATTCTCTTAGCGATGGTGGACAGCGGTGGGAGGTTAGTATGTGCTACATTGTATCTTTCACTCAAAAAGCTAGAAGTTTGACACATGACCTTTGATTTAAAGTTAGGAGATTGGCATATTAGAGAATATTTATGATATACAATATATCAGGATATATTTTTGCTGTTAATGTATTGCAAAAATCCATAAAATGTACCTTTTGCAATTTTTGCTTATTGAATTTTTGTGATTTCTTCATCTCAGAAATTTGAAAAGCCGCTTTTGAAGTATTTGCTTACCTGAGAATGGACATAGCTTATACATAAACACCAGTGTAGAGTCTAACTTCAACTGGAGATCTAAATAAGCAGTCATACTAGGGAAAAATGTGTTTTCATGATAGAAGTATTCAGAATTAGAAAGGGTTCAGGTGCATGTAGGTACCCCAAGTCTATATGCAGTACTCATGTGTTTACAATGAAAAAGGAAACATGCTCATTTCGCAATTTTGATATTTGCGATTTGGAAAGGGTCTATAAATTTGCAAAAATCAGATACAAAATTCTTGATATACAGTATTATATGTTTAGTATATAGAGTAATTCTGAGGCAAAAAAATCAAACTCATGCATTATCTTATAGAATTCCTTTGTAGATTGAACAAGGAAATATAAAAAATTAACTGACTTCATCAATGATATAACTGCTGTTGTTTTCCTCATTTCAGACAAGATGACAACCTCTGGAGTCTGTATGCCCTACAGAAATATTCCCATGGAGAGTTATATAAAGAAATGGTAAGCCATTCTGGAGGAGAGGTATTTTTAGAAATACAGTGAAACCTTGATATAACGTATTGCTGTTTGTCTCATTAGAGAAACAGAAGCGAAACTAAGATGATAGTTTTCTCACTTTCCTGTCATCCTAAAGTTTTTCTTCCCTTCTTTTTGGAAACCTGTTCTCTGTTTCTCAAAGCTTGGTGAGATTTAATTACCAAGGTATTGGTTAGTTAAACTTTTTTTCGTATCAGAAATAAACAAAATTAAGGACAATATTTCAAATTTTTATTTATAGATTTGTAGGCCAGAGGGTCAATTTTGTTTTGAAAGTCTTTGATTTTTCAGCGGCAACAATTTAAATTTTTCATTATTACTACTTACTAACTCTACACAAGCTTTGAGCAACTGGGTCAAGATTGAATTTTTTCTTATTCAGTTTACCAAATCAATTGAAATGTCATTTTTTGGTGGAAAGATTTTGATATCCAATATTTCAATTTGAGTTTTAAATATTTCTTATGAGCTTTATTTTACTATTGATGGTCTGTAAATGGTTTTAGTTCCTTCACATAGAGCTTTTGTATAATAATTATTGTCTTTTTCTTTTTGAAACAATATTAGATAGCATTTGGGTCACGTTATCAGCGGAAAAACCCAGATACATACCTGAGTCTGTTAGAGGAGGGTCACATGATACTGCGCAGTGCCACAGTTACAGGTGTCACAGGGGACTGCTCTAGTTCGTTAAACCCAGACTTACTTCTGGAGTCAGCAGCACTGCTGGGAGAGTTCTACTCCATGTAAGTTACAGAATCATATTGCTGATTGGCAGAGAATCATGGGAAAAAAAATTATGATTAATGATATAAAATCTTTTGCTTTCCAATATTTTTTTTCTTACCATCTGTTTGAGGTTCATTCTTCTGGAAAACCCCTGAACTGATTTCAATAAAACTTGGTAGAAACTTTTCAAGACCAAAGATAAACCAAAATGGTATATTATATGTCCCCCCCCCCCCCACCCCAGGGACCTGAGGGATGGGACCAATTGCAAAAAGGGTAAATTTGAAATTTGAAAAATTTTCTTCTCAATACCCAAATATGGTAGGTTCAAATACCCTTAATGGATGGAAAAGTCTTGAAGGTCATTACCCTGGCTGACCCCCAGGTACTGATGGGCATGTCCACAAAGGATGAAATTAACTGAATTTCTAAAAGCTTCACAATACCCAAATATAGTAGGTTTACAGGGTCTTCATGGATTAAAAGGTCTTACAGTTAAACTTTTCTGTCCCTGTACAAATAGCATTTCTCATCTTCTCTTCTCATTATAGATTCATGCCGATTGTTTCCATATATGAGTTCATTCAGGTGACCATTTAGGCCCCAGGACCTCTTGTATTGATAACCTACTCCAATTGATTTATAGTTCAATAACTGGTTTAATAATTTTATAAACTCAATAAGTTGATATTGAACTATATTTTTATTCTGTTTGGAAGGCCAAGGAATATGCAGTGGTATTTATGCTTGCCATACTACCTGATGTCTGGTCTTAGTCTGTTTGAAATAGTGCGACAAGCTCTCCAGTATAAACAGCACACAAAGAGTGTAAGTTTTCCAAAATAAACAACCCACCAAAACCACAGTTTTTTCTGTGTATAAAGCAAGTCAAAAGTTAGTTTTTTAGTGTAAACTGCACAACAGAACTTATTGATTAAAATTCTCAGTATGAAAACACACCAAAAGTTTTACATTTGTGCGCTTTACTTTTAAAAATCTATTCTTGATGTTAAGGTTGGGGGGTGGGAAGGGGGATGTTGCATGTGACTTCTTTTTTGCCCACAATTTAATTTCAGTAAGACAAGATTGTAAATGTTTTATTTCTGATGATGATGATGATGATGATGATGATGATGATGATGATGATGATGATGATGATGATGATGATGAAATGATGATATGTGAATGTTTGTGTGTGTGTGTTAATGTCCTGTGCCATGCACATGAACTGAAAAATGTCAAAAAATAAAAAAAAAAAAAAAATTAACACAGCCCTGGCAGTTAGTATCATTTTATTCCTGCACATTTCGTCATGATTTTATCTGTAGAATATGAAAAAAAAGTGTTTCTTAAATATCATGAAATTTAGGTGACTTATTTGTGTGGCTTCTTTTGGTTAGAGTTTGGTTTCATACTACATTTCCATCAAACATGAGCTGGGGACAAAAATCAGTTTCCTGACATTCCACAGTTTCATCTCGACTGTTATATTTACACCACACTTCACATCATTGTTACACACAGAAAGAGCATTCAATTTGTCACAAATGTTCTGTATGGTTTGATTGTATTATTTATATGGTAATTTGATTGTACAATGTACTGTAAGACATTTACAAAATGTTTAATTTCAGACTTCAGCATACTGTTACGGACAGGGCTTTCTGTATTACCTTAACTATGTCCTCTTTCAAGATGAGGAACCATTTCAGCTGAAAGAGGTAAGGCTATAATATTGTTAATGATAAACGCAACATTAATTAATAAGGAATAAAAGTTTCTATAATAACTTAGTTATCTCAAAGTCAGAGGAACAGTTGGAAAACTTGCACGATAATTCAATTTAAATGGTATAGAATGTTTAGTGTAAATTTTGACCAGGACAAACAAAATACTTTGAATTTCACAGGGTCTTCGAGATAAAGAGGTCTAGATAGGTTTGAATGTACATGTAGTATGTTAACTCAAATTTGGTTCAAAGATACCTCAAAAGTGACCAAAAAATAAAACTTTATTTTTTATTTTTCCAAAAATATCTTTACCAAAGTAAAAAGAAACGAAGAATAGAAATAAGGTTAAAAACCTAAAAATATCACCTTTGCAAGGAATATTCAATAATGTTTGAAAAGTGAACGGGCTGGGGATGGAATTACATGTGACCTCCGTAGGTTTGATACACAACAAAGATAAAGTATTTTGTTGTATATTCCACTGATATGGTACCAGTTATTAAGTACTTTGTCTGTAGGAAGAAGGTGATATGGTGTTAGAAGTGTGTGCTGAAGCCATGCCTGACAAACTGTCCAGAATTATCCTCTTCTCTCGTCTTCAGACCTATACTCAAGGTACAGTATACACAACAAATTTCTCCGTGTTCTGCTTCGTGCTACCATTTCTCATCGTTCTTATAAAAGAAATTGTTTTGCTCTTTGCAAAATTGCTAAGTGTTTCAAATAATTAGGAAATTTTCTTGTGACGTCCAACACTAGAAGTCATCGATTCACTTTTTTCCTTAAGTATCAAGCTACATACCACTTTATTTATAGTGTAGCTGCTCAAATGTTGTAGTGCAAACAGTTGATAAATTCAATGCACTATAGCTTTGTCTCTGACCTATTCTCACCAGTTTCCAATTTTAACAATTTTTACCAGACATTTTAGACACAAAATAATTTGCGTACCTAATTAGTGAGAAATAGTACTTGGGAACTAACCTCTGAATATGTGATTCATGTGAATTCAAATGTTTAGTGTGAAATTTGGACCAACAGAATACTTCCAACTAAACAGGATCTTTGAGGTTTTACAGGTTTAGGATAACAAGGATCAAATGTAATGGATTCTCATTATCGCCATTTTCTTTAGTGTGGTGTATTGTTTATAGTTTCTTTTCGAACGAAGGAATTTTCCAAATTTTTTAAAAAATAACAGTATTGTTACAGTTCATTCAGTTTTGTTGTAGAAAAGACGCTGAATCTCCTAAAGCATGCCTTACAACAGAAATATAAACCAGACGAGGCCAAGAGGTAGGTCTCAGATTGTCTATACTTGATAAAAATTACAAATTTTTGTTTTGAAACAATTTATATAAGGAACAAGTCAGTTTGTAAATGGAAATTTTTTCTTTAAAACCTGTCAAAATGTAATTTTTTTAGTTATGTGATAAAAAGATATGATACATTTTTTTTCATGTTTTTATGAGATTCTATAAAACTACAATTGCAATCATAATTTTTGCTCACCAAAGACTTGTTTCATAAAATCTCATGTGAAACTCATTTTAGATATACATCTTTTGATAAGCCCAGGGGATAGAAAGTTACACTTAATTAGACTCTAAGTAAGGAGGCTGGCTTGCTCTATAGCTAAGAGGTAGAGATGTATCATGTGTTGGATAATTTGGTTATTATACAGTACATAGGAGTGGTTACTGCTGGAAAAACATCCTTAGGAACTCTTTAATTTTGAAAGCAAAAAGATTAATTTTCAAATATAATTAAGGAATATTAACAGTTTACCAAGTTATCAAAAACGGAAAAATATTTTCATATTAAGTGAAGTAAATTACCTTTTTTTTCTTTTTTTTTTTTAAATTTAATTTCAATGAAAGCTTAATTATATTTTTAGTGGCACAGACATGCTAGCTCTTTCCTTGCTACACCTGAAGTCATGTGACCCTGAGTCAGCCCGACTAGCATTGGCAGCTGTCAGTCAGGTAAATGTGACAGATTCTGGAAATTGTTTATTTATTGATAAATAGGCCAGTTTAAAGCACATATTTAAGTAGATTGGATTGTTTCGTAAATTTAAGGTAAAGTTACTTTCACATTTACAGATATATGCAGAAAAAACTTTGTAACATGACCAGACAAGACCATCCTCGATACTGCAGGGGGTTACGCTCGGTATCGCTCTCTGCACCTCTGGAACATTTCATGGGAAATTTGAAGGCACAAGCAAAGTAATTTGATTGGTCTAGAGCAGATTTTGGGGGAAAAAACATCTTCATCTTGGCCACAAGATATCAAACTTTAAATTTTGCCATGGTATGTTCCAGAGATGCAGAGAAGGATAGTAAGCGTAACCCCAATAGTATTGAGGACCGAAACGTATACCATCAAACACAATTTTGATTTCATTGGAATCATTAATACTTCTAGTAGGTATACTACATTGCTGTAAAGCCTGCATCATCCAAACAGGTCTGTGTTTCCTCTGATGAGCACCTTTTTCTTTCTGTCACTTAGCAAAATACAGCTGTGTTCCATTACTGCGGAAAACAGCAAAAATATATTTCACAGGTCTATTCCGACAATGGCAGTACAAGTTGTAGGAATCAGCCATTATCCTTCAACCTCGCCAAAATACAGCTCATATTTTAAGACACATATTCTCTGTGTATGTGTTGGTTTTACATTTATTATTTACTTATAAGTAGAGTTTAAACCAACTTTGAAAGTGATGCTTGACGATCACTTATACAAGTACTATTTCTCCACCAGATGGAGCTGAGACAGTTTTGTGTGGACCATCACCAACTGTTACATGAAGATTTCCAACAGTTGTCTCCCCTCTCACAGGTTAGTATGTTATATGTATAGTGATCGTTCACATTTAGTGTGTTGGTTACTGGTAAGTGCAGTGACTCTATAAACAATTCAATTCTATATAGGTTAGGATATTTTGTAAGAGATGCACATTAACTATCTGCTGTTTTATAGAGCAACATATTTTGTTACAGGACTGAACATTAATGACCTTCCCTTTCTCATTGTATTATGTTAGAAATCACATCAATTATCTCACCTTCAACTGGTCGGTGTATGCTGTTAGAGTTGTACATTAATTATCTCCCCTTTAATTGGTCAGTCTATTATGTTATGGGTACACACAGATTATCTCCCCTTCTACTGGTCAGTGTATTATGTTATGGGTACACACTAATTATCTCCCCTTTTACTGGTCTGATCAGTGTGTTATGTTATGGGTACACATTGATGATCTCCCCTTTTACTGGTCTGATCAGTGTATTATGTTATGGGTACACACTGATTATCTCCCCTGTAATTGGTCAGTCTATTTTGTTATGGGTACACACTGATTATCTCCCCTTTTACTGATCAGTGTGTTATGTTATGGGTACACACTGATTATCTCCCCTTCTACTGGTCAGTGTGTTAAGTTATGGGTACACACTGATTATCTCCCCTTCTACTGGTCAGTGTGTTATGTTATGGGTACACACTGATTATCTCCCCTTCTACTGGTCAGTGTATTATGTTATGGGTACACACTGATTATCTCCCCTTCTACTGGTCAGTGTATTATGTTATGGGTACACACTGATTATCTCCCCTTTTACTGGTCTGATCAGTGTATTATGTTATGGGTACACACTGATTATCTCCCCTTCTACTGGTCAGTGTGTTATGTTATGGGCGTACATTAATTATCTCCACATTTTAATTTTACAGCTTGTTTCAAAGCTTTTATCAACTTGTTAATTTACTGTTTGTGTAACAATGAGCCAAATTGAGGCTAAAAACTGACTCTTTGATAGAGGATCACTTTAATAGGGTTTTTTTTCTGCCATTGGCTGCAGTGTGGAAACTGCATCCCACTATTGTAGTGGATTTTAAATTCCTCTGTTCAGTCTGCAATAACATATGTGATGTGTTAGATTTTTTGTGATTGTCTCGTGTATGATATATTGAGTCATTTTTTTAATTTGTGAATAAATATGTTTTTTTTTTTATGAAAGCTGATGCGACGACACTGCCCTGAGGTACTTATACAGTGTCTGATAGCACTTCATGATATCGGTACCATCCCTCTGGACTTGGCCATCAAACTTCTACAGGTAATTTTGTTGTCTCTATGTAGTCCTTATCATTATGTGTGAAAGATTAGACAAAAGTCATTATCCTTCTGAATATACATACTTATAATTAAATTCAGCAACAAACGAAACATTTATCAAAGCACAGATTGTAATTTTACTTAAAATTTGTAACAAATGGGCTGATCTTACAGGTGCCATGTGGATATGATGAAATCTATCAGAATGCCCACCTGAAGGAGTACCTGGAACTGCTCATTGATGGTAAGTCAGATTCAATGTCATTGTCTAGTACATACAGGTTAAAATCATTATCTCATACTCTAAGGGACCATGGGTAAACTTTGTGATAATAGAGTATTCAATTTAAGTGATTTGGAATGTTTTGTGTAATGTTAGGCAGGGACCAATGAAATGCTTCAAATAAGACAGGGTCTTTAAGTAATATGAGAAGGAGACACAACTGTATATCACCGAATCCTTGATTTTGCTCTGATTGTATTTTATCACTAATCTCAACTGATGGAATAATTGATTATTATATTTCATAATCATTTGTCAATCTATCTTCATTTTATTTTTTTTTGTGCTTTTGCAAAGTCGAGTTCCATATTATCTGCATAAGGCGACAGTAGTCAAACACTTTGCTTTTATATCAATTTGAGTTAACCAAGGCAAAAACATTTCAAAAAAGAAAAGATGACGGCAGTGTAGAGGCTGTTCTGTTACTGTGACATTTAAAAGCTCTGCTAATTTCAATACACATCGTCACATGTAGTATGGAAACCATATCATTCTGCTGTTTAACCAGACCAGTTTAGTTACTTATTTGCACCTTGTCATTTTGAATCAAATCAGTAGACCTATATAGAGTTGGATGTGGACAATGGCATAGGTTGGTGTCACCCTGAATAACTGGTATATATATATATATATGACCACTGACTCTGTTTCATACAACACGCAGTTTATTCTGTTATTCTGTAAAATTCTGAAATTTTTCATTTCAGATGAACAAAGAAAGTATGTCTTTGAAGATGCTGTGGTAAGTAGCAGTTTAGTATACAGTAAAATTTGTTGGAAAGGAACATGCATACAGAGATAGATATTGAATATTCTACATGTGAAACAAAGCTAGCTGTGTGACTTTTAGATGGTCGCACTACAGAAACAACATATAGTACTAACAAATTATAATATTTTACAGCTGTATTTACTTTGAACAGCTTGATGAGATAATTTTTTGCATTTTTATCTTCTGAAGTAATTTTGAAAATGTAACAGTAATATTTAAATGCCTTCATTAGTATTCAAACCTGGGACCTCTGTGTTACTAGTTTTACGCTAAACTCATCAACCTGAAGAAAAGTTCTCTGTATTCGATCGGTATAATGCAGATAGTTTTAACCAGGGTTATAAAAGAGTAAGTAGTGACCTATAGAGATGGACTGGACACTCATTCTTTGTTACAGCCATTGGTTTTATTGACCAGATGTCCTTAAGATACATTTGCTTGTCAGGTCCCATATCAGTATGTTATACCTATTCCTAGATGTTTTATAAAAGGTTATACAAATGTTAGTCACATCAATATGGTGAGTTTGTGTCTTAAGGGATAGTGGACATACCCAAGTTTCAGGGTGATGTGTTTTAATAAACTTCATTGTTTAACGTATAGTAAACAAACTTGGATTTCAGGGTGCTGTGTTTTAATAAACTTCGTTATTTAACGTATAGTAAACAAACTTGGATTTCAGGGTGCTGTGTTTTGATAAACTTAATTTTTTAAGGGATAGTGAACATACTTGAGTTTCAGGGGGCTAAGGTCAAGGTCACTGTTACTATCTATAGAAATTAATCAAGCAATGATAGTAATTTGCATGGAAGCATCAGTCACTCTTGTATTATAGACATTTTATAGTTTAAAATATATTGATAGGAAGTTGATAGGAAGTTCCCACTGTTTTTAATTACAGGTACTTCTATGTGAGATCTACATCAAATGTCTGCTCAAGTGGCGACCTCCAGGTGCATCTCTACCAGTCACCTTAGCCAGCTCAGCTATATGTCATCTGGTCAGTATAATCCATATATAGAATCTGTTCCCAGTATTTACTTAGTGTTTGCTTCATTGTGTGACACATATAACATAAATAAAACAATACTTAATGTAAGGAATTAACCTGGGATACAACCTTTCTTTTTTTTACAATATTTACAAAATAGCTAATTATACATGTATAAAGCACTTTTGTGGACGTCGATGTTACATGAGTCCATTCAGAACCTAGATTAATTTTCTCTTTATGTATTGAAATTTTTAACTTTATTGTGTTTTAGCCAAAAGGAGATGGTCATTTTGGTCAGCGATATGTATGGCTTGACCACATACCCCCTCTGCAGGGTTCAAAGTCCATAAGACAACCATGTCAATACACTATTACAACCAATCCGACCTCTGCCCGTCGCTCCGGAGATACGCCTTGTACTCTGGTCAAGGCCAATGTCTCCTGTTCCTGCTTCAGGTGTCGTGAGGTTTTGCTCAAACTACAGGTGTGTGAGATTAGTTACAGGTGTATACATGTATATAAGTAAAGTATGTCTACAAGTTACAAATAAAATACATGGATGAATATTTGTCATATTACAAGTGTGTATGTTTGTTCTCAGATTACAAGTGTGTGTATATGTATTTGTACATAATATATACACTGCCTTCTTTATTTGCAGTCTATACTTTGTTCTCCCTTCACGACCTTGACCTTAGTTGAGAAGGTTGTGACCTTGCTAGAGGAAGGGATACAGGGCTATGATTCCCTATGGGTTCTGTGTATGCTGAAAAAGGATCCAGATAGGGCCACAGAAATTATGATGGAAAAGTACCCAGCCTTACTTACAGACTACAGTGTCTCCATAATGCAGAGAGACTTTGTTAAGGTATGAAAGGGGTAACTGTAAAAAATAATTTTTTGTTATGGTTCCAGCATAAAAGAAGGGAGTGAACTCTTATTAACTGTATCCCTTTATCATGTATGTTTGATTTATCACCCAGTAAACAGCCATGGACATTTAGATGGGACCGTCTTATTAACTGGTGGCTACCTCATTGAACAGCTAAACCTAAAGTTACTTCCCCAAGGGTACCACCATGATGGCCATTACATAGCAAGATTTTAATCAGCTTTATATTTAAATTTAATTTTATATAAATCTGCACTGACTTTTCATGCATTGTGGGGTAGGACGGTGGGGAAGGGGAGGTGGAGGAGCATACATTGTTACCTTCCATGTCTGTCCTGTCACCTGGCGTCTCAAGGAAGCAGAGAAAAGTGGTCTTTACTGAAAAGTGTTTCTTATAGAGAGATATTTTCTTACATAATTGGCCTCTATAGAAAGGTATGTATTACATGCAGATGACCTTTATAGAAAGGTATGTATTACATGACTTTTATAGAGAGGTATGTATTACATGACCTTTATAGAAAGGTATGTATTACATGGCCTTTATAGAGAGGTATGTATTACATGGCCTTTATAGAGAGGTATGCATTACATGCAGATGACCTTTATAGAGAGATATGTATTACATGGCCTTTATAGAGAGGTATGTATTACATGGCCTTTATAGAGAGGTATGTATTACACACAGATGACCTTTATATAGAGGTATGTACATGCAGATGACCTATATAGAGTTTTATAGCAATTTTCATAAGTATACAATTAAGAAAAAAGTGAGAGAATAACAATGTGTCTGACCCTGTTTTGTATATTTAAGTCTCAAAAATATCATGATTCCCTTGGTTCATGTATTTTTATGTATTTCAGTGGAGAGGTTTTCTAGATATGCTGATGGAGAAATTACAACTACAGACTGAGAAGCCCGACCACAGAGAACCAATGTATTTAGAAGGTGTCAAAGGTCAGTATTTGATACTTTACATAGTTGTTACTACTTAATAACAAAATCTTGATGATAACAGAAAAGGTATTTTTTTAAAGAAACGTTACAGCTGGAGAAAAAATAAGAAATGACATTTTCGTTTAAAATACAATATCAATATTTGTTTAACATAGATAAAACAGGATTATGTAAACAGATCAAATGAAAAAAAATATATATATGTTTATTTGTTGTGTCCTAAGCTATGAAAGAAAAAATTCATTTGCATTTGCGCATTTGACTAGGAGAAGAAAAATTTTTAAAAAGTTAGAATTCTAAAGAACAACATTGTTGTCATTTCTGTTGAATATTGAACAGGCATGAGTGGGCTTATTTACACAGCTATGATCTACCATTTCATTTTTTTTTGGACAGGTGTGTTCTCATGGTTGGCAGATGTGATGGAACCACCAGATTTCCTTAATCTGTTGCCTGGCAAAGGAAATGTTATGTTTTTTCTGCCTTTCATAGGAACCTGTTACAAGAAACAGCAATCTCGCAAGCTTCTGTCCAATATTGTTACTAAAGGAGAACATCTGAAGAAAATTGCGTCATAGTGTTCTGAATTTAGTGACTGAATTAAAAAAGGATTACTATAGTTAGGATCTTGACATCAAAAACAAAATAGTTGAGGTTCAACACATAGTAAACATTCAATTTTATCACAATAACTTTTGTTGTCCTAGGCATTTTATTGGAGGAATGGTAACATATAGTGTTTCCCACAACTGTCCGTTCATCACATTGTGCCACTTCCCATTCCAAATCAGTATTATATCATCACATTTACACCATAGTATCAGCCGTCAGCTCTGGGTTGTGGGTTGGAGACCTAAGTGGGGCAGCCCCGACGTACTGGCTGCAGGTCGGTGGTATTACTCGGGGAATTCCAACTTTCCTCCACCACCGAAACCTGGCTATTAATAGGACGTAAAGCGATAACAAAAACCTTATAAAACATTATTAGAAAAAAAAATTTCATTAGGTATGGTTATTGGGGCAAAGGATGCTTTTGAAAGCTATTGCAATTTGATCAAACTTTAATACTCCTATGTACATGACATATGCACAGATACATCCATGTCTTATAGACATTTCCTGTATGTATGGCGCTACCTACTTGCAATATTTTTTGTATAGTTTTACATGTAGAAAACTACTTACTAATCTATGTTCAAACATCGTAAAATTTGTGTTTCTTTTTCTTCACAAATTACAATTACCAGGGTTTTTACAATTTTTATTAAGTCAGCAGAAAGGAAAGAGCTGTCCAATCCTGTCCGGTCCCAAGCTGCCCGTCCCAAATATATGTCATCAGGTTTCAAGGTCAAGGTTACTGTTACTATCTATCAAAATCTGTGATGCGTTGCTACATATATGTATGGACCTCGGGGCAACCATGTCGTACAAAGATGATCTTGTTTTCAATATTTTTGAAGTTTTGTGTTTTTTCCTTAAACTACGTAGAACCTAGAGTTTATCCGATTTTGTTTGGTGAAACTGTTCACTTTGAGTTAAAAGAGTTTACAATATTTTGAGATATATTTCTATCATAATAGTTGAGTGTTATTCAACTTGAGTTGTCATTACAACTGTTGTATAAACAAACATTTATACCACACGTGAAGTCTACTCTAAGCACATTATAACTGGCTGACACTTTTAAACATTGACTTGAAGGGTGCCTCACACATTCAAGGAAAGTAAATCACACAGGAGCTGTTTACTATTGTTTTTGTAAAAATTTATTTTCTTTTAGAGATTTCTACCAATCTATTGCTTTGAAGAAAATAAATGTTTCTTGTGATGATTTGTAATGAATTATAATATTCCCACATTTTTTCTCAAATTCTGAAATGATTACCTTTGAATATTGATTAATGATATTATACTAGGGGTATATCATTATGCCCCATCAACAAAACAAACATTGGTAAACAACAGGTCAATTTATTTTTGGAATAGCTTTTTTATTGTGGTAGAAATATAAAATCTCGTGGTTGTTGTACCTGGTATTTCTTCAACTTTCCTCTGTAAATTTTCAAAATTATTCGGTAAACCTATAATATTTTCTGTAACATTAAAATTTGAGTGGAAAAAATACCAGATACAGTTAAACCACGGTATCGAAAACTTAGAGATAGCTGAGTATTTAATTTTATTTGTTTTGTGTTGGCCAGGAACTGGCGAAATAATTCAAATTAAACAGGATCTTGGAGGTTAACAAGTCTGAGATAATGAGATTTAAATGTACCACCATCATTCATTGTGTGACGTATTTATCAGAGCATAATGTGTACACTGTAATTGTTTTAAATTCCATGTGAACAAAACAATTACTTATATACTGTGATATAAATATATATATATGATGAGATATATTTGAAGATTTTGTGCAATAAGATTTAAAATATACTTTATCTATATTCATGTTGTTAGATATCTATATTTGTATAAAAATGAATAAGAGATGTAAGATGTGTTGTTTGACTGATATTTTTAAACATCAAATTATAACATAAGGAAAAATGATTATCTTTTCGAGGGGGTTTATTTTCATCAACTTAATGACTAGTTGGTTGGTTGGTTGACTGGTTTTTGTCTCCCCGACTCCTCCCAGGTTTGGGTATCGTCTCACTGACGAACGTTAGTGTTCTGGCGACGTGAAGGGGTGACCTGCATCCTCCTTAGTGGGATGGAATCGTCTAGCCTACCTAACTCTAGCAGTTGAAACATGTCCGTAAGCTGAAATGAAGGGTTGGGGCCTATCTAGATTTGGTGTGTGTTAGGGTAAAATTGAAGTCTGTCTAATATCTTAAAAGTAACTGTATAGTCTGACACTATCCTGAGATCCCTGGTCTGGCGTTATCATGTTTACTCTCTCTAACGAAAAGTCTCTGGGGGATTTTAATGACTAAGAATGATCGACTAATTATGTCCAGGAAGTGATGTACAGTTAACAACTGACATTATTATCATACCCACCACCGAACAAAGTTAGTAGTAAGGGGATACTGGAATCGGGTTGTCTGTCTGTAGATACAACAATGTACCAGCTACTCCTCCTAAACTACTGAATTGATTTCAACAATACTTACTGGCTATATACCTTATATATTATGGATTTGCTTAATGTAGCAGGTTGAGTTACCTCCCCTTTTTGGAAAGTTATGCCCCTTTGGGAACTGTTGGCAATGATGGTGAGGGAAGGGAGGGAGGGGTTATGAGTTGGACCGTGGACAACAGTTCTAGTTTCTTGTACTAGTGGAGTATCGTGGTTATTACCTCTTCATGAAATAAATTGCAGACAACTTAATTGTGATTTGGCAATGTGGGACTACATTTTCTCTGAAGTTCGATAGTCTACTACTCATAAATGGTTGAACTATTCCCACCAATAGCTTCAGGTTTTCATTGTGGTATTCTGACTTCCTGGAGACAACGATGTGGTCTTATACATGTAGATGATGGTGTTTTAAGTTCCAGTATTTGCAGTTATTAAGTTTTTACCTTTATGATATCCAAAGATAAAATATGATTTTCAAGTCTGCAATTTGCCTCTGATACTGTTATGTAAATAAGTAATGTTTCTTACACAGACAGTTTTCTGTTTTTTGAAGAAATATACCCATTCATTCCTGTGTGATGAATGAACAGTGATGTCATTATCAATATATTAAAAAGACTATGCATACTTAGAAATCATTATTCAAGTAACCTACTTTTAATAGATATTAATCCAGGGATAAGATTGTTGATAGCTCACTAAACTTAAGGTCGGTTGACTTTAAACTGTGTGTCATGATACAGCATCTCTTGTCTGTCCATCCATTTTAGCTCACTAGGCCCGAAGGGCTCATGGTTTTGATATCAGTAAGAATCTCATTCACCAAGTGATCTTAGTTCCAAATGTGTGGCCTATGGCATCCTGGGGCTGTGGCTGTCAACTGTGGATTTTTTTTCCTTAATTAAGATGATCAAATTTAAACAGAATGCAGGGGTAACCCCACCCACACCTTTAGCTGTTCAGCAGAATACCCAACAAAATGACATTTCATAGCTCATCCCTAATTTTTAATCAGACCTATTATAGGATAATAGATACATCACAACTTAAAGATGTTTGATAATTTGATAATTTTTTTTCCTTGTGAATTGTTAAGAACTCAATCCCCAGCTGTCATTCTATTTCATTATACCCTCCTCAACAAGATCGTGTAAAGATCAGTGGACTTCAGAAGCTCTAAGCGTTGTTGTTTGAAGTAATAGTACAGACACTTGTAGACTCTTCGGAACTCTTATTACACCAAGTTCAAAATGGTCCATGTCATGACTCCTCTTTCGTTGATCAAAAACACACATAACTTTACTAGCTCTTTTCACAAGTTAGATGGTGTACTTACAGTTCTGGTTAGGTACAATGATCAAGGATGTCTGTTTTGATGGACAATATCACCATGTATATGTTCTTGATTTTGTAGGCCTTCAAAACTTCTGTGTAATGCTGTTTGTTATGGTATGATATGAAGCTTTTTTGTGGTACCCTGTATGACTTTGAGGGATAACTGGCTTTAAAAGTCTAAATGTAGTCTACTGTGTGACCCTTATGGAAACGCTGGTATGAAAAATTGTGACTCTTCATATTTTGTGGGGTTGTCGGTATGCAAAATCTACTTTGTGACCCTATATAACTTTAAAAGAGATGCCAGTTTGAAATATCTAGTATGTGGACTGTTCGGTGGTGCTGTATGACAGTAGTGTGTTGATGGACAGATCAGTGACCTTGTATGACAGTAGTGTATTGATGGACCAGTCAGTGGCCCTGTATGACAGTAGTATGTTGATGGACCAATCAGTGGCCCTGTATGACAGTAGTGTGTTGATGGACAGATCAGTGGCCCTGTATGACAGTAGTGTGTTGATGGACAGATCAGTGGCCCTGTATGACAGTAGTGTGTTGATGGACAGATCAGTGGCCCTGTATGACAGTAGTGTGTTGATGGACAGATCTGTGGTCCTGTATAACAGTAGTGTGTTGATGGACAGATTAGTGACAGATCAGTGACCCTGTATGACAGTAATGTGTTGATGGACAGATAAGTGACCCTGTATGACTGTAGTGTGTTGATGGACAGATCAGTGGCACTGTATGACAGTAGTGTGTTGATGGACCAAATAGTGGCCCTGTATGACAGTAGTATGTTGATGGACCAATCAGTGGCCCTGTATGACAGTAGTGTGTTGATGGACAGATCAGTGGCCCTGTATGACAGTAGTGTGGTGATGGACAGATCAGTGGCCCTGTATGACAGTAGTGTGTTGATGGACAGATCTGTGGTCCTGTATGACAGTAGTGTGTTGATGGACAGATTAGTGACAGATCAGTGACCCTGTATGACAGTAATGTGTTGATGGACAGATAAGTGACCCTGTATGACTGTAGTGTGTTGATGGACAGATCAGTGGCACTGTATGACAGTAGTGTGTTGATGGACAGATTAGTGACAGATCAGTGACCCTGTATGACAGTAATGTGTTGATGGACAGATAAGTGACCCTGTATGACTGTAGTGTGTTGATGGACAGATCAGTGGCCCTGCATGACAGTAGTGTGTTGATGGACCAGTCAGTGGCCCTGTATGACAGTAGTGTGTTGATGGACCAATCAGTGGCCCTGTATGACAGTAGTATGTTGAGGGACCAATCAGTGGCCCTGTATGACAGTAGTGTGTTGATGGACAGATCAGTGGCCCTGTATGACAGTAGTGTGTTGATGGACAGATCAGTGGCCCTGTATGTCAGAAGTGTGTGGATGGACAGATCAGTGACCCTGTATGACAGGAGTGTGTTGATGGACAGATCAGTGGCCCTGTATGACAGTAGTGTGTTGATGGACAGATCAGTGGCCCTGTATGTCAGAAGTGTGTGGATGGACAGATCAGTGACCCTGTATGACAGGAGTGTGTTGATGGACAGATCAGTGGCCCTGTATGGCAGCAGTGTGTTGATGGACCAAATAGTGGCCCTGTATGACAGTAGTGTGTTGATGGACAGATCTGTGGCCCTGTATGACAGTAGTGTGTTGATGGACAGATCTGTGGTCCTGTATGACAGTAGTGTGTTGATGGACAGATCAGTGACCCTGTATGACAGTAGTGTGTTGATGGACAGATCAGTGGCCCTGTATGACAGTAGTGTGTTGATGGACAGATCAGTGACCCTGTATGACAGTAGTGTGTTGATGGACAGATCAGTGACCCTGTATGACTGTAGTGTGTTGATGGACAGATCAGTGGCCCTGTATGACAGTAGTGTGTTGATGGACCAGTCAGTGGCCCTGTATAACAGTAGTATGTTGAGGGACAGATCAGTGACCATGTATGACAGGAGTGTGTTGATGGACAGATCAGTGGCCCTGTAGGACAGGAGTGTGTTGATGGACAGATCAGTGGCCCTGTATGACAGTAGTGTGTTGATGGACAGATCAGTGGCCCCGTATGACAGTAGTGTGTTGATGGACAGATCAGTGGCCCTGTATGACAGTAGTGTTTTGATGGACCAATCAGTGGCCCTGTATGACAGTAGTGTGTTGATGGACAGATCAGTGGCCCTGTATGGCAGCAGTGTGTTGATGGACCAAATAGTGGCCCTGTATGACAGTAGTGTGTTGATGGACAGATCAGTGGCCCTGTATGACAGTAGTGTGTTGATGGACCAATCAGTGGCCCTGTATGACAGTAGTGTGTTGATGGACAGATCAGTGGCCCTGTATGACAGGAGTAAGTTGATTGGCTGGTTGTTTGTCCGGTATGATCGACCATTAAGACTACTAATTAAAAACATTTAAATGTTATCAGAATGAAAGCAACACCAATGCGCATTAACTTTACGTAACATATCTGACACTACTTACTTGGATTAACCAATGTTTACATGACGGGTGTCATTGATGAAGTAGAAGACGTTTACTGTTCCGGAACATCTGGGCATATTCTCCCTGTACTTTTTCAGAAACCTCTGTGTAAATATTTCTTTTGATCATATTCTGCCCTAGTTTTATTGAAATTGAGTTTGGATTATGATTACGTTGACATGTTGGTATTCATATTTCAACGCCCATCGCGCTAGCACCACTTTGCAAAGAAAACTGTTTTGAAACCAACCTGTCAATTGCATTCTTAATAATATCCTTACCACTTACATTTTTTATCATAATATGGCCTATCTTACGATTTACACAAAGTGATGTTCTCATTTCATTCCACGGTGTTAAGTGTTACGTATAACTTAATTCTTGTCCGTCCTTCTCAATGAAACGCCCACTTCTTATAAAGTAATTTTATCTAATAATTACCTCCAGACTACTGAAGAGTATTAAATGTCATTGTATCCAGTTATTAGCCCTATAAAAAGACAATTATGGGTGTACCAGTACTTAGTTTGAACATGAACTTAACTCGGAAGTAACTCAAGTGGCTGATATCAAGCTGGTTCCGATACACGATGTATGGTCCACGCTTGTACTACTGATGTCATGGTTGACCCCACTTGTACATATTTAACTATCTACTAGTACTTTGATTATGTATCAGAATGATATATCGTAGTCCCTTGATGCTTCCGGTCGACCTGGGACGAGTCCAGGTTCGGGTTATTAGTATGACGGAGGCGTGCGCATTGTATGTGCATATACCTACAGTAACATTCATCTTACCGAGAAAGATGACTCGACGAGCAATGATCGACATGATTTTTAATGACAATAAGGGTTATTGATTAGAGTGCATGATAAGTGCAAATGTGTGTTATAAGAGGAGCGTCAAACTGCAGTGTCATCCAAGTTAAAAAGTAGATAGGAAACTGGGAAAGGCGACAAATCCTCAAGACGTTTTGCAAGTCCAAGTATACGGATATTGGAATAAACTGTTTTTCAAACATGTTTAATAACACCGAAACAAGACAAGTGTTCAACATAACTCTGGAAGATGAGGAATTGATGAATTTGATGTCCACAGGAATACCAGCATTAACTTTTTTAGCATCTTTATGCTTTTTCGGAACTTTTGGAAATGGTTTGACAATCCTTGTATATGCTGTTAGATTTAAACCCAGCATTCATCGGACGTTCATATTGTGGCTGGGAACTGTAGACCTTGTAGCGTGTTCAGTAAGCGTCCCTTATGTCATATACGACTCAACACATCCTTATACATTCACTTCGGAATGGTCATGTAGGTGTTTCGTGTTTATAAACTTCGTTTTCTCGATGTATTCGCCATTACTTCTTGACGTGATTGCTATTGAGAGATATCGACGAATCTGTAAGGCGACTGACCGACAACTGACGAGATCAGAAGCCAAATTGATTAGCGGACTTATGGGTGCAGTCGTTATCATAGCTTGTAGTCCTGTTTTTGCTCTGTATGGCAGCAAACCCGTCATTACACCGTTTAACCATCTTGAAGGACACGAATGCAATGTTGTTGAAAGGTTCAGTGCCTCTCTGTTTGAAACCGTCTATTTTGGTATATTGTTCGGGGCATATTTTGTTCTTTTTGTGTTATGTATTGTGTTCTATTCGTTAATTGGACAAAAACTGATGAAAAGTGAGCGATTTAGAAGGGCTACTAAAGCCGCAAAACGACTTCGACGTCAGCAGTCAATGCGTCAAATTGAGCGGACACATGTTCGACAAAAGTCTGTCAAATTTGTTACCGAAGTAATTCCGGAACCTCAGGAAAAACAAAATGAAATCCCTACAGCAGAGGAAATATTGAATAACGAACCGACGATGAGCGAAATCAGTATCACATCCATTAGTGGCACATGTGAACTACAACCAAATAGTTTAAATGATAATCTTGAAGATCGCATTCCGGAAAATACTCTTCAACTACCTGACAAACAGCATACCGCCTTAAATGAAAACGGACAGAAAACAGTGGTGATATCATACGATCTACCATCTGAACATGACAAGATTGAAAACAATAATACAGATGGCATGGAGCTCGAAACAAAGGCCGGAGTTAGTCAACAAAAAGACGTTGCTGTGAAAAACAGTTCTCTAAAAGCTCAAAAATCAGTGAAACGTTTCGTGGATCACAGAGTATCCAAGAAAAAAGTCAGTCAGTTGATAAGCAAAAGTAAGAGGGTGACGCTCATGTTTCTCGTGGTATCAGCACTCTCCTTTGGTGGGTATCTGCCTTACTTTGTGCATGTTGTTATGCGAAATGCTGATGACGTCACACGAAGGCATCTGGCTGTCGCATTGGGCTCTCTCGGACCCATAATGAGATATTCGTTTTTTATCAATAACGCCGTCAATCCTATTGTATACGGTTTCATGGATAGGCATTTTAGAGATCAGTTTAAACGTATGATAAAAAAGTGCAGGAGAAATAGAATAGATTTCAATTGACAATTTGTAATCAAAACAGTGTAGCTTTGGGAACATATATTAATCTATTGTCGGAATTCATTATGTACTAGAAATTACGTAAATATACCTCTATTTTTCGGTTATCACGTGACAATCATGTTTAATCATCTGTACGTGATTACAGTGTTTTCCAGTTAATGCACTCGTGTAATATCTACATATAACTTTATGTAACGTATGGCGTGCCGTCAACACGACATATCATGATAGTTATATAACGTCACGCGCTTATAGCTTTAATGAATTCTAAACCTTGATATTACAATGAATGATGAGATTTTTTTTAATGCACTTTTTAAATTTTAGAAAAGAAAATTAACAATATTACATAGCAAAGTGCGACCGCAACCGTTCAACACAACCAGATACAAAATCCAACTAGGTAATTGTCTCGGTTATTTTTATTTATTTAAAATAGAGACATCGGTCAATAGGTAAATATCTGTTAATTTGAAGTCATATATATATACTGAACGCAAGACATACTGTGTAGTGCTCACGGAGGAATACAATTGTAGCTCCGTATCGTGTTTTAGTGTGTCCTGCGCTTCAAACCGGAAATTAGATCAGTCGAAATTAAAATGTGATTTGATCCTGATATTTATTTTGATGTTTACGTTTGTTCAGTTTTTGAATAGCCATTGTGTATACTTATATTTCCACATGAACGCTTGAAGGCATATATTATTGAATATTATTAACCACGCGAAAGGACGGAAGTTCTAGGTCCGCGCCTCAGAAAGTTTCAGCGAGCCAGCTCTCGAAGGATAATCATATATGCAGTTTACTTTTTTTATAGGATTGTGTTTTCACCCACTTGAATTTTCCACACACAATGCTTGACATTATGCGCTCTTTATAACGTACCAAACATTTGTTAGTTCTAACTCAAAAGCAACCAGATTATATAACATGAAAGAAGTCTCGTTCAGCAAAACTCTTGTTGTCTGCACACGCGTTGGAGCGTCTTGGTGAGCGAGATTTTTTGTCGCTATGTCCGCCATGTTGCTTCCCGCCGTTGGGGAAAAGCAAGACTTGGAATTCAACTTCCGTGTCACGACTTCATGTCTGATTGTAATTTTCAATTTAGGGCTTGCATCGCTTGGGACGCTCGAGCTACGCTAGCCTTTATCTCAATGACATAATAAATCCAATATCGATCACTTACAAATGCATCTAGGTAATACATTGATTATAAGAATGAGTCGAAATTGATCGTCGGATCTTTTGACATCTTCGCAATCTATAGGTTTTGTTCGATATATGTAGATACAATGTGATATAGGCTGGAAACGTGCATATAGAGAATATGACCCTTGGACTCCTAAACTAGTTTTCAGAACAACCAGTTCATTTTAATACAACACAAACTTAAAGAAAACGTTTTGAAATGTTGCATATGTGTTGTCGTTAGACAGAGAATGTGTCGTGTTTTATTCAAAGTAGACTTCGTGTAAATAAGTTAATGCAATGTATGTATATTTTATAAAATAGGTATAAACAATATTGTGTTACCATCGGGATTACTTTTACCTATCAACCATCCCATTTAAATATTTTGACAAAGATGTCATTTTAAGGAAGAGTAAACAATACACACTTTGTTTGTTTTGTTTTGTTTTTGTACCTGATGTGCTGATAGGCACGTGAGTTACTAAACGATAACATGTGAATTTTACACAGTAAAATCACCACATCTTCGTGACAAGATTGTATATGTATAACATAGATGTGGTTTTACGTCACCGTGAATCTGAGCACGAACATCCCGTCGGATAGGACATACATCCGTCCTCTTTTTTTTTTACCTCGATAACCCCCTTGTCTTCTAAATTCAACCATCGGTAAAGTGAAACAAAACAATTTTATGAAATCGTGAAGGAAATAATATAAAATTAATTAGGATTACTGTCAAAGCTTCTATTATAAATATTACTGATAGGTGGTGGTGGTGGGCCGGGCAAGCTTTTTATGTAGATTAAAATGTAGGTCATTGACCTACTTATGACACGTAACACAGTCTCTTCAAGGTAAACCAATATCCTAAATATAAAGCTTCCATGGAAGATAGGGCCCGGACAAACCTAGGTCAGAGTGACCTACTTTTGATACGCGACACGCCATCTCACCAAGGTGAACTATTACCCCAAATGTAACGGTCGCGTGATAAGTTGTGTAGAAGATAGGCCCGGACAAGAAAGCGGACGGACGCAAGGACGGACACAACGCAAAACTATAGTCCCATCCGGTTTCCGATGGATGATTGTTAAGAAGAAATTAACAACAAAGTTAAGGATATATAGACATATAACTCAAAACTGAAAAAAAACTTGTATTTGAAACCGACTGGGTAGTTGCTAGGTGGGTTGCTACATGTAAAGGCGAATGATAATGGCTTTCATGACGGTTCTGTTAAAGTTACCAAAAGAACAAGAAACGGGGTTGGCAGGGAAACGGGAAACAAATTATTTCTTGGAGCTTTCCGTTTTGTTTCGGTGTTACCTGCTTCTGTTACTAGTCACATTTCTGTAGAGACAGTGATTGAGATTTAAGATTGATTTCTATTTCAATACTAATTTTCACATAAAATGTAATTGCAATGATAACTTCAAACGTTTTTTTGCAATTGATGTAAATTTCGGTACGTAAATTCAAACATTGGTAACTTAGTCCAATGTATCATTTCTAAAACAATCATGTATTCATTTGGTTTTCTTGAATGCCAATTATTTCGAATTTCGCCATAGTTATGAAGGAACAACTGTACTATTTCAACGTAATTTTATTTCAAATGATACAGATACATTATGGGTTTTAAATAACATTCAATACTATTAACCGTATTTTCGTAATGAACATTAAAGTTTATCAAGTACTATGAAAATTAAGTACGTACAATATTTTTGTTTGTAGTTAGTGGACACATCGGCGATATGGAACCAGAAAGTGTAAATAGATGTAATGGCATTTACGTATGATATTTAAAAATGTTTCAGCTAATATAAATATATATGTTAAGTGATAAGTATCGATTATATAAGTATTTCTTAAGCAGAAAAAGACCAGCTTTTTCGCTACCGTTTTCCGTATCGATACACAATGAAATATAATATGTTAAGAACTTATCTAATCAACATCTAGTATTCCTCTATAGAAAGGAAAAATATACGGCTTTCCTTGTTGCACTCGGAACATCTCGAGCAACTCCGACAAGACTCGGAAACAAGTTGTCCTATAACCTAAAGATAATGGTGAAGGAAAAGAAAAACAGGCTTAGGAATTCTAACCAAGTTAATACCTCCGAACTGAGCTGCCATTTTAAAGTCGATCAACTTGGATCGTTTTGATCCTATTTCTCCCTCCTTCAAAAAAGAGTTCAATAAAGACCCGCCTCTGTTACATCTAGTTGTGCCATATATGTCATTTATCTAATGAATTTAATAAATGCATAGTCCAAGATTTTTATCGAAATTCAATGAGATATTCGTCACAGGCCCACCATTTTTTATCATATACATAAGATATGATTTGAGAGTGTGGCTCGATCTCTATACGGGCAGGTTTGTGGTTCTCGGTAAGAGGTCACGGATCGACCTGCGCTGTTCTGGGTGTGCCCTTTCGTAAAACACTCTATTCAAGTATACAAGTATACTTCAAGATAAACAACATAACATAAGGCCATTAAAATCAAATTTCACGTCTGTCTGTCGCTGCAGCCTCAATGACACGTACAGGTAACGTGCCGCGTGGATTTCAAAGTGCGAATCTCAGAGGATAGCTATTGGCGACGCATGGCATAGGGAAAATAAATTTCTTATAATTCCAATTCGTCAAATGGTTGAATATACCGACTTCAACCCAGTTACTTTGAATATCATGTGACGGGCCTCGTGCATGTTGTTCGGTGAAGTTGCCGCCAACTACTACCAGGAGATTCAGAATACTGAAAGTACCCAAGCAATACACCTGTTAATAGTCATGTTCTTACTTATGTTTGCAAAAATAAATATTATAAACTTGTATGATAATATGATAATTCAAACATAACTAATTGATTATGAAGATGACAATATGTACTGACACACAAATACGAACGAGTGAAAGAGAAAATTAAATATTCCATGACGTATATAGCCACAGTCGTTACTAAAAAATCATTTCATCAATTATTACGTCACAATCGAAACAAATAAACAAAATTTATGTTATCGTATCGTACACATATACATACATATTTATATGAATTATAATTTACAAAACACATATCTGACCTAAAAATTAAAAAGAAATAAATTTCAGAGTATCATCTTTTTAAATAAAATTACATACTGTACAAATTGAGAGACAATTTTATCACAGGTTACTTTCATATTAAACTGAAAGGCTAGGTATTAAGACCTAAGGAATGCTGGGTAATTTCATCACAGGCTACTTTGAGCAAAGGAATGCTGGATAATTTCATCACAGAATACTTGCGTAACTGAAAAACTGAGTGGTAAGACCAAAGGCATTCTGGTTAATTTCATCACAGGCTACTTGGACCAAAGGAATGCTGGGGAATTTCATCACAGAATACTTTTGTAACTGAAAAACTGAGTAGTAAGACCAAAGGCATTCTGGGTAATTTCATCACAGGCTTCTTGGACCGAAGGCATGCTGGGTAATTTCATAACACAATACTTACTAAATTGAAAGGCTGGGCAGTAAGATCTAAGGAATGTTTGTTAATTTCTTCACTTATATTACAAAATCAGTCTCGATGGTGTGGAGTAAAACAAAATGAAAAATCCAAGAAGTATTTTGTCCCAAATCGGAGCGAATTTCATATTGGTAGCGCCATTACTAAGGTCCGGCTCAGAAGAGCACGTGACTGCCGCTGTATTCTGGTAGGTTTCGTTATAAGCAGAAACGATCACACCCCATCCGTCAAACGGACAGTTTACAATGGAGGACTCTGATCCAACGCACTGAACGTTGTCCATCCATGTCGGCTGGGTCCGGTTGTTCAGTCCGTGAAAGTGATCAAACGTGTGCGCCGTCCCCGAACTTTTGAAAAGAAACATAATGGATGTTTCAGTTGCACACATTTATTTTGATTAATGAAACACTACATTTTCCTGACAGAAGTTAAAAACTGAGATTATTTTTTTAGAATAACTCATTACAACATAAAAAAAAACAGGGCAAATCTTACCATATTTTTTGTCAGTATAAACTCGTTCAGATCTATTTAATTTACTTACTTGAAGTTTAGCATGGTACAGACGACATTTGCATCGTCATCGCCCCAGGACGATCCGCCAATGTAGCCCCATTGGCCGCTGTAGTACACCTCAACGCGATCCGAATCCCCGAGCCTAACTGTAAGGTCGCTTGTGCCTGTGAAAACAAAACAAAGCATTGAAATCCCTGCTGTGTCTTCCTCGGCCCCAAGTGAAAATCGCACTATCGCTTATTTACCTACAACATCGGCCCCAAGTGAAAATCACTCTATCACTTATAATATTATAGGAAAACCACAATCATCAATGAAATGATTGCGAGATGTTTACGAACTATGTAGGGCCCCGTCTCAAATAGATTGAAGTAAAAAGTAAACGTAGACCTGCCCCGTTTATGACACCTCGCAAAACAATTCAATCATTATACAGAGAAAATCGTTTACTTCATAAATATAGAGTGAATACATGACCAGTATCTTAAAATGTAAGCTGGATTTTGGCGAGGATGAAAAAGACCAAAGTGGAAGGCCAATCATCGTCTTAAAATGATTTTAATGTGACTTCGTACACTTGATTACTCGAGAACTATCTCTGAAAAGTGAAGGTATGGAATGCCAAAGTTCAAGGTCACTGTTACTAAAATTTGGCAAGTTCAAGAACAGATCACAATTACCATGACGTAAAACACATTTCATTAAATAATTGTAGGTGGAGATAGGATATATTTTTCAGCCATTCCATACTGAAATATCACTTCCTTTATTCCATGTACATAATTTCTGATTGCCCACAAGTTGTTTTTTTTAACTCAGTCAGGTTTATTGCTGTACTTACCAGCTTCGTCATAGCAAATAACTCCCGCATCTTGACTGTGGTTGCATGAAGCTCCCCAACCATTGAAGTTACAGTTTTCTATAAAAAGTTCGTTTCCAGTGCAGTTAACGTCAGACATCCACACCACACCACTTCCTTCTCCGAAAACAGCGTGTTTGAGAGCGGCTCCAGAACTGAAACAAATAAAAATAAAATAAACAAATAGTTGATTTACAGTGTTAATCGATTTAAATAGCCAGTGACATTTTGAGATGGGGTCTTCTTGTCGTAACTGGTGATTACCTCGTTGAACATCATGCGGGAAACCCGCCATCAAGAGCAATCGTACTGCTGAATAACAGCTGTATATAATTATGAAATGTTAATTACTATCGATAGATAAGAATAATGAATAAACGATTAATAATCAATTATTACTTTTAATCGATTTATTGATTAAATAAATAAGAGAGAGATTAATATTTGGAAGAGTGTTAGGGTGTTTGAGATTCAGTTACGAACTTAAAGCGAACTATAAATAGCAACTTTCGGATAAGGAGATACATGGAGTAGGTTTTTGGCTAAAGGAGTGTAAAACCATAACAGAAGGGGAGTTAAGGAAACCAAGTCAAACATCAATGTCCCTTAATAACGCCGGAAATTAAGACGCACATTCGAATTTCGACGGAACATACAGGCAGAGACTTCAAAAGGTTTTACTTACTTGTAACCCAATGCCCCACAGACAACTTTAGCGTCGTTGTTATCCCAGCCGTTGTCACACACTGTACCCCACGTGTTGTTTTTGATCACTTCCACACGACCAGAAAGGGCTGAGTATCCATCTACTAGCCGAACAGTGGGAGGTGTGACGGTCGTTGTTGTAGTGGGTAGTGTTGTAGTTGAAGTGGTAGTTGGCGGGATTGTAGTGGTAGTTGTGGATGGGACTGTAGTGGAAGTTGTGGAAGGGACTGTAGCGGAAGTAGTTGATGGGATTATAGTGGTAGTTGTGGAAGGGACAGTAACGGATGTGGTTGATGGGATTGTAGTGGTAGTTGTGGAAGGGACTGTAGCGGAAGTGGTTGATGGGATTGTAGTGGTAGTTGTGGAAGGGACTGTAGCGGAAGTGGTTGATGGAATTGTAGTGGTAGTTGTGGAAGGGACTGTAGCGGAAGTGGTTGATGGGATTGTAGTGGTAGTTGTGGAAGGGACTGTAACGGAAGTGGTTGATGGGATTGTAGTGGTAGTTGTGGAAGGGACTGTAGCGGAAGTGGTTGATGGGATAGTAGTGGTAGTTGTGGAAGGGACTGTAGCGGAAGTGGTTGATGGAATTGTAGTGGTAGTTGTGGAAGGGACTGTAGCGGAAGTGGTCGATGGGATTGTAGTGGTAGTTGTGGAAGGGACAGTAACGGATGTGGTTGATGGGATTGTAGTGGTAGTTGTGGAAGGGACTGTAGCGGAAGTGGTTGATGGGATTGTAGTGGTAGTTGTGGAAGGGACTGTAGCGGAAGTGGTTGATGGAATTGTAGTGGTAGTTGTGGAAGGGACTGTAGCGGAAGTGGTTGATGGGATTGTAGTGGTAGTTGTGGAAGGGACTGTAACGGAAGTGGTTGATGGGATTGTAGTGGTAGTTGTGGAAGGGACTGTAGCGGAAGTGGTTGATGGGATAGTAGTGGTAGTTGTGGAAGGGACTGTAGCGGAAGTGGTTGATGGAATTGTAGTGGTAGTTGTGGAAGGGACTGTAGCGGAAGTGGTCGATGGGATTGTAGTGGTAGTTGTGGAAGGGACTGTAACGGAAGTGGTTGATGGGATTGTAGTGGTAGTTGTGGAAGGGACTGTAGCGGAAGTAGTCGATGGGATTGTAGTGGTAGTTGTGGAAGGGACTGTAGCGGAAGTGGTTGATGGGATTGTAGTGGTAGTTGTGGAAGGGACTGTAGCGGAAGTGGTTGATGGGATTGTAGTGGTAGTTGTGGAAGGGACTGTAGCGGAAGTGGTTGATGGGATTGTAGTGGTAGTTGTGGAAGGGACTGTAGCGGAAGTGGTTGATGGGATAGTAGTGGTAGTTGTGGAAGGGACTGTAGCGGAAGTGGTTGATGGGATTGTAGTGGTAGTTGATGAAGGGACTGTAGCGGAAGTGGTTGATGGGATTGTAGTGGTAGTTGATGAAGGGACTGTAGCGGAAGTGGTTGATGGGATTGTAGTGGTAGTTGTGGAAGGGACTGTAGCGGAAGTAGTTGATGGGATTGTAGTGGTAGTTGTGGAAGGGACTGTAGCGGAAGTGGTTGATGGGATTGTAGTGGTAGTTGTGGAAGGGACTGTAGCGGAAGTGGTTGATGGAATTGTAGTGGAAGTTGTGGAAGGGACTGTAGCGGAAGTGGTTGATAGGATTGTAGTGGTAGTTGTGGAAGGGACTGTAGCAGAAGTGGTTGATGGGATTGTAGTGGTAGTTGTGGAAGGGACTGTAGCGGAAGTGGTTGATGGGATTGTAGTGGTAGTTATGGAAGGGACTGTAGCGGTAGTGGTTGATGGGATTGTAGTGGTAGTTGTAGAAGGGACTGTCGCGGAAGTGGATGATGGTATAGAAGAAGTAGTGGATGATGGGATTGTAGCGGAAGTGGCTGATGGGATAGATGAAGTAGTGGATGATGGGATTGTAGCGGAAGTGGTTGATGGTAAAGATGGTGTTGTATCAGCTGTTGATGACATCACATTTGTTGAAGATGGTTGTGTTCCTGAGGAAGACGACCAAGGTGTTGATGAAGACGGTGTTGTATCCGCTGTTGATGACATCACATTGGTTGAAGACGGTTGTGTTTCTGTTGTGGACGACCAAGGTGTTGATGAAGACGGTGTTGTATCCGCTGTTGATGACATCACATTGGTTGAAGACGGTTGTGTTTCTGTTGTAGACGACCAAGGTGTTGATGAAGACGGTGTTGTATCCGCTGTTGATGACATCACATTGGTTGAAGACGGTTGTGTTCCTGAGGAAGACGACCAAGGTGTTGATGAAGACGGTGTTGTATCAGCTGTTGATGACATCACATTGGTTGAAGACGGTTGTGTTTCTGTTGAAGACGACCAAGGTGTTGATGAAGACGGTGTTGTATCCGCTGTTGATGACATCACATTGGTTGAAGACGGATGTGTTTCTGTTGATGACGACCAAGGTGTTGATGAAGACGGTGTTGTATTCGCTGTTGATGACAACACATTGGTTGAAGACGGTTGTGTTTCAGTTGAAGACGACCAAGGTGTTGATGAAGACGGTGTTGTATCCGCTGTTGATGACATCACATTGGTTGAAGACGGTTGTGTTTCTGTTGAAGACGACCAAGGAGTTGATGAAGACGGTGTTGTATCCGCTGTTGATGACATCATATTGGTTGAAGACGGTTGTGTTTCAGTTGAAGACGACCAAGGTGTTGATGAAGACGGTGTTGAATCCGCTGTTGATGACATCACATTAGTTGAAGACGGTTGTGTTTGTGTTTCTGTTGAAGTCGACCAAGGTGTTGATGAAGACGGTGTTGTATCAGCTGTTGATGACATCATATTTGTTGAAGACTGTTGTGTTCCTGAGGAAGACGACCAAGGTGTTGATGAAGACGGTGTTGTATCCGCTGTTGATGTCATCACATTTGTTGAAGACGGTTGTGTTTCTGTTGAAGCCGACCAAGGAGTTGATAAAGACGGTGTTGTATCCGCTGTTGATGACATCGCATTGGTTGAAGACTGTTGTGTTCCTGAGGAAGACGACCAAGGTGTTGATGAAGACGGTGTTGTATCCGCTGTTGATGACATCATATTGGTTGAAGACGGTTGTGTTACTGAGGAAGACGACCAAGGAGTTGATGAAGACGGTGTTGTATCCGCTGTTGATGACATCACATTGGTTGAAGACGGTTGTGTTTCAGTTGAAGACGACCAAGGTGTTGATGAAGACGGTGTTGAATCCGCTGTTGATGACATCATATTGGTTGAAGACGGTTGTGTTACTGAGGAAGACGACCAAGGAGTTGATGAAGACGGTGTTGTATCCGCTGTTGATGACATCACATTGGTTGAAGACGGTTGTGTTTCAGTTGAAGACGACCAAGGTGTTGATGAAGACGGTGTTGTATCCGCTGTTGATGACATCACATTGGTTGAAGACGGTTGTGTTTCTGTTGAAGACGACCAAGGAGTTGATGAAGACGGTGTTGTATCCGCTGTTGATGACATCACATTGGTTGAAGACGGTTGTGTTTCTGTTGAAGACGACCAAGGTGTTGATGAAGACGGTGTTGTATCCGCTGTTGATGACATCTCATTAGTTGAAGACGGTTGTGTTTGTGTTTCTGTTGAAGTCGACCAAGGTGTTGATGAAGACGGTGTTGTATCAGCTGTTGATGACATCATATTTGTTGAAGACTGTTGTGTTCCTGAGGAAGACGACCAAGGTGTTGATGAAGACGGTGTTGTATCCGCTGTTGATGTCATCACATTTGTTGAAGACGGTTGTGTTTCTGTTGAAGCCGACCAAGGAGTTGATGAAGACGGTGTTGTATCCGCTGTTGATGACATCATATTGGTTGAAGACTGTTGTGTTCCTGAGGAAGACGACCAAGGTGTTGATGAAGACGGTGTTGTATCCGCTGTTGATGACATCATATTGGTTGAAGACGGTTGTGTTCCTGAGGAAGACGACCAAGGAGTTGATGAAGACGGTGTTGTATCAGCTGTTGATGACATCACATTGGTTGAAGACGGTTGTGTTTCTGTTGTAGACGACCAAGGTGTTGATGAAGACGGTGTTGTATCCGCTGTTGATGATATCATATTGGTTGAAGACGGTTGTGTTCCTGAGGAAGACGACCAAGGAGTTGATGAAGACGGTGTTGTATCCGCTGTTGAAGACATCACATTTGTTGAAGACGGTTGTGTTTCTGTTGTAGACGACCAAGGTGTTGATGAAGACGGTGTTGAATCCGCTGTTGATGACATCATATTGGTTGAAGACGGTTGTGTTTCTGTTGAAGACGTCCACGGAGTTGATGAAGACGGTGTTGTATCCGCTGTTGATGACATCACATTGGTTGAAGACGGTTGTGTTTCAGTTGAAGACGACCAATGAGTTGATGAAGCCGGTGTTGTATCCGCTGTTGATGACATTACATTGGTTGAAGACGGTTGTGTTCCTAAGGAAGACGACCAATGAGTTGATGAAGACGGTGTTGTATCCGCTGTTGATGACATCACATTGGTTGAAGACGGTTGTGTTTCTGTTGTAGACGACCAAGGTGTTGATGAAGACGGTGTTGTATCCGCTGTTGATGACATCACATTGGTTGAAGACGGTTGTGTTCCTGAGGAAGACGACCAGGGAGTTGATGAAGACGGTGTTGTATCCGCTGTTGATGACATCACATTGGTTGAAGACGGTTGTGTTCCTGAGGAAGACGACCAAGGATTTGATGAAGAAGGTGTTGTATCAGCTGTTGATGACATCACATTTGTTGAAGACGGTTGTGTTTCTGTTGTAGACGACCAAGGAGTTGATGAAGACGGTGTTGTATCCGCTGTTGATGACATCACATTGGTTGAAGACGGTTGTGTTCCTGAGGAAGACGACCAAGGTGTTGATGAAGACGGTGTTGTATGCGCTGTTGATGACATCACATTGGTTGAAGACGGTTGTGTTCCTGAGGAAGAAGACCAAGGAGTTGCTGAAGCCGGTGTTGTATCCGCTGTTGATGACATCACATTGGTTGAAGACGGTTGTGTTTCAGTTGAAGACGACCAATGAGTTGATGAAGACGGTGTTGTATCCGCTGTTGATGACATTACATTGGTTGAAGACGGTTGTGTTTCTGTTGTAGACGACCAAGGTGTTGATGAAGACGGTGTTGTATCCGCTGTTGATGACATCACATCGGTTGAAGACGGTTGTGTTCCTGAGGAAGACGACCAGGGAGTTGATGAAGACGGTGTTGTATCCGCTGTTGATGACATCACACTGGTTGAAGACGGTTGTGTTTCTGTTGAAGACGACCAAGGTGTTGATGAAGACGGTGTTGTATCCGCTGTTGATGACATAATATTTGTTGAAGACGGTTGTGTTTCTGTTGAAGACGACCAAGGTGTTGATGAAGACGGTGTTGTATCCGCTGTTGATGACATCACATTTGTTGAAGACGGTTGTGTTTCTGTTGAAGCCGACCAAGGAGTTGCTGAAGACGGTGTTGTATCAGCTGTTGATGACATCACATTGGTTGAAGACGGTTGTGTTCCTAAGGAAGACGACCAAGGAGTTGATGAAGACGGTGTTGTATCCGATGTTGATGACATCGCATTGGTTGAGGACGGTTGTGTTCCTAAGGAAGACGACCAAGGAGTTGATGAAGACGGTGTTGTATCCGATGTTGATGACATCGCATTGGTTGAGGACGGTTGTGTTCCTAAGGAAGACGACCAAGGAGTTGATGAAGACGGTGTTGTATCCGCTGTTGATGACATTACATTGGTTGAAGACGGTTGTGTTTCTGTTGAAGACGACCAAGGTGTTGATGAAGACGGTGTTGTATCCGCTGTTGATGATATCACATTGGTTGAAGACGGTTGTGTTTCTGTTGAAGACGTCCACGGAGTTGATGAAGACGGTGCTGTATCAGCTGATGATGACATCACATTGGTTGAAGACGGTTGTGTTCCTGTTGAAGACGACCAAGGAGTTGATGAAGTTGGTGTTGTATCAGCTGTTGATGACATCGCATTGGTTGAAGACGGTTGTGTTTCTGTTGAAGACGTCCACGGAGTTGATGAAGACGGTGTTGTATCCGCTGTTGATGACATCGCATTGGTTGAAGATGGCGATGTATCATTTGAGGACGTTGTTGAAGTTGTTGGAAATGTTGATGTTTCTGTTGAATGTTGGTAATCTGAAGTAGTTGGTTCAGACGGGGTTGTCGTAGCTGTAATTAGAAAATTATACACTTTGACATACCTTTCATAATAAGCATAACATAACTAAGACATATACCGATAATTGCGGTTATCCAATTTGTCCTTACTATAATGGTAATGAACATCCCAATGAAGTTTGAAGTTGATGTGTTAAAAGCTATCTGAAATATTAAGCTGACACTGTTTTGGTAATAAAATCAAGGGCGACAACTCCGTAAATTTTGTTCCGAAAATTGAGGTCATCTACCTTGTGCAAGCTAAAAGGAGCCAAAACATAGTGAATTATGGTCTGAAAATTAAAGTGATCGAACTTTTCCAAGCTAACATTGTATTGAATCTTTCTACAAAGTTTGAATTCGGTCTGTTGATAACGCCCGTCCGCTCACATCGTTACATTGAATGACCCGTCTTTCTTATAAAGATGTACATAAAAGTTAGTACAACAATGATACAAAAACGTAAGAAAGCTTCCTCCGCTTATTGTCATCCAATCAGTGTCTCCATGAGAGCTATAAGGAAATCTTCCACAGGTGACACAGTGCACGGGATAAGACAAAGGTTTAAGGAGTGTTTAGTTCCTTTTGCAAAAAGACATTTGCGAATAAAATATATTTAAATCAAAACCAACGGCTTTTATTTGAAAAACACGCTTAAGACCGCTCATTACTTACCAGGGTCATACCTCCCACGACACCAATAACGCAGGTTAATCAATTAACTAAGTTAATGCCGTGAAACATAATAACAGCTTTTCTTGTACATTTAGATGCTTCAAACAATGTAATATAATATGTTTAATTACATAACTACTTGTCGCGACAGCCGATCTTACTTCAGTGCTTTGCTTTGTTTAACAAGCTTTTAGATATGGCGGTTTGAAACGATAAAACAAAATGCCCATATATGTATCACGCAAAACTAATAAAAATGACGGAATGAAAAGCAATTCCGCTTTATATCACATATTTTCTATATTCATTTTTGTTTATATTAACCGGACAGTTTGTAGTTTCGTTACTGATGCTAGTTTCTGTTTCAAGTCGGAGAAAGTAAAAATAATTATTTATCGATTTTTAAATTTGATCTTGAAAATCTTGAAAAAAATATTTCGAAAAAGAAATAATCACTTTATCTTTTTATAATTTAAATTAAGGCAGATATGCTATATGTTATAAAAATTCAAACTTTTAAATGTGACAGCGTTGGATTAATCACGAGAAATAAAGGCTACAGGGCACTGTGTCATAAGTTTCACTGTTAATCTACGACATGTTTAGCGTTGCTTTTTATGAAAATACTGTAAATTTAACAAGTCTTAAGAAATAAATGTAGGATTGGAATATTATGATATTTGTCTCCTTTTCCGTTCTATATCAATTTAAAGATTATCCTCAACTGAATGTTTAACCACTTTGTATGATAAAGTGTATTTACAGCACGTCTTGTTACTTTCTCAAAACTTTGTGGGAATTTCTGGAAATATTTGCAATTAAAGGCCAGCATTTGTACTTCAGTATATAGTTACTTTTAAAAAGAATTTAAGACAAATTTGAAAATAGAATCTGATGAATGAGAATTTTACAATTTTACGAATTGTCTAAATAACATTCATTTGTAAAGATGAATAGAAATACGCCACCTAGCTAACAACCAGCTCGAGATTTCACTCTTTTATTCTAATTTATTAGACTTTGACTGGTCAAGGTGAAATGTCCACTTCTACCTTAAATGAATGCATTATTTCGTAAAATTAAAAACGAAAGGATAAATGAGTAGAAAAAGATACAAGAAAAATATATTGATTGTTTTTTTTTATTCACGAAAGTAAGTAACAATATTTTTATGTATTGCTTGTTCGTTTTTTGTGAAATACTTACCGTTGTTGTATTTTAGAACAACATCTCATGAACGACTCTGAGAATTTGTAAAGTAGATATTTAAATGACCATTCTAAACATCACGCAACCAATTGTCCCAAGTACACGACCACGTGAAACAGATACTTTCGTAGTCGGTTCATGTGCTTCACCCCCTCGACGCTGGCCACACAATTAAACGTACATAAACGCAACCGAATCGGTTTATATTGTTCTGTTTGACTAAATGTGTCTACAACCGTCACAGTAAAACAATTACGATGTCGTTTTAAGTCCTTACTATAAACACATGCTACAGTAACAAGATCACACAGCTACATCGCTGTTTTTTTTTAATTGGACCGACACAAAACATTTTTGACAATTGTTGCGCTCTGATAAAACAGTCGGTCCCTGGCCGATTTTGTCCTGTTACATCGCAATAGAAATTTTAAACTAAACTCCACACATCCATGCCACACCTAGCAAGATATTGTTTGCCGGATAAATCGCCCTCTGAAAGCCAGTTATTTTGGACCGGGATCCTGGTAGTAGCTGGTGGCTACTTCAATGAACAATATTCAATAGGAAAGTTGCGTGACACTCAGAGCAACAAGGTTAAGATGTATTGTCCACGGGCCAACCATATCTACACAGACGGGTCCATTTCTCAGCTTGAGAAAAGCCATTCTTGAGAATACGATCACGGCTATATGTATGTAGGACTATTGCAGCCCCCGTGATAGATTGTCATGTCACATATCAAACCGTTATGGAAGCAGGTGTTGTAAAATTATTTTAAGATAAAGACAATCTTTTTTTTTTCTCTCTAATTTTTTCCCTGTCTAGTGCCAACCAAGGGCAATAAAGACAATCTACAAGAATAAAAGTTCAACCGAATTCTTTCTTTTAGTTTTAGACATTTCTAAGTGATTTTGGTAGAACATTACAATAGTTGTACTCAATTGAAAAGAGATCATTATTGAAATGAGATCAGAACCTAGTTATTTTGGAAGTACTCTGGTGGCGTAGTGGCAGCTGACTTACCCTCTACTTAAATGATAAGGGTTCGATTCTCGATCGGACGATAAAGGTATGGGGTCATATACACCTAAACTTTGGTTTACCCCATAGTCCATTTTTCTCACACAGTAAAAATCCCTGCTACCCTTCAACCCAGGTCAACCAAGAATTGATCACTTGTTTCGTAATTGTTGTGAAATTTTAAAAAAAGTTGATTGTTCTATGTACTTATGGTTTGAAATGTTATGCCTGGAACGAGGTAAACATTTGATTTTTTAAGAAAAGAAATATATGCTTACATTTGATAAAATTTTGGTGGTCATCGGTCTAGTATAACGGATCACAGTCCATACTTGACCATAAGAAATAAGAAAAAAAGTTTGTTAACAAGATATTTCATTAACCATAACAGAATGAGGTTAAATCTACACCACAGTATCAATATTACATCGCAAAGCTCTATATCTGGTAGATTTTAATTGTTATCGGTCAATTCTAAAGGGTCAAAGGTCATACTGACCACCTTGGAAACGTAAAGATCGGGACATTCTCGCCCCACATCAGCTATCAAACTTATCGCTATACACTGACAGAGTGAAACAAAGAGCGGTAACTCTTGGATATCAGAATGCTGTCAGATCACACAGTTCGTCAGAATAGACGAAATGTACAAAAATAATTATAGATCCAGTCCATGACAACCAGAGCGGTGAATATAATCCATGCGTATCTGGTCTGCATCTTTTGTAAACAAATTCATACTTCCCGTATCGGGGAGATCCGGTGAAACCACCTCTGGGACTGGACATATTGAGTATACAAATTTCCCTGATGATCATTTTTGTCCATATTTTCAGTAATTAGGATGTAGGTTTCTTTACATCAAACTCCGCAATTATACGCGAGTCGACATTTTTTACACCTATAGATATCACTAACTGATCTCACAGATGTACACGGAGGGGGATACACATCAGTAATTTTTATGACTGATCCTTATTCTGATAAGTGAGATGACATTCAATTTGAACGTTTTCGGAACTTTCTAAAGCTGGTTTTAATTGCGAATTTGTCTTAATAGTAAGATAGTCTGAATAATGAAGCTTACAATATAAATACTTACAGCTGATTTTAGACTGAAATGAAATGGTCTTAATGTGAGGTAGTCTTAATTTCGAGATAGTCTTCAAAGCGAGGTTTCACTGAAGTTACATACACCCTTAAGTGATTATCCCAAAATAAAATTATACGTTATTAGATATCTAATCCATCAGTTAATATATATGTACTAAAAAGACATAGCATAAACACATACACTTCCATTACAAGTGTGTCAAATGTAACCTACAACCTTAGGTATTTATTCTGTAAGTATTGGATATTGTTTATACCCTTCAATATCGAATTAACACGGTTAGAGCGACCAACGTGCACTATATAATCTTAAATGTTCAGAGCGATAAACGTAGAATCGCAATCTAAAGAATATAGTAAAAGAGTATCGGATGAAGCCTACGGTTTTTCATGAGTGTCAGCGTTGTAACATACATACAGGTATCAACGCCTTAGCATATCGATATGCAACAAACTGGTGCATACTCCCTTGAATATCCAGTCCAAGGGTATCAGACTCGTAGCATACACCCTTAAATATCCAATCCAATATATATCAGAGTCGTAAGATACAACCTTAAAATATGCAATACTTATGCATCAGAATGGTACATACACCCTTAAATATCCAATCCAAGACTATCAGACTAGTAGCATACACCCTTAAATATTCAGCCCAAGGGTATCAGACTCGTAGCAAACACCCTTAAATATACAACCCATGTGTATCAGACTCATAGCATACATCCTTAAATATTTAGCCCAAGGGTATAAGACTCTTAGCATACACCCTTAAATATCTTGTCCAAGGGTATCAGACTAGTAGCATACATCCTTGAATATCTTGTCCAAGGGTATCAGACTCGTAGCATACACCCTTAAATATCTAACAAAGTGTAACAGACTCGTAGCATACACCCTTAAATATCTAACAAAGTGTAACAGACTCGTAGCATACACCCTTAAATATCCATGTCCAAGGGTATCAGACTAGTAGCATACACCCTTAAATATCCAACCTATGGGTATCAGACTCGTAGTATACATCCTTAAATACCCAGTCCAAGGGTATCAGACTCATAGCATACACCCTTAAATATCCAGTCCAAGGGTATCAGACTCGTAGCATACACCCTTAAATATCCAACCCATGGGTATCAGACTCGTAGTATACATCCTTAAATATCCAGTCCAAGGGTATCAGACTCATAGCATACACCCTTAAATATCTTGTCCAAGGGTATCAGACTAGTAGCATACACCCTTAAATATTCAGCCCAAGGGTATTAGACTCTTAGCATACAGCCTTAAATATTCAGTCCAAGGGTATCGGACTCGTAGCATACACCCTTGAATATTCAGCCCAAAGGTATCAGACTCGTAGCATACACCCTTAAATATTCAGTCCAAGGGTATCGGACTCGTAGCATACACCCTTGAATATTCAGCCCAAAGGTATCAGACTCGTAGCATACACCCTTAAATATTCAGTCCAAGGGTATCGTAGCATACACCCTTGAATATTCAGCCCAAAGGTATCAGACTCGTAGCATACACCCTTAAATATTCAGTCCAACGGTATCAGACTCATAGCATACACCCTTAAATATCCAATCCAAGACTATCAGACTCGTAGCATACACCCTTAAATACCCAGTCCAAGGGTATCAGACTCATAGCATACACCCTTAAATATCCAGTCCAAGGGTATCAGACTCGTAGCATACACCCTTAAATATCTTGTCCAGGGGTATCTGACTCGTAGCATACACCCTTAAATATCTTGTCCAAGGGTATCAGACTCGTAGCATACATCCTTAAATATCTTGTCCAAGGGTATCTGACTTGTAGCATACACCCTTAAATATCTTACACCCTTAAATATCTTGTCCATGGGTATCTGACTTGTAGCATACACCCTTAAATATCTTGTCCAAGGGTATCAGACTCGTAGCATACACCCTTAAATATCTTGTCCAGGGGTATCTGACTCGTAGCATACACCCTTAAATATCCAGTCCAAGGGTATCAGACTCGTAGTATACACCCTTGAATATTCAGTCCAAGGGTATTAGACTCATAACATACACCCTTAAATATTCAGTCCAAAAGTATCAGACTCGTAGCATACATCCTTAAATATCCATGTCCAAGGGTATCAGACTCGTAGCATACACCCTTAACTATCTAACAAAGTGTATCAGACTCTTAGCATACATCCTTAACTATTCAGTCCAAGGGTATCAGACTAATAGCATACACCCTTAAATATCCAACCCATGGGTATCAGACTAATAGCATACACCCTTAAATTGTCCAAGGGTATCAACTAATGTACTATCTAACAAAGTGTAACAGACTCGTAGCATACACCCTTAAATATCTAACAAAGTGTAACAGACTCGTAGCATACACCCTTAAAGATCTGGCTCAGCGGTAGTTTTTAAAAACATTAGTTGTATTACTGATTGTTCGTGTTTTATACACTTTCAGTTCCAACCCAATAATTACAGTCGATTTCCAATGTCCAGTCTGACCACTTCTTTTGTGCAGAAAATATCTCTCAAATTGAGCGCTAATTACGTCATGCGATAGTTTTGAAAAGGAGGCAGTTCCTTTTATGAACATGAACACGTGATGGTGGGCAGAAATGAAAACGACAGTAGCAACACAGTCATTAAAATTTAGTTTTCAGCGAACGAAAAGGAGGCAGATTTTGATATAGCAACACAGTCATTAAAATTTAGTTTTCAGCAACGGATTTTGATATGCGTGAGGCAAATGTTACTTATTAACCCTAAGTCAGTTCAAAAATACGAAATCATTAACATTTATCGCTAACCGTTTCTGGCGGGAAACATTTTTTCTTCACATGCGACAGTGTTTTGTGCGCATGCGTTTTCATATGTGACGCAAAAAATGAAATATCCGGACTGTTGATATCCAGGTAGGGATTTCCTTTTATGATTATTGATAAACATCTTTAAGTGCATATTTCAGCGAAAACCAGCTGGCATTGTTCATAAGGTAATACTCTTAATATTTAGGCAAAAATAAAAATACATAGTGTTTCGTAGTTTGGTTTTTTCAACGGGGTTCGAACAAAGCTGACTTTTTTGAGGTTTTAAATTTCGTTTAAAAAAAGAAAAAAGAAAAAAACCATTATTAATTAATTGTGTTTTGTTTAACTTTTGCGATTAGCTCCACATTGAACTTAATTTCTCTTTATGTACATTGGCTACATTTATCATAACCAAGTTCGAAAAATATCTATATCTGTAGATGATATCCAAACACACATTTCAGACTTACATTTTCATCAACAGTTGTCAATACTTTGTTCGGTCATCTATTACGAAGGGTCAAGATGACATATTGCTATCATGTTTCGTCCGTCTGTCGTCAGCCGTGCGCCGTGGCCGCGGTAAACTTTTAATTCAAAATGCTACTCCTCCTTCATGTCTTGATGGATTTCAACCAAATTTGGTCCGATGTATCTTGGGTTCTTATGCGGACAGTTTATTCGACCCCTAAGGACGGGCCACAAGAAGGGAAGTTATTTCTTATATTCGGAAAGTTGATACAATACCTAGGGACTTGTGGACGAGGATCCCAAAAAAGGGAAAATACAATGTAGACAATATTTTGCTTTAAAACTCTACTCATTCTTAATGTCGGGATATATTTCAAGTTTGTTCTGAAACACATTGGGATGGGGAATCATTTCTTTAATTCAAAAAGTTGATTCAACTGTAAGAGTTTAGGTGCGAGTATCGGAAAGGGAAGTTAGACAACGTTTTTCTTCCTAAAGGTTTGCTTGAATTTCAATAAAATTTGGTCTGATGTATCGTTGAGTGAAGAAAATCATTTTTTATATTCAGAAAGTTGAAAGTGGATTCGACCCCTGGGTACTTGGGAACGGGGACCCAAAAGGGAAAGTTAGTCAATATTTCATTTCAAAACGCTACTCTTCGTTAATGTTTCTCATTAAAATTTTGTCTGAAACATCATAAGATGTTGGAAATTAACTATGAAATTCAGAAAGTTGATTTGCCCACTAAGGACCACGGGCCGGGGCCCCAAAAAGGTACGTTAGGCCATATTTTGCTTTAAAACGCGACTCCGTCTTAATCAATGGGTATATTTCGCCCAAAACTGACAAGACACATTACTAGAGAGTGATAATGATATCAAACGTGCATGAAGTGATTCTGAGATTGTCGTGACCTAATCACACTATATTCATCATGAGCAAATAGTCTGAACCACTTCTACAGATTCATTAAAATTAATGAAAAAACATTTAGTTTCATTTGTAAAGAGAAAAGGAAAAGAAACAAATGATTTGTTGTTATATTTAAGCATGGTCAAAACTTCAACATGGTAACCACAGAAGTCATTTTGTAACATTATTACTGTTTTTCATTAACAAAACCTATTATTTATGAGTTTCAGATACTTTCAAGGAATGTTCAAAGTTTGAATTCATCAGATTTGTTAGATCACCATCGACAAATTTTGTGGTCTGTCCGTCAATCCGTCGATTGGCAGGTGACCGTTAAGGACATGTCCCTCTAGTTAATTAATAATGCTATGTTAATATTTCACTTAGCTTATGCTTAAATTCAACTTATATTTCAGATCTCGAATTTCACAGATTACTGTTAACTGGACTTTGTTAATTAATTAACAGTGTCTCGTTATAGTTTTCCGTTTAGCTTTACACGGTCCTTAACTTATTAACGTACATGTTTGCTTCAACCTGATGTTATGGAAAAGCCGGGAATCACACGACATGGGAGTAATACTTGTTAGATGTCATGGTCATGGGGCACAATTAAAAGGAATTTTATATTCAATCATTATTCGACAAAAACAATATTTTGGTATCATATAGATTTATTTACGGTAGGGATGGATGATGATGGTGGTGGTGGTGGTGGTGGTGGTGGTGTGTGTGTGTGTGTGTTGAAAGTTGAAGTCATCGATCGTTGATAAAAAAAAAATATTGATTTATTTTTGTTTTGTTTGTTTTTTGTTTATTTTGATTTTTGTTTTATTATTATTATTATTTATATTTTGTTCTATTTTATTTCCTTGCTTATTTAACACACCTTTGTCAGGTATCGTTATTTTGAATTGTTACTATCTACACACACACTTCTCATTGTTTTATAAGTACACCAACGATAAGATAAAATTATACAAATTCAAAGGACATATCTGTTACCTTTTTCTCTGTTACTTTTAACAGTAAATCATCTTCGCTGTTAAACATCTTACCTTCAGCATCAAGGAAACTAGTCAAGATCAACAGAAGAACCAGTATTTCCCGGGAAAACGTCATGGTGAATTTAATTCCTGGGAGATTTCAAAATCCCCGGCGAATATTTGATAATTTGCTTTAGATTTAAACTTCTGTCTCGAAAAATATTCGTATATATAAAGAATTCAAAACCACACAACTGAAACTCGGCTTAGAGAGCCTAAGTTTGGTTAAAGTTTGAAGTGTACGATGACCAGAGTAATTTAAAAAATGCTAGGCTGCTACGTATTAGATAACCTCATTAATTAGTACAGACCAATCATAAGCATTTAAACATTAACAAAGTACAACAATGTCTCTTTAAAAAAAACTCTTTGTATTTGATCTTACATTTGTGTATACGAGGGGTATATTTTCAACAAAAAACATGCCGTAGTTGGGAACATGTGAACAAACCCTGAGGAGTTCATAGGTTGGGCTGTACTGTTGATAACATACCCGATTTTCAAGAAGGCAATCAGAGTTTGATTTCTTACTCGACTTTAATGGAAATACGATCTGCCCTACTCCTCTTCCTGCGTCTGTTGATTTTGTCCTTAAATCAGAGCAAGATTAACTCAAGCCGACCTTGAAAAAGAGATCTAAATGCGGACATGTACACAACATTCTTTTAAGTCATTTAATTAAAAAAAAACCCACTGAATTTAGTGAGTTTGAGGGTTACCTCCCTTATCTGGTTATTAACCTTTTCCTCAGTTGAATTTCAGATTTCAATAATTAAGGTATCACCCACCAAGAAGTCGATGAAAGACAAAATAGTTGTAGGATGCAGTTTTTCTAATCGTTTGGCTATACCATAACCTATTCAATTTTTTTATTTGTAGTTTTTAATTTATATCTTCACCCTGAGCGTTTTTACATTATTGTCGTGTTGGACTGATACACGCGAGATCTGGTAGCTGACATTACCTTGTGTCAAAAGTGAAAACAGAGTGTCAACGCCCAACTTTTATATTTAGTAAACAAAGAAAGCAGTCATATATCATTCTATTGTTCTTTTCTCTAGAAAGGAACACTGAGACAAACAAGTATCAACTTCATCATTTTAAATTTTAATCATTTCTAATTTTCAGCAAATTTTCTTTCAAACACAATCACAGCGAACAAATGTCCATTTAACTTAGCCATTGAGAATACTATTTCTGTCTTAAGACACAGTAAAAACTCGGATTCATAACACTTCCGGGAAAGATCAGTTGGAGATAAAGTTTAATTTTATTAATTTCTGTATACAATGAATGTTCATGGATTTTCAGGATCCAAAATTATTCGTATGAGGTATCTCATTAACATAATACAGAATAATTTCCCATATTTAAATATTTGTATATTTATCTAACATACAGGTGATAAACTTGACTGAGTTATATAGATATAACAGATTTATCGAATAACTGCACATACATTTATCTGATAAATAGTGTCATATTGATATCGGAAATTTACTTTATCTTATAACACTGATTAGGAATAAATCATAATAGACTTTTGATTAAATTTATATAACAATGAATAAATAAAATCGTTTAAGGCAAACTCCATGAATGGCCAGTGTCATTGATCTCCAAGCTATATGTAACGAGAAATGAATGTGGCATTTACGGAAGACCGCTGATAAATGACAGAATTTTGGGTAAAACTCAACACCAAATTCAATATTCTTATCAATGTGCATTATAAATGCTAGCATATATTTTTATAATATCACAAACAGTTTTTTTTAAGATAAGAACCACAACACTTTGAAGAAAGCGGTCAGAACACTGTAATTATATTCCTTACTATACTTTTTCTGGATGTACTCTCGTTCATAGGCCTGAGAAAACACAATAAAGACTTTTGTATGTGACATTTCGTTATGAGTCAGAAAAGCGATTTCTTCGCCACAAATCTCTATACCTGAAAATGATAGCTTAATATGTAAGACGAATTACAGGCAATATCAGAGTGCAGTTAATTTTTCATCATGTGATCATTTCCTTACATCTCGGTGACGATCTGTTTAAGTACCATAACATGAAGTCATACGCATTCTTACATATTATGAAATCGTATATTTTCGTTGGGCTCAATTTTCGAGCTCTTTTAAACAATCAGTATTTCGTATACATTCCGTAGATAAAAATATAGCTCAATAAATCTACTTATACTGATTTTAACAGTTTGTGGACGTATGAATTCGTGAAGCCGGAACATCCATGAAGCCAACGAAAATAACTCCCCACGAAAAATATTGAGTTTACAGTATGTAAATTTCAAATGTCGCTTTCTTTACTTTTATCGAGACTAACAAACATCTAATTTTACAGCAGATACATATTGTAACTTATTCTGACCTACTTTGGGCAACAATACACAGCAAACCGTAATGCTATATTTCAACATCATGTGTATTAAACTTTTAACTAACAGAAGGTTCGTTGTTGACATTTTCATCCGCTCTCAGTTCATGTAAACAACTCAAGTGCTTCTAACTATAGCACATTTCGTTTTGGAAAAACTTTAGCACTACAACAAAAAAAGGTGTTAAATAATCAATATTATATCGAATAGTAATTTACTTCTCTACTGAAAAACATTCACAAAATTGATATAAAATTATCATTTCTTATGTTTTTCAACGTTACATATCTGTACCGGCGTTGTCCTTTATCATCCTGTGGCTAGGCTGTTATTTCTCTTCTCGATTGATCTAACTGCTGGGGTTTGTATTTGGGATATATATCATATTATGAAGAACAAATATATACACTTCACAACTAAGTGATAATATATTTTAAAATTTATGGTTTTAGACATTAAATCTCAGTTTAAAATATTTAGTAATGTTCTCGTCCTTGCTGTGGTAAGCCCAGTGTGCTAAAATTTCGGAATTCAGCCTATGTACTAGATATTGCAACGATGGGTATTTTTTCCCATAAAGGATCAAAAGTTTCATGTATTTGAATAAGTATACGCGGTTAATTTTACCTAAATCGATATCAAGGGGTCATGATTTATCAAGAACAATAACACTTTTATTACGAAAAGGGACATAATTCTTAATCACATATCGTTCATTTTAAAGCAAGGGAGCTAAATCTTTTTGTCTTTTCAGGTTAATCCACCGGAACCATGGTGCGCTCACGTCTCCGTCTATTAGACGTCCTGGGCCTAACATTATCAATCACTTCAGCGTTTCTTTTCTCCAATTCCTCTGTCAGGCCTTTTACCTGAAAGTACGAAGAAAGATATGATTTATATGAAAACACATCAGACCAGTTAATGACTTTTTAAATTTGAATTAAATTGTAACGTATATCAAATAACAAAATATGGAAAAAAGGGTTATCCAAATCTATGTTACAAAAAATGACATTTCCTGGTAAACTACTTGTAAGCTTAACAGTCGTGAGTATATTCATGTGGACAGCGTGTCACCTGTTTCGCTTGAATGGAGAAGTAGCAGATGCATGATCTACATATATACAAAGTATTCTCATCACACAAAATATGTGTTATAAAACTCCACTTCTCTCTCTCTCTATCTCATTCTCTCTCAACTTGTTCATAATTGTTTAATTGTTATTACATCCTACTGCCAACTTGTAAATATATTGTGTGTGTATTAATATGTTTGGAAAGGACGTTATATAAGTTGTAAAACTTGTGCCCAATTCTATTGCTACTTATGTGCAATAAAATATGTTTAAGTTAAAAAAAAGTCAGAATAAACATGTAAGTTGACCATTTGCTACACACGTAGCAATACGTTCCCCATTTAAAACGCTAATAAAAGTGCTAATGTTAATGTTATTTTGTTGAAATTGTACGCTTTAAAATTCATTTTGATTCGTATAAACGAATTCCTCATTAAAAGAACTTACCCAAACGTAGAAGGTGGCACCACCTGCACTGACCATGCGAACCTGGTCCAATGAAAAGTCTCGTATGAGATCACGTGCTCCAAGGGCAACATCCAATGGGATAGAATCTACGTTAAGTTCCTGTATCCTCCGTTTAATAGCTTCCTTCCCCATTTTACCCAGAGCTATTTGTACATTTTTCCAATCCTGTCAAATAACAACAAGTAAATACCAACATGTTAACATAATCATAATCCAAAATCTAATCTAATAAACCAGGGAAAATGTGAACAAAAGAAATATCAACATGGATACTCCAGAAAAAGTACACAAAACATAAGACCAGGTGTTCCGGAAGAGCACGTTGTCAATGAGAACAAGGTATACAACAGCGAAACCTACAGCAAACACTTCCAGCTTCATGTAACACAAAACTTATTCAAGGAAGTAAATTTCACTGCATTATCAAACAGTTTAATGGGAAACCGTACATTTATAGATTTTTGGTCAAAACCTCAAATGGATAGTTTTCATAAAACTTCTCAATGCATGGTTAATATTCTTCTCAAAGATAAAAATAGTGAAAAAACGACAGCTGTCAAATGCTTAAATATTACAAAATTGGCCTTGAACAGTTTACATCTTAAGATATACAACACGTGTGCAAACATTTTGTTGTTAGAACCAACATATGTTTATATGACAAACCTCCGTTTCCTCCTCCCAATGACCCAATAGAAGCAGTGTTGCCATCATAACTCGATGAACTGCAGGGGGTGGATTATTGTAGCAGCGGATTTCACCGATGGTTTTTTGATCCAGCGTAAGAACAGCATGTAGAAGCCTGGAAACGATAGAAAATAAAACATACATATCACAAATTAAACCATTGATACTGTATCTCTAGGTAAAATCTGATGCTCTAAAACAGAAATGTAATGGAATAAATCTATGTTATTATACATCAAGGTTACAATGCTGAGAACTATATCAGAATATGCAGATTAAAGTGTCATTAATATTTGAACTTGCCATCTTTTCTGGGGTTTAACGTTTAATAACGATGCCAAAAAATGTCAAGAATATACTTCTACCTCAACACAAAACGGTATAGAAGATATTTAGAGATTTAGAGATCAGTAAAATGAGAAAAAGTCTTATTATTTAAAAGAATAGATTGGTAAACAGCTTAGGGCCAATGAGGAATATAGCGTTAGTCAATTCTGAAGGCTTGGCATTCTACATCAAGGTCTTCTTTACTTTACTGTACTAAAGACAATAAGGAATATATTATTGTGATTATTTTTTAATAAGGTGGTGTTATTACAGGAATTATTGGAAACGCATTAATGCATAACATGATAGCTCATTTTAATCAAACATCAAGAAAACCGACGACACACGCCATGTAAACCTTGGTCAATCCAAGTAAGTTATGTCACGTTCTAAATGAGAACAATTGCGGTCTGACCTACTTGGACAACAATAAACAGGAAACAGTAATGTTATATCTTAACATAGAAGATTCGTTGTTGATATTTTCGTCAGCTCTCAGTTCATGTAAACAACTGAAGTTTTGTTTTAAAAATTATAACACATTGCTTAAAAACAAACTTGAACACAACAATTGAGTGTTATATATTCAATATAATATCAAATAGATATTTACATCTTTACTGAAAAACATTAACAAAACTTGATATAAACATCATTTCTTATGTTTTCAAACGTTACATATCTGTATCGTCGTTGTCCTTTATCTCTTTGTAAATAATGCTGTTATAACTGTTTAACTGTTTAGGTGTTAGGTTTTGTATTTGGGATATATATCCCATTATGAAGAATAAATATATATACTTTATATTCTTGACAACTAAGTGACAAGATATCTTAAAATTTATGGTTTTAGCCATTAAAATCTCAGTTTAAAATATATAGTTATGTTCACGTACATGCTGTAGTTAGCCCAGTTATAAAATTTTATTTATGATTTTCAGCCTATGTACTAGATATTGAAACAATGGGTTCACCCGCCATGTAAACCTTTGTCAATCCAAGTACGTGATGTCACGTTCTAAATGAGAACAAGGTAAACAACAGGTAAACTAACGGGCATCAAACACGTTCAGCTTCATATCACACAAAGAAATAAAGTATTTTTCAATGGGATCACTATGGTGAACATAAAAGAACTCCCCATAATTTTCATCAACCTGCATCTTTTGAAACCATATGTTACGAATTTGTCCGTCAGTTGACGACTTCTTGCACGCAATAAAAGATATAAGTGCTGTAGGAATCTTCTCTTAGTTTAAAGAGGTTATTTCAAAAGCTTGTACTTTTCTAACAGCCTACAAATATGTTGGAGTCCTTTCTGTGAAAAAAGGATTGCATTTTTAAGAGGTTTAAACAAATGAATGCATTACTTGTTGATGTTCCGTATCCTTTCGAGCATGCTCTTTGCATTCAGGACCTCCCGTTCAAGTCGGACCTCCAATTGCTTCTCTCGTACCTTCTTCAGAGCTTCACGAATGACATTCATATCTTTTTCATTCGTCGCCTCAATTAGTTCTAAAAAATAATTAAATATTATATGTTTATGTGTTTCCAATAATTGTATAAAAATGACATCAGTGAGAGACTAAAGAATAATGACGTTAACACATTGTTATATATTCTACATGCTAATATGTATATGTGCAACATCAATTAATGTGAAATCTGAAAAATAGATCAATAGAAACAGAACTAAAATTGATACGGACAATTCATGATATACAAACTTTTTGTTTTATATTGTTATCAGCTCTTGTGAGCTATGTATTAGTATTGAATTTGAATCATGAAATTAACACAGACGGTAATGACAAAATTGAAGGTTCCAGGTGCGACATCTTGTTGACAAGACAAACAGACTAGTTTGATCCTCTGATGTACATCAAACGAATCTGGAGGTTGCATAACGGTATATTGTAATGACTTTTAAGTTGGGTATCACTCCTTTGCAATCTTCAAAAGGAACGTATCAGTCTGTGATTGTTCATTGTTTTCTCCTGGAACAAATCCAGTTACTTCGCTTGTGGTTTCAATTTTGCTATGACATGTTCCAGGGGAGTAAAGAGCGAAAGTGATCTTAACACCTGGAGTATCGAGGATGTGCCTTTTCACAATTCTGCATTCCAAAAAGACGGGATACCGTGGTAAATTATACCAAAGAACAGGATAGATTTGCGGAGGTTGTGAATTAATGAAACTTGATATATACATCTTAACATATACATTTCACGCCATTATGAAATGAGGCGACGTTAAAAATTACAATTCTTTTAATTTGATTCCCAATTACAATATTGCTTTAGATTCCAAACCATCAACTGGGTAATTGAATGAATCAGAACCAATGGTAGTGCGAGTGCGTTCTGCTTTTGTTTTAATTTGAAAAGTTACTATCTACATTCAGTGACTAACACGCATTTTTATAGTGTCCTTCTTTTCATAAAATCTTAAGCTAAGATGCATTAAAAAACCGAAGGGAAATTAATATCAGAAACCATCCGTTGTCTAGCTTGTCGATGGTAAATCTTAATTTAGTGTTAGACAATAATGTTTGATCGTTTACCGGTATTAATGAATGATAGTCACGGCAAGTTACCACCGCATGTATCGATAAAGTTGGAAATGAGTGTTCAAACATACCAGGAAATACAACTCTGGTCATGTCTTATCAGCCACAATTGGGGACATTAATGTTGAAGCATAAATATACACTGTTACCAAAGAAATAAAAGAGATAGATTACAATATTTTACTTACAATATTTCCCTTTGAAAGATTTTATTTAAATTCGTCACAATCTATGTAAAAAGAATGTAAAATAAGCTGCAATTTTGCTTTACTCCCCCCTCCCGCCCCCCCCCCTTACCACAAATAAAGGAAAAAATATAAGACATAAGATAATAAAACAATATAAATAAATGAATAAACATAAATATATTATACATCAACTGATCCTTACCCCGTCGACATCTAAATACATCTAGTTCCTTTTCAGCCATTTCTATGTCATTTTTCGTTGTAGGCAGTCCTAACGCCTTCAGTTCTTCCAAGGCAGCTTCAAGTTCCTTGTCGTTCTCTTCATAAATGGCATTCCTGATTCGTTCACGGAGTTGGTTCGGCACATCTATATCAAATAGCAATACCTTTATTAGCGTTCTATTTATGTATATTTGACTAACATAGACTAATATTGTGATCTGGGTATTATGTACAATAAACCCCTTTGTAATTTCATAGAATGAACTTTCGAACTAAAAGGAAAAAAATGGTTTCTTGTCTGTGTTAATAATTATCACAAATTAGATGGTTTTCGCCTCTATTAAGATAAAAAATTAAATCATTTCACTTTAAATCAGAGACCTCCGATCTACACCTATCATTGTGAAGGTACCGATTTCAACAAACGAGATCCCCTTATTACTGAGGGGACTGAATATCTATCTTTATTTTTCAGCAGTAAAAATATAACTGATAATATCAGTCTATTTTTCTATGCGAATGAAAAATGCACAATTCAATTGGAAACCTATTCATCTTCTCTTCCTTTTCCCCTTTCACTCTATGATATTTACAACAGTAATAAATGTCTCTGCAATCAATGGCAGGTGAGTAGCGGTATTATTTATTCTATATTGTCAGACAAAACCGGATTTTGGGTGGGTCACGAAAAGAAACTCATTCCATGGTTAACTGAATATAGCAGTGTTTGTATCAAATCATACATTCTACCACCGCATCTTAACATCATATCTTTGAATAGCTAATGTTCGGTATGAAACTGATTAATCTCTGTGGTATATATACAAATATATCGTTTCTGCAGAACAATGATGTGGTACAATGCTATCAAACGCGTTTTCTGTCTTCAGCTTTTACTTGAAACCTTGACATAAGCACTGCTTAGATAATACAAATTTATGGGTATTCGTGTTTGAGACGAAATGCTTAGTAGTTTACTCACGAGATCCTAAGGATGATCCTCCTGATCCGCCGGTTGTCGTTGGTTGATCGTTTCCGGACGTGCCTGATGTGCTGCCTGTCTGTGTTTGCGCACCAGGAGCAACCTGTGTTCGTTTGGTTCGGTTTTTCTTGTACTTGACTACATAATCAAACATACTCTCGAACCCTTTGCCCGTGTTCCCCATCAGTCTCAGTCCGTAGTTGCCATTCTGGGGGAAACGGACAGTGAATCGACAAACATTGCCATCCTGTTCCTGATTGATCAGCCTCTTGGCCACTTCCGGTCGCACCATCTTACCAGACAAATTCAGCGAAAGATCAATGTTTTTGTCGTTTTGGAATTCAAGAACAATTTCCTCGTCTTCATTTTGTATAAATCCCGAAGGATGTGATATTGCCGTAACCCCTGCTTTTACAGCGCCCTTTTTAGGGCCAAGTTTCTCATTAAAACCACGCGGGAAGGCAAAATTCTCACCAATTTGCTTAGATGTTACTAGATAATTGCAAAAATTCCTGTCTATTTCCTCACCTTCTTCCTTTGAAAACAACTTCAAGGCATATTCTCCTTGTCGTGGAGTGTTCACATTAAAAATGAGGTCACCATTTTCATACCTCTGCACGACATGATCTGAGAAATCCTCAGTGTTGTTTCCACCTTTGACTAGCTCCGCTCTTACAGTCTTTGTGCTCCAGTCCTTCCCATCAACCGGACTGAACTTGACTTCCAATGCTCCTGTGTCCTTGGCTTCGATTTCACCAGCAAAGTGACTCATTGGAGCCAGTCCACATTCAATCGCGTCTCGACCTGGTCCCCATCCAATGACAGGGCATTCTGGGAAAGGTTCACAGTTCTCTTTCTCGCTATTAAATATTATTTTAAATATTGTCAACCAATCATAATCATAGGCAGGGTCTTCCACTGTTACATCCTTGCCAACAAGTTCAAACCGGAATGTGTCAGCAACTGGGGAACGTATCCGGATGACGAGAACGGTATTTTTGACTCTATGAAGGAACACGTACCGGTCGTATCTACGAAAGATGAAAAAATATTTAAGTTACATATCGCATGGGAGCCTTTGTTGAGATTTGAGCAATGGAACAATTTACGTTACGTTAAAAGACGCTTAAGATATATTGTTACTTTGGACAATATGTATGTATTAATTTGTGACAGCATGGACATTTGGGCCAATATCAATGAGAAATCAGTACTGCACACGCAGATTGTTGCTTAGTTATGACGATAAATTGAACTTTATCTTGCCTTTAAAACTCCTGAAGAATACGACTAGGTGTTTCGTAAGGGTAAGCGATTTTTGCTTCATCGCCAACACCAGCCTTGATCAATCACAATAATCAACATTCTCAATTGAGAGGAGTGTAAACATCAACAGAACCACCGAACATCAAAGCCTAGCTTTATATAGCACAAGAAATAATTGTTTCCATCCGAGATCCTTATGACAATTTTTTAAAACGTTTACTGTCAACAAAATGATGCATCTTATATTTCGTAGATTTAATACCACTCAATATGCATTGCAAATGATTGTAACTTTTAGTATCTCGTGATTTTACCTGTGTAAAGTTGACTGTCCAGAGGATCGTTTCAGCCGAAACATTAAATACTGAAAGTCCATGTTCATATAACTATCTTCAGGTAACTCAAACTTTATCTCGACCTCCCCCGTAGCGTGCACGACACACGTTTGTGGGGATATCAAATTAAGCTTCATATTAAAATATCTGTCCTTTAGGAATGCTCTTTCCTCAAAAGTCTCCTCAGAAACAGGTTTATCTTTCAACTGCCAAATTGAATCTTGTGGAAGATGGGTACTGGCCATTTGATCCGGATCTGTCAGAAAGTAGTTCTCGTCACAGGAATAGAAAAGCTGTTTGCTGATTTGATCTCCTTTGACGTCCTCCCCACCTCCTCTGTCAACTACTTCCCACTTAGTGTCCTCGACCCCACCCTCAGCGCACGTGCCCCAATAGGCGTTGATAAAGCGCCAATCACCGTTTAAGAGGACGGCATTCCACTCGCCATAATGCTGCTCATCATCCATCCGCTCTCCGACCTCGTAGGTGGAACCCTTCAACTTCCCGTGTATAATCACACAGGGAATTTGAGCAAATCTAAATAAAAAAAAATACATAGAATTTCTCCTATTATCACAAACCAGTAAGAACGTTTTATAAGATTTAGTATGAGAGCATATTTTCTATACATAGTTATTCACCCAGTAGAAATCAACCTTAACGCTCTCATTGATTGTTTTCAAATCTAAGTTACTAATGCTTAATATATACAAACTATTTGTTTGCGTTCAAAAATTAATGATATGTTAATGTATCATGTTTTGTTTAACATAAGTAAACAACCAGGTATAAAGTGTAAATTGACTTCTTGAAATCAATTTTACCTGCAGAGGAGACTGACGAGCTGGGCGTAATTTCCTTTCCGGTGTTTTATACGCCATAACTGGAATTGTGTGTGGGAATGAGGTGGTTCCTTCTTATCGATCGACAATTGGTCGATAGGTTGTGCAGTCACCCATCTGTAAATGGCGCGCATTTTAGACATATCGTCCTCATACCCTTCTGTAAGATATTCTACCAACGCCGACAATGGTTGTTTTAGGAGTTTTGAAGGAGCCTGTGGTGGAAACAAATAGCAAATAGAGACAATTGCAGAAATCAGGAACCAGAAACGACTATAAATTTATCTTAATAAGTCTAGGTTTTTTAAACATAGTTATTCTATATTATACGCTATTGAAAAGAGAAGACGTTAAGACGAAATGAATCTGGATTTCAGAACCGATACTTTAAATATATAAAGTATATTTTCAAAAATTGGAGAGGCAGTCTAGATTTATTTCATACTGGAATACATTTTTCATTTCTAATTAGAATGCAGAATTTTTTTTAAAATCATGTCAATATTTAATAACAATGCGAATATTGATCAATGCATAAGATACAACGTTCTCAAAGTTAGAGCAGTGTCATAATAAAGAATGTATCAGGTATGATGTTGTCATATCATATATTATACCTGCACGGCTCTTTTGTCTACGGCTACATATTGTTTTGGATCGAAGATGGCGTCTTTGAGCAAAGACGGTGGCCTTGGTTCCGGAAGTTCATCCACTCCATTGAGGGAATCAACATAACAGTGATGCTTTTCTGATAGTTTAAAAGACGGAATCAACTGATATGTTGCAAACAGCCGTCCCAACTCCGGGGCAACCTGGCAACAGGAATTCACAATTAAATAGACACACAAAAGAGAATCGAAAACGATTGATCCTAAATATTTTCCAATGGCAAAATCATGTTCTGTAAAATAGAAAAAGAGGACAAACAAACAAGTAAACAAACAAAATGGCACTTGTTTACAATCAAAGAAGAGTCGATGATTCTCTTTCTCTAATGTTGGCAGCGAGTAAGATGTGGATCTGACAAATGTTATTTGCTGTAAGTAAAATGTAAATAAAATTCCCTGTTTTACTAGAGATTGGGAGGATATATTTGAGGGAATTTTGAATCGCTCATTGAAGTATATTATATGTCGTTACAACAGATACATGATATTTGCAAGAAGGCATGTGTAATGAACGAAACATTACTCTTTAAATTTCTGTACATATTTTGAAATTGATGCCAAACCTTTGTACAACGACATCTCCATTTCACGTGTTACTAAAACAATACTAGTGTAACCAATATTATGTTTGATGGGTTGTTTTTGCTGATGTGTGAAATTCATCAGAAATATATTAGATGAATTAGACGCATTATCCAACAAACACAATAAACAAAAGAAAATAATAGATTGTGCAACGGTGGTAAGAACAAAAGTCCTCAGAAATAAATATACCTGAAATTAATCAAGCGTGAAATACGTGCATGGTAAAAAATAGAAATAATCAGTGAAACGAAACAAGCAAGGCAGAATAAAAATAGGTATATTTAACAGTGAAATCTTAAAAAAAAACATACTGATGATTTAGATTATAGGAACACAGGACTTTGTTGAGAGTGAAATTTTATCTTGTGATTTATATATATGAGTTCGTAACCCCCATCTTGTTCTGCTGTGGAGGGTGACTCGTGCTCATGAAAACATAGAGATACACTGTGAGTGTTTGCTAGTCACGTGGTCAGATTGTGATTTACACAGCTTTGTTCTGTCGTGATAAATCAGTGATAATCTGACAGACAAGGTGGTACCACGATATTCTCTCATGGTCACTCATCACTAATCCGTTCCTTTATCAGATAAATGTTTCCCGAGCACGACAAGTGGTCATTTGCCGGCCAGTGTCAACCCCAAAAGGATCTTAACTGAAACTCAATGTAATATAACAAACAAAAAGATATAAAGGACCTCTCAAATAGTATTGCTTATTCATCTACTGCTGCAATGTACGTTTTATGATATTTGACTTTGAGAAAACAAACCTGAACATCATACTATATACAAGCTTGATTTATTTATATCTGAAGATAAATGGCGACTAGAAGAAGTTTATGCGATTGCCGATGCACCATTTTTACGCTGATTTGAAGATCAACATCATGGTGTAAAATAAGTCAATTCTAAATTTAAGTAAAAACAGACTATGACTCAATATGTGACAATTCACGGATATATGAATGTAAAAATATTCAAATAATGACCCTTTTCGAGTATATCAAATAGAAATAAATATTCTTTTATTCTAATTCGATAATTCTAGATAGAAATAGTTGTTTACAAAAACAACCAACAAAATGCCAACATGTCAACTGAATCATAATCCAAACTCAAAAAATCAATAAAACGTAGGCAAAATATGAACACAAGAAAGATTTACAAGGAGACTCCTTAAAAAGTAAAAAAAAAAAAGTGTCTTTTACTTCACCAACAACACCTGTCATGTAAATCTTGGTCAAGATCAGTAATGTCACGTCAACTTTATATTAATTTGGTTTCTGTTTTATTGTTGCAAAAGTATATTTTGTTCTCAAGAAGGCATGACTAAGCATATTTTGACATGATTTTCCTTGCATTGCAAGGTCAAATTAAGATTATCGAGACATCCGGACCTTTTAGAATCTAAATCTGTAGAGTATGGCCGAGCAATGTGTGACAAAATATTTGATAGTACTTAAATTACTACTGCTGAGTATTACTAAAACACAGTTTAAATCACTGTAGTAGTTTTGATCATGACAATGTATGATTGACAGTGTTATGGATCGTAATATACTTGAACTTTGTAAACTGTGCCGAAGTGACACGACATTTAAATAACAAAGAAAATCAATAAAACTACATTTAAATTTCTACTCCAGCAATTATTTAAGATATGTAATCAAAGGTTACGTTTACCTAATGGAATTTTCACATAAGCTTTATGATCTACATTGTATATCTGTGGGAAAGGTGTGGTATCACAACTGTTGATCTTAGACACGTAAAATAGATTTAAGTGAGCATATTTAAAAACGTGTCTTCCTGTTTTGCAATTGAGAATAACATGTCTAGATTATACATTTCACTTAACAAGTGTTACGTTTAAATTTTAACAGGTGTTAACGAAAGTTTTCATCTTTGACTTATATGTAGTCTGAAACCAGGTGATCAGGTGTACAGAATACGTTACATACATAGATAAATAGCTACAGAATTGTCGCTGTGGTGGACAGAAAGCCGATTACGTGTGTACTGATTTATACCTAAAATACTGGGCCTAAAACACAAATATTGACATGGGTGTTACTACTGTAATTGTTATGTGCTCAGTGAAATGTAAATACACCTGATAAGTTACCTCGACCGTACAATGCAAACCACAATCGACCATAGATTACCTTGGAATTCGATCCACAACACATTGCAAAATGGATCGACCCGAAAAGAGGGGCTAAACCAGGTGTTGAAACTAATATCAGAGCCAAGGGGTTCGAATTTTATAACAGGGTCAGGTGAAAGGATCCAACCCAAATATGGTCATCAAGATTGACCCGATTGTTAGGGTAACGGGAATCGAACCTGATGCCAGTAGAATGGAAAGGAACCCAAATACCAAGGCCATGTGCCTGAACATAGTTTCAAAAGGACCGATCCAACTATTGACGCAGATACAGGCCAAGCTAAAGCCGCCTAGATTTAGACCTAAATATCAAGGCTAGGGCCTAGTCAGGATACGTTGTTCTCCACACAATGTATTAGACTAATGTATAAATCAACCATGTCCTTTTGCAAGATACTCTTCCGATTTAAATATACAAAATATTTTATATTTAAATCCAGCTCTATTTTTATAAATATTTATTAGGAAATAAATACTATAACAATCGATCCGATCCGTAAATGATAATGAAATATTGACATGAGACAGGGGAGTGCAAATATCGGTGATCTCAGAACTCGGAATTTGACTCTACCTGTCGAAGAATCATATCGAAGGAAAGTGTGAAATTCTTTTAAGAGTTTACTCAGAGTAGCACACATATGTAACGGAGGACACAAAAGTGTGTTTAACACACAGGAAATAACGAGAGTGTGTTTATGACATATGTAAACAAACTGACAACACGATAACAATTCAGGAAGCCAGGAAGGTGGATCGTGTAAACAAACCATGATTTGCTAGATATGTCTTCAGCTGAAGGTCATGGCTTTTAAATTCATAGCTTGGGATTGTGTTCCTGCTGAATGTATGGAGTGTCTTAATTTCAAACTAAGGCTTCACGCGTCAACACTGTCTTTCAAACGTTGACAGTGCTGGTATATCAGAGTCGTGTCATATTTCTGAAACATATCTCGATTAGAATTCCTTTCGACACGGGATATATCCAAACAATAATGATTGTGTCGGGTTATAGAAATACAAATTAAATCTATGTATGACAAATAGTTTTCATGAAAGGCCATTTCAAATCTGATGAACTATTCATCCTCTCAGTGTTTGACTGCGCTGAACTTTCTCTACTGAAGTAATAGTTCGTGCTTGATGGGAGTGAGAGTGACAAATATGAAAAATGTCTCAACTCAAGATGAAAGTGGTTACTGAAGGTACAAATGATTTTGACCTATATACACTTGAATATGTTACCTACAAGTGTATATTGTCGTACAATATAAGTACACGTTGTTTTTCTCCCGGGCATATATATGTAATTACAGGATGTATTTATTATTCGGTCTTATTTCACAGATGAATGAGAAAGGAATTCACTAGTGTCATGATGATCATGGTCTTGGTGTATTTGAAAAACATATAAAAATATCTGGACTCACAATAGAAGAGTTTAAAAAGAAATAAAATACATCCGAGTGACTAAACAAATCATGAACTTCCAATACTACAGTAAGTACGTCATACAGAAAGTTAGTGCAGTCTACTGACTTGTGTAAACAAGATAGATAAATAAAAAGAAACCAGGAAAACATCATACCACCACAAGCTACAATATGCAATACCTGACTCACAAAAGGACCACCAACATTCAAAATTCAATGTTGTTCGAAGTCGAAAAGGACAAAAAAAAGTTTTACATCAAAACTAGTAAAGATTATCAAACAAATTGTCAATATTAACCTGGCGTCGTTACTAGAGTTTGAAATGAAGCTAGATATCATTTTTATGTATATTGATTTGTGTACAACTTTCAAATACTCCACCTTTTTATTGTTGCCCTTGATCCCGGTGTTTCTTCCTACATCCATGTCTCAAGTTACCACAGTACCATCCTCAATCAGACAACTGATCAATAATTGAAGGTAAGAATGTTCCAGCACTCATTTCACAAAGTCACCTTAACTAAGAGTGTTTTAACATATTTGAAAACAAAAACCGTATTTCCAGTGTTGGTATCCTTAGCAATAAACACCTTTCCTCCAGAGCTGGCACTCAATCAAAATGTTTATTCGGAATCGACAAAGGTTTCTGATAAACTCCAAAACTAATCAGTGGTCAACACCAGTATTCTACTCCACTAACTACCGAGTCCAATCAGCTATGGGTGTACAGCGCCCGTTGGGTATACAATGTGGAAATCGTGGACATGCAGCATGCCAAACATTTAAACACTATCCAGGGTCTATATATACGGGTCTCTTAGTACACCTCCGACACAGATAAGAGAAGCACAAGAGAAAGGCTACCTGCACACTGTTTGAGGAAAAGCAAAGTGGTCCCAGCCAGATACAATCTAGAAGCATTTAAACCGATAAAACACTTCAACAAGTGCCACTACCTTCCATAGTATCGGCATACCTGAACATACACTGCTTGCTTAACTCACCTCCGGATACGTTTTGTCAAAAAGAATGTGTATTGTTACCTGTGAAAAAGTGGTAGAGAGCTAAGACAGCCCTTATAGTGACGTAGCACCTGAGACCTTTAAACGACTATAATGACACGATCCATGATGTTCACCGTGACTAAGGGGGATGAATGAAATCTCTTTTTATCCATCGTATGGATTAGTTTCATTGTTCGAGAAAAATGTTTATAAAGTCCCCGAATGAAAAAGGTTATGGTATTTACGATAAAAATTAGAAGAGAATTGCAAAATAATGTTATCAATCTAATTTGTTACACATGTTTAACCGATTTCAATCAAAATAAAAACAGTTGACAGTGATCTAATAATGTGTACGGAAAGGGAAAAACATATCAAGTATAGCTCAGAAAAAAAAATCGAGAAAATCGTAATTTGAATGGAACAAAACAAATACCAGCAGCCATTGTGAATACAAATATGTTAACATGAAGTAAGGTGTGTTCAGTGTTCGTATTGGTTTAAAGCATTAACATGGCATTTTTTGTCTATTCTTTTGTCTCAATAACAAAGTTTGTATCATAATCTAATGAAAGGTAATGACTAGAGGAACTTTATAACATTAAGAATATGTATGATATTACATATTTACCCGTTTCACTTAACAATGATTCAACGAGTGATGAAAAATGTACCAGGTGTTCACTGAAGCTTATAAAGACAATACATTGTAATAAAAAAGGTCTGGCTGAAATTTAATTTCTATATATTTTATAGAATACGTCTTTTAGGAGGTAATTGTGAATATTACAAGAGGTTTTCTTACAAAACGAACACATTTCTGTAACTGGCGAATTCGCTACATATCTGCTACCGAGATACGAAAACCTTAACTAAAGCTTGGTATCGTTTCTCCTTGTATGTCTTTCTTTAGTTCATATTTGTTCTGTTTATATCGAATTAGAGTTTGATTTAAGATTCTGTGAACAAGTCGGTTTTTGATTTGTAGTGTACTCTTCCGTATTGTTATCTTTACAAAACTTACCATTTCCCAATCAATATCATAATACAATACATCTTGAATGTAAGTGTACAGGCCTTCATGTAACCAATAAATTTCTAAAAAAGAACTTATCGAGATAAAAACACAACGACATTAAAGATATCAAAGTCTACATGTTTATACTTGTACCTTGTGATGTTTGGTACAAGTAAATTATATGAACGCTTTAAGAACGTTGTGATGTTACAAAGTTTCCTACTCAATGTACTCGAATATGAATAAACAAACAAATAAACAAAATATTGATTTGATCTAGCATTAATATTGTACTTTATGTAAACATGACATTTTGGAGTTGATTCCTACGGAAGACAAGAGGGAAAATAGTACCAATATTAGTTACAAGTTCTGTATGCATACATTTACATTGAATTTGTGATAACATGCACACATAACTGTGTTCCTATATCATTATACATTATAGTACTTAGCTCTTTTCTATTCATTCTTCAAGTGAAATATTTCGTAACTCGGCAACGGTATTAACATAAAGACATCGAATCTGTTTTATTAGCCATACATAGGAATTCACTTTGGAGATGAACGAGTTTCGAAATCTATATGACAGTTTCATTAAGGAGCCATGTACTGATCAATTTTCACTTTTTGTAAATTGTCTTTTAATCAATATGTCGCTTTAAAGTGCAGCTTTCAGTGTAAGTAATGAAGAAAACGTCGTCAGATCTGACGTCAAATTTTAAAGAATCAGGAAGCCACTTTGTTCATTTATAATAAATAGGTCTATATAATTACTTTAATACTTCAGTCCTCACACATTGAGTTACAGGATGGATAAAGCTCGATAGTTAAAATACCATCAGGAATATTAAACCTTTTAGACTTGATAGGTTCAGTTTTTATGCCTCCAGACAACACACATATGTGTCGTAATGTCAAAAATTATACCCCTTTCATGCCGATACAAGTCGTCAACCGTTATATCTCTGGAACACCGGCATTTAAATCTTTACAATTTTTATTCAAATTTCAGAGATTTTTATCATAAAATATCCATGTTAAAGAAATGGATTGCATGTTAGTGTATTGTGTTAATCTTATAAAATTGAAATTTGAAGGTATCTTTAAAAACTCTTAAAATAGCAAACATAGAACATGTACATTGATTTCTAAATTTACTTCCTTATTAGGTAATCTTGATTTAATCTTCAGTAATATTATGAGAACTATTTTAAGGTATGTTATTCATATAATAAAATTAAAGACAAAAAAAAAAAAAAATCTTAAGTTATGTTTTCCTGTGTTCAAGTGTTTGGAATAAGTTATATAACCAGATTCTTATGAAGGAAGTTTGGAGACATTCAGAGAACGAGGGCTTATCTAAAATGTATTAGCGCGCTATACAATGTACTGTCATTTTATCGACAGTCGAGATTTCAAATGTTTATTTGCAAACACGTCAACTATACAGCAGACATATCACAAACATCAATTAATTAGATTCACGTTGCCTAGATAACTATGTTTCCCTTTTGAACTTAAGTCCGGTTAAAGTTAAATCGATATTTGTGTCCCATGATAAAGTGAATGTACATTGATACGATAAGTGTTTTTTACACAAACCATGTCGTTCGTGTGCAAAGGGTGTCAGTGAATTCACCCCACGTTAAAGACGGTGCACAACACACACTGGTGGATTCATTAGGTGATATCATAAATAAACACAATTCCAGGTCTGTGTTGTATTTTAAGTCCAGATACATTTCAACATTTATCAAAATCAAAGTTATGTGATATCACTGAAATTATGTAATTTTTACCCACATGTTTTGCTATTTTGCTATTTTGTTTTACTTATTTAACTGGTTTTACGTCCATTGTTAAGCCTTTCGGCCTTTCAGCGGACGAGAAAAGATAGGAAGCAAGCAGAGATGCTACTATGTAATATTTAAACATTCCGAAATTCACCAGCTTGTTTTAATTTTATCGTTACATGAGAATGCTTCGCTGTAAAATACAACTCATGACCTTTGATATGGATTTCATTAAACCTATGACACCGAGGATAATGTGAATTTGCAAGTATCTAGTACCTTAAGTCGCTGACCAGACGGTCGATTGCCTGCATTTTCTTTCTGTAAAAATGAAACAAACCATCGCCTAATGAGTACTGTTACTTGTTACTTTACTGGTTTTCATTTATGTTACGTACCAAACACGAGAACTAATAGTCTAGGACAATTGTTACCTTGTTTTGAGTTTAACTTACCTTTCTTATATTGTCATTCAGATAGTTTGTTGTCAAAGCTATGAAAAATATCAGTAAATATATTCACATTCGGAGTGGTTATCTCAGAACATTAAAGAACACAAGACACGATGGCTCTGTACAAGGAATTCAACAACAATAAGGAAAGATAAAATAATTTCTAAAAGGTAGAATTGAAGTTCTTATAACACAACCAGTTGAATAGAAGAGTTTGTGTTTTCGGAGACTACACGATCACCTTCATCAGGCAAAGAACCAGTGTGTGGCGTAGTAGCACTGACGAACGTAGAATACAATATGGTAAGGAATCGACCAACTTTTTCAGCTGTTCGATGGTCACTAGTCTGATGAAGGTGTCCGTGAAGTCATCGAAACCTTACACTCATAATTTTCTTCTGGTTGTGTTATAAGGAATTCTATTCTATTTACATTATCAACCTGAAAAAACCAACAACTTCTTAAAAGTAATCTACCAATATTTGACACACATTAATTTGTGCAATACATTGTGTCACTTTACTTTCTATGTTGTAAATACTTTTTCACTTCGATATTGGTCCATAAGATCAATAAATATAGAAAATACATAATTAAGTATACGTTCCATTCACTGTTAAAACCAAAACGTTAAAAATTATATCACTAAGTAGTTCTAAATATCGATTAATTCATATTTATGTATATTGATAAATTATTCTGGATCAAAAATTACATCTCATCGTTTTCTTTAATCGTAAACGTTTGGCAAGCCAGTGTGGGCTTCCGAACAATACAAGTATGTTTAAAAGTATTGTTTGATAAATAAATAAATAAATGATAGAAATAAGCGGTTTCTGTACATTTGGGCTTATTTCACTGTTATGAAATAACACATTGACTGTAGATGGTATACATTTGACTGTGTTAACGTGTGAATTTTCAGGCTGATACTTGCTCAGTTCAGTGCCTTGTCGTCGGGAAGGTTTATCTCAAAAAGTCAAGCATTCGGTAATAAGTGAGACGATATCTGTTGACCATAGATACGGCAAACAATAGTCGTGTTCGTGGTTAAAACAGTTATTGATCCTTAAAATCAATATTACAACTCTGAATAACTAATTAAAATCATTGTGACTACTGATATGTATGAATGCATATTTTCCTTTCGTGACCTTTCTCAAAATACAGCAGTAATGCAGAATTTTATTTTGTATCCGATGAAAATTAGTTTTTTCGTCAAAGCATTCAATGTAAATGTATTTTACCTACTACATTGAAAATATACAATCATTATGCATATACATCATAACGTTTACAATGTGAATATGTGGGAAATATCTAAATGTTGCTTAACCTACGATATCCTTCTTTAGTTAATTGGCAGGTTGGGCTACATGTTGTTTTCGAGAATCTTATCTCCTTAAGATTGATTGGGTGTGTTATAAAAATAAACTTCCTGGTTGTCTTAAATTTCAATTCACTTCCTGGGTCATTCCTGGTCGGGGTCAAATCTTCTACAAATAAAGATTTAATTAACTAGGTATTTCCAAGTTTGTTGACGCGATTAAGCAATACTCAATATCAGAATTCAAGTAATTCAAGCACTGAAAAACTGAATTAAAACTTGCCATCAGAAACATAGTTTATTTTCAAAACCATAAGATTTATAAGACTTTCAAACATAAAGAGTCCGGGGTGTCTCTGTATACGTTGTTGAGTTCTGATTTTGTCCCAAAAATTATCTCATTTTAGGTATTACATTGCATAAAAAAAGATTACTATGCAAATTTGGATAGAATAGCAGGCTGTGCTATGAAATTTGATTTTATGTAAAACGAAAATAAAAAATAACATAAAAATAATTTTAAAAAATATGAACTAAAAAAAAAACAAAAACAAACAAAAAACGGAGAAGAAAAAACACAGAATAATGATAATAATGTAATAAATGTAAGCATAATAATATTTTTTTCGAAATAAAAAACGTTACCTTTAGATGTATCTCACATGGATGAATTAAAAGAACATTAATTTTGAGATACCAATATCGACCTGAGATTACTAAACTATCGGTATAATAGTCAACAGTATGGTGATAAGGATATAGTGACCTATAAAAGTCAGTGGCTTTGTAATCGACATGATCTACGATGTCGAGGTCACGGTAATCAGTGTGCCCTGTTTGGCCCCGAGATCTTACAGTGGATTGAAGTTAACCGATAACCATAAAACTACAGGGACCAAGTTTTTTCAGCCAATCAATAATATCATAAGGACCGTATGCAAGCCATTTTGAGTGAAATATATCGAGTCCTGTGTTAATATCTGTGTGTTTAATCCGAGATCAGGTATTTATCGTTTAAGAACTGACCCCTGTTTTACCTAGAACAGCTCTGTTTAAGCCGGTCAGGGTTTCGCTTCTAATCTCTGGCTGTGTTAGTAATTATTGAATCTAAAGTTAGCTTGCCAATATACAAATGAATGGTGTTACATGAAGGAAGTAATTCCAATCCATTTACAACACCCGTGTTGTGGAATAACACTGGGTGTTCTATCAGATAGTGTTCATTAAAAAAGATATTGCATAATAACAATAGATGTTACTAATTTAGGACATTTTTGTCAATCGTTTATCATAACAATTCAATTATTCTGATTTGCCGATATAATCTCCACAATTGGTATTCTTTGTTTCAATTTATGAAGGTGATATATTACCAATTATATTTGTTATTTACAAATAGTCTTTGAACGCAAATTAAAGAACATGAAAACATCACTTACCTGCTTTTTGTGAAATCTGTCACAAGCTACAAGTCGATGAAGTATTGTATTATCATATTTAAAAAAAAATGTTTTTTATCTTATCATTTTATCTATTTCTTATGTTTTGTGTTGAAACAGGTTTGTTTATTACACATTATAATTAATTTAGAATACACAAATAAATATCAGTAGACAATTTACTGAACCAGAGAACCCATGAAGAGCCTCACCCTATCTTTCTATGACAACTATTTATATAAAATGTTAATTTTCAAATATTTATGTTTCAGCTTCAATATACTTGATACTTTAGACCTAAATAGGAATGACGTCATTAAAGCTATTTTAGATAATAAAAATAATATTATTTTTTAAAAAACGTTTTTTTGCTACGGTAGTAAAAGTAAAACTAATACTAATACACTAATACAGAAATCACTGACTCAAGTCAACCCAAAGTTCTTGAATGGGAACATATTGAAAGCGTTAACCGTAAATGTTACCGACATACATTGACAGTGTTTATATATTATACGTGTATTTTCTGAACACTTCCTTGTTAATTACCTCACTATTAGACATATGTAATAGTATGGCCGTCATTTAGGTGTAAAAATAAAACACGAAGCATATTCTTGTTGTTCGATCAAACAGACAGACAGACAAACAAACAGACAGACAGACAGACAGACAGAGGTCCCTCCAATGCGAGTTCATGGTATCATGAACATGGTGTTGAATATTTCACGTTTCACTTTCCTATTACACTATCTTGTACAGATTTTGACGTCTTACCTGAGATGTTCTCTTTGATGAAGGTCCACACCCCATACCAAACATCACAAGAAATTTGTGTACGAAAAAAACAAGCGGTCACGTGGTGTGAGAGCGAAGAGTTCCGTACATCCCGACTGTTTAATGAATCCCTGTTCTGTGTTCCATACCCGTTAACAGGTAACACTCAGATAAACGGTTGTTTCAGTGTGGTCGGTGTCAACCAGTGACAAAGTAGATTTAACGATTTAGAGGTAAGCCATTAGCACAGGGGATCAAGCATAACCAAACTGAAGTAAGTAGAAATCCTAGTCCCTAGCACGTGTGTAGGTATATTGTTATAGTTATGCCAAACCTAGTCAATAAATCTGCTGTGATATAAACACGGCTTCAGTCGTTAAGTAAAAAAGAAGAGTGGAAAAGAATTAAATATCTCAAACCAAAGATCAAATCGTCAGATTATCTGTCGGAATCGTGTGAGACGTGGGTCATAATGTGACAGGTTGTGACTGTTCTTTGTCAGTGTTGACTACTACATACAATGTGTGAAGCCTTTATCTTACGTCATGCTTGTAAGTGTCGTGGTATGTAAAGAACTAAAACCAGTAACGTGTTTAATATTACGGTACATAAGTACGAAGAATAAAACCACATTTTGGTACATAAACACGAAAAATGAGGCCACATTCTGGTACATGAGTACGAAAAATGAAACCACATTTTGGTACATGAATACGAAAAAAGAAACCACATTTTGGTACATGAACACGAAAAAAGAAACCACATGTTGGTACATTAACACGAAAAATGAAACCACATTCTGGTACATAAACACGAAAAAAGAAACCACATTCTGGTACATGAGTACGAAAAATGAAACCACATTTTGGTACATGAATACGAAAAATGAAACCACATTTTGGTACATTAACACGAAAAATGAGATCACATTTTGGTACATGAATACGAAAAAAGAAACCACATTTTGGTACATTAACACGAAAAAAGAAACCACATTTTAGTACATGAATACGAAAAAGAAACCACATTTTGGTACATTAACACGAAAAAAGAAACCACATTTTGGTACATGAATACGAAAAATGAGGTCACATTTTGGTACATGAACACGAAAAATGAGGCCACATTTTGGTACATGAACACGAAAAATGAGGCCACATTCTGGTACATGAATACGAAAAATGAGGCCACATTCTGGTACATGAATACGAAAAAAGAAACCACATTTTGGTACATAAACACGAAAAAAGAAACTACATTTTGGTACATGAATACGAAAATGAAACCACATTTTGGTACATGAATACGAAAAATGAAACCACATTCTGGTACATGAACACAAAAAATGAAACCACATTCTGGTACATGAACAGGAAAAAAAACCACATTTTGGTACATGAATACGAAAAAAGAAACCACATGTTGGTACATGAGTACGAAAATGAAACCACATTTTGGTACATGAATACGAAAAATGAAACCACATTCTGGTACATGAATACGAAAAATGAAACCACATTCTGGTACATGAACAGGAAAAAAAAACACATTTTGGTACATGAATACGAAAATGAAACCACATTTTGGTACATGAATACGAAAAAAGAAACCACATGTTGGTACATGAGTACGAAAAAAGAAACTACATTTTGGTACATAAACACGAAAAATGAAACCACATTCTGGTACATAAACACGAAAAATGAGGCCACATTCTAGTACATGAGTACGAAAAATGAAACCACATTTTGGTACATGATTACGAAGAAATGAGGCCACATTCTGGTACATGAATACGAAAAATGAAACCACATGTTGGTACATTAACACGAAAAAAGAAACTACATTTTGGTACATGATTACGACGAAATGAGGCCACATTCTGGTACATGAATACGAAAAATGAAACCACATGTTGGTACATTAACACGAAAAAAGAAACTACATTTTGGTACATGATTACGAAGAAATGAGGCCACATTCTGGTACATGAACACGAAAAATGAAACCATTCATTATCATAATTATTATGTGGACTTTTTTGGGAAATTATCAAATGACTGGGAGAGAAACAATGGGAAAGTGACACTTGACACTACATTGTGCCCAGATTTGTACTATATCGATTGACATGATCACATGTACATGTATGCAAGAGCAATGTATATTGTAGAACCAACTACTTTGAATGCACTTGGGCATTTATCGGCTTATCATCAGCTAACAACAGCATAGATTTAAAGTTTTTGTGCAAAATCTCTTCAAAATAGCTTTGTAAAATGGTATTTTATAATATATTCGTGACGAAATTTCCCTAAATGCAGTATTGAAAATTGTACAAAGGACCAAAATAAACATCACCTTTAAAACCAAAATCAGAAATGGATAGACACATTATTATGTTTCATTGCGATTTTGCGTTTCTCATTTTTCAAGGTTTTCCTAACTGGAACAGTGTTGAATGTTTTCAACAATTATGTTGTTTTACTATTAAAATGTATTAGTAGATTAAATACGAACAGTGCCTTGTGAGCAATGTTTGAAAACAAAATATAAACATAACTGTTAGATATCATCAGAGTAATGCATATTTTGGAATGTAATTGCTGTTTCAATATCAAATGAACTTTTCTGATTAAATGACATGTAAATCAACTATTGGCTTAAAACTCTGATCTTGCGTTATCTTAAATAGATCTCAGAGCTGGGTATTTGAAAATACCACTTAAGTGAAAGTAAATGATTTTTTTGTATGTATTGAAGTTGATTCGTCACCAACATTCCGTCAAGAAGTGTTTCATATAATCAGTATAATACAACTGATGTAGGAAGACAGTTTTTGACTTCGCCTGGTCAAAATTTGGAATCTTAAATGAGTTTTTATTTCATATGGAATTTTAATGAAACGAGTCTTAGAAGTTTTTTTTCTTTTAAATTTTAGATCTTGAATAAAAATATTAAAACTTCAAACGAGTGTCATAAGATATCATCAGAAATGAAAACAAAATTTAAGATACAAAATAGGGGGGGGGGATTTAATTCATAGTCATATGATGACATCACAATCTATTTCTGACATGCGCAACCAATGAAAAACGCTCCATATTTATTACATTTGTGACAGCTACGCCAAAATGTTACATAGGGTAACTCACTGAATACCGGGCTTATTATGTGATAGAACATGTTTATTCAGAATTTGTGACGTCAGACCGATTACATGATAAATATGTATATCTACAATATTCTGATAGATAGACTGATTCGTTCGTCACGCTGTTTGGCACGACTTCAAATACCATTTAGATTATATAAAATAAGCTTTATCTTGCATTGCGTAGTTTCTGTTACACACCTCAAATTGCTTATCATGACTTATCCACAGATAAACTGAAACCTAATATTTATTCTGTTTATTTTTCTAGATAAGGTGAGGTTTGGTCTAAAATAAATAATTCATGCAGCTTTATCTAAGTTCGGAATAAATAATATTCCGAACGCAGAACATTTTTGTTGTGAACTAAACAACTCTATTTTATCAACAATGAAGTGACAAATAAACACGATGAAAGTGACACTTGTCATAGTTTTATTTTGGTCCATAATTCTTGATGTCCAGTTCATAGCAAAGGCGACAAAAATGATTAATTGATATTTACATAACAGCGTCGATACAAACAAAAATACCACAGTATCAACACACAAGAGTAAATATCGCTACAATTATAACAGTAAATCACAAATTACAAATCAGACATTGGAAACATGTTAACACAGTCGACAGAAGTGACAAAATGTACCATAGCAACAACAACAACTACAACACATAGAATGGTTCCTTACACACCGTGAAACAACTACAACACATAGACAATGGAAATACATATTAAAGGTGAACTAAACATTCTGTGAAACTCTGCACTACATATTCTCGTGACAATACCACAATTTAAATTAACAAGAAATAAGTGTGATTAAAGGTACAATAAATCACGTGACCATTAGATCAAATAATATGTAAATATTTTTTCATTACTTTAAAAGATTTCAGGATGTCTTTTTAAACGAATGCATGAAACTTGGAAGTTTGGATTTTTTTCCTATTGTGAACCTTGGCGAGGAGATATTAAAACTTCGAGACCAGTTTTATAAAATCTCATGTGAAATGACATTAAATCTAGGTTATGTGTACTTTTCTTGACATAATTAAGAAAAGTTACATTTTGATAGATTTTAAAGTAAAAATGCGTAGAAGAAAAAAAACGGAGGCAGTTATTTTGTTGGATCATCTTCATAACATGATGTAACGTCATTGTCTATATCTCAAGAGTAAATTACACGTGCGCCTAGTTACATAAATAAAAAATATTCTTTTTTCCATCAATAACAGTTGTATGTCACCAGCAGGGGTGGGAATGTGAAAAATATCAATGTTTCTATGAGATGAGATGAAATACAACTGTTATTTATCAAGAAGCAATGAATGTCCTGTGTATTATTTTTTAACGCCTTCCATTGACGCTCTCATGGTGAAATTGAAGGCACAAGCGAAGTAATTTGATTGGTTCCAGGAGAAAACAACTGACCAATCACAGGCTGATACACTCCATTTGAAGATTACAGAGGAGCAACACTCAACTTAAAAGCCATTTCAACATACCGTTATGCGACCCCAAGATTCGTTTGATGTACATCACAGGATCAAACTAGTCTTTTCGTCTTGTCCACAAGGTGTCGTACATGGAACTTCAATATAGCCATGACATGTTCCAGGGGTACAGAGAGCGAAAGTGATCGTAACACCTGGAGTATAAAGGATACGGCAAAAAGAAACATTAACACGGAACCTCCTGAAACAAGCCCGCCTTTATATGTCGAATCAACTTCGAAATGTAAACACCATAGGTTGGGGATACAGGAATGTTACTCTCTAGAAATGGGAAATTTACAATGGGGATATTGAAACCATCACGCGTATCATACAGATTGGTAAAAAAAACAAAAACCAAAAACAGCCCCTTTTGATTCCGTTGTATATAGAAGAGTCTGCTGTGCTCTGGATTTCCAGTTCATATACGACGGTCGAAAAATCTTGTTATCTAAAGACAAGATGTCAACAACACATCTAAATATCTGTATTGTATTGAAGGACTTCACGAGATATGTTTTTAATAGTCTCTTTGATAAATTCAGCCACACATGAAAACAAAAACAAGACGGCCAAATGAAGGGCAAAATTTACTCTCATTGGCATATATTTTATACCGCCTCTCCCGCTCCCGGTCTCGCAACAAGTGATCGTAGCATGTTCTGTCTTCCTTCTCCGAGGCTTCAAATTCATTATTTACAATCCAGTTTTATTTCCTGATCTGTAATTCGAGGTATCCTGATTGTTCATGAGGTATCTTAATCAATGTTTCATGTATGTTAATCAATTATTTATCTATGTTTATCAATGATTTATGTATGTTTATCAATCATTTATCTATGTTTATCAATGATTTATGTATGTTTATGATTCATGTACGTTAATCAATTATTTATGTATGTTAATCAATGTTTCATATATGTTAATCGATGATTTATATATGTTAATCAATGATTTATGTATGTTAATCAGTGTTTCATGTATGTTAATCAGTGTTTCATGTATGTTAATCAGTGTTCCATGTATGTTAATCAATGATTTATGTATGTTAATCAGTGTTTCATGTATGTTAATCAATGATTTATGTATGTTAATCAATGTTCCATGTATGTTAATCAAAGAAGTATGTATGTTAATCAATGATTTATGTATGTTAATCAATGATTCATGTATGTTAATCAATGATTTATCTATGTTAATCAATGATTTATGTATGTTAATCAATGATTTATCTATGTTAATCAATGATTTATCTATGTTAATCAATAATTTATGTATGTTAATCAGTGTTTCATGTATGCTAATCAAATTTTCATGTATGTTAATCAATGATTTATCTATGTTAATCAATGATTTATGTATGTTAATCAATGATTTATGTATGTTAATCAGTGTTTCATGTATGTTAATCAATGATTTATGTATGTTAATCAGTGTTTCATGTATGTTAATCAATGATTTATGTATGTTAATCAATGATTTATGTATGTTAATCAATGATTTATCTATGTTAATCAATGATTCATGTATGTTAATCAATGATTTATGTATGTTAATCAATGATTCATGTATGTTAATCAATGATTTATCTATGTTAATCAATGATTTATGTATGTTAATCAATGATTTATCTATGTTAATCAATGATTTATCTATGTTAATCAATAATTTATGTATGTTAATCAGTGTTTCATGTATGCTAATCAAATTTTCATGTATGTTAATCAATGATTTATCTATGTTAATCAATGATTTATGTATGTTAATCAATGATTTATGTATGTTAATCAATAATTTATGTATGTTAATCAATGTTTCATGTATGTTAATCAATGTCATGCATGTTAATCAAAGATTCATGTATGTTAATCAATGTTTCGTGTAGGTAACTCTTTAAGGTTTCGCCTTTTAAAAATACAATAGTCACGGTGTCTGAGTTCCTGTCAAATTTATTTTGTTTGTTTATACTTGTTCTCTGTCAGATAAGATGTCCGAGGACAAAACATTAGCGAAGTTTATCATCATCTCGCTTCCATATCATCTATTCACGACATCACATCTATATAGTATGTTTACGGTTGGTGGTATAATTAAGATCGGCCCAGAGATGGATTCAGTAGTTAGTAAAGGGTACAATGCCTGGAGTATCTGACATCGTTCCAGTTAATGGACGCCGATGGGGTGGGTAAACATCACGTGACAGTATGGTATTTGATATAGACACATTTATGCCGTCCATCTTGTCACCATATTTTGACAACTAACATGTATTATTGTTAAATTTATTGAACTGGAAAATGAAACATTTTATGTACTAAACCTTTAGAAATATCTCCAATATAACTTAAAAAGTGAAAGCACAAAGATCATTTTGATATGTTGATTAAAAAAAAGTCATGTCGCCAGAATGACTTAATAGTCTTTTAAATCAAGCAATAACCTTAGTATACAAGAGAACATTCAAAAGTAAGTAGTCACTTTCATATAAGGCATGTTTTCTTTCAAATAGAAAATGATTAGATTTTCTTTTATACTTTTAATTGATTCTCGGTTCTAAATAATTGAGGGGGCCTCGATATGTCAGCCAGTATCCAACACAACCTCGTGAGGGAGTCTGGATACGTCCGCCGGTATAAAAAAAACCCTCGTGAGGGAGCCTCGATATTTCAGTCCGTATCCCACACAACCTCGTGAGGGAGCCTCGATACTTCAGCCGGTATCCCACACAACCTCGTGAGGGAGCCTCGATACTTCAGTCGGTATCCCACACAACCTCGTGAGGAAGTCTCGACACTTAAGCCGGTATCCAACACATCCTCGTGAGGAAGTCTCGATACTCTAGCCGGTACCCCACACAACCTCGTGAGAGGACCGGAGGCACGTGGTTTGAAGCTTCCTCATTGCGGTGAGGTTTTTTAACAACTAGTTATATAAGGCGAGCTGCTATTCTGTAAAGCCGGAATTGCCTGATGTTAAGAACGAAAGCTACTTAATATAAAAATCTAAAACTAGCTGATGTCAACAACTCAGGCAAGCTGATGTCAACATCTTAGATGAACTGATGTCAAACTAAGGCCAGCTAGTGTCAACAACTAAGGCTAGTTGATGTCAACATCTTTGACTAGCTGATCACAACAACCAAGACTAGCTGATGTCAACAACCAAGTTTGTTGATGTGTAAAGTTAATAGAGATAGATGCTATATCGGACTCACTATAAGTGAACAGCTATTGAAGAGGGAGGTCTGATATTATAAGGGAGACAACTCTTATTACGATAAATATTGAAGTTAGGTCAAAAGATTTAGTCGGTAGTCAGTGTTTACATAGTCTTCAACTATTCACAATGATTTCTTCAAATGATAAAGAAGTGAAGACTCCCAATTCATTGCTTCATATATTTTGTGATGAAAGTTATTTTCTTATTTAGTTTATATATACTGTTTTCATTTCATAAGCAATGTTTGTGATCATTTTCCGAGTTTAGAAAAAAATACGAGTTCCTCGGAACTGTAAGTGTCGCCTGCATAAAGTGTCACTGTCACCCAGAAATCGAACTGGATGCAAAACTAATCTGTACCCTTCCAACAAGAAGCCATATACCAAATTTCATTTCTACAACTCAAAGCATAACCAAAGAAAGTCCAGAAAACAATATTCCCAGAGAATTTTCTAAGTTCAAAGGGGCATAACTCTACCAAGAAGGGTTACAGACAGTCAGGAATAAAACTTAATCTGTACCCTTCCAACAAGAAGCCATATACCAAATTTCATTTCAATAACTCATAGGATAACCCGAAAAAGTCCGGAAAACAATATTCCCATAGAATTTTCCGCGTGACGACGGACAAAGTGATCCCAAAGTGTCCACCAGCTCTGCAGGCGACACAAAAATAAAATGAAAAATGTAAATATAAAATCTAAATAAAAAGATCACAAGAAAATATACTTTTGTGATAAAAGTTTAGTAATATGAAAAAAAGACTTCTGATTTTTAAAGTTTACTTTTTTAAAATAATTTCCAAACACTTCCATATCTTGTAATATTTATGGATTTGATCCTTCAACTCATGTGACATTGAAGATATAAAACACTTGATAGTTACCGAACATTTTTGGGCGGTTGGTTCTGTCAATAGAATATTGATGTTTATAACACAACAAGTAGAAGATTTAAATGTGAAGTTACGATGACAACATAGTCAGCTTCATTAGACAAATGAGAAGACGAGATCAGCAATGACCTGACACTGAATGTACAAATTTTTATGGAATTGATGACTTTTTCGGCAGTGCAATGGTCATCTGTACACTGATGTAGAAAATAGTGTGACGAGATGGTGAAAATAGTATAAGAACAACAAACATAACATTACAACAATGTACTGAAGTCGATTGAGAACCTGACATTATATCCCTTAAAACTAACTCATGTTACGAAGTTAGGTGCAGGACAAGATCATAAGCTGGAATGTTTGACTATGTGAGTAACATTGTCATCTCCAACGTATTTTCATAATTGACTTCAGTAAAATAACAACTGGCAGTTATATAATGACATTTATTATCACAAGTATTGAACCAATGGTCACAGAAAGTGATGTTTACATCACAATTCTGTACAATTGTACATACGGTAGAAAAGCAATATGTCTATAATTAATTAAATCTCTAAATTTATTCCACTTGTTTTCAATTCCAAATCTCTCCATTTAATTTTTTATATCCTTTAAACATCATGCCTTTTTATTCTCCAGTGATTTTTCATATCGTTTCATTTGTATTTCAATCAGTTTAATCATTTCTTTACGATCCACTCGCTTTGGATAATAGTCTGCAAATGATCCATCAGGCCGCGTCAGGTAACAGATGATGGTATGGTCAATCTGTTGGTAAAAAAAATATACAACACATTAATATGTTGTTTCTGTAACATTGTAAACAACAATATTGTCAAAATGGAGCCAAGTTTTAATGACAGAACTTGAACTTTAAGGAAAAAAAACATCAATATCTCGCCATGTTTTAATGACAGAACTTGAACTTTAAGGAAAAAACCATCAATATCTCACCATGTTTTAAATTAAACTAGAAGGGATTTATTATGGAGCCCCTGCTTTACTGGAATAGTCCAGAACCGTCGTAAAAATGGTTACTACAAACTATTTTCTTGATGCAGGTCAGAGGTCAAAATGTCAGTGAAAGTGACCTATTTTTGATATGCTACCCATTGTTTCATCAAGGTGAATCCATATCCCAAGGAAGGAAGAAAGGACAGACGAACACGCCACAAAACTATTCCCTTCTCCTTCCCATTGGAATACTATTAATTCTTTTAATGGTTTCCAGGTATTAAATTCACTTTCAATCACATTTGTATACTAACAGATTTTGTAAAAATCGTAATCAAATGTTCCAAATTATCATCAGAAAGTAGCTTACGAATTGAAAACCAGTGTCCTTGTTTTACTGATGACAGATAACCCTGCACTTATGCCTGGTACTATTTCCTGTACTTATTCCCCATTAATTCCATGATCTAATGCCCTGTATTCATGTCCTGTATTAATCCCCCATTCTATTGCCTGCACTAATTCCATGCACTATGACCTGTTCTATTTCCTGTACTGATCTAATGCCCTGCACTTTATCTATAATTCTCTTATCTTATTCCGTGATCAAATTCCCTGTTCTGATGTCATGAACTGATTCCCTGTTCTAAAACCTAGATCTAATTCCCTGTACTTATGTCAAGTACTAATTCCCTGTTCTAAAACCTAGATCTAATTCCCTGTACTTTTATCATGTACTAATGTTCTGTTCTAAAACCTTGTACTTTTATCATGAATTGACTAAAATGTTCTTATGTAATTCCCTGTTCTAAAAAAACCTAAAACCTTGATCTAATTCCCTGTTCTAATGTCATGAATTGATTCCCTGTTCTAAAACCTAGATCTAATTCCCTTTACTTATGTCAAGTACTAATTCCCTGTTCTAAAACCTAGATCTAATTCCCTGTACTTATGTCAAGTACTAATTCCCTGTTCTAAAACAATAAATTTTGCTTGTGTTAAACATGCTTGAACTGAATACATCGTATGAGTCAAATTTTTTTTGTTCAGTTGTGATTTTTTCTCTTCTTTATCTCAGTAAACTAAACATGGATGATTCGTAAAGAGTTGAATTGAATACTGTGTTTTATTTAAACATATTTTGTGATCCATCACTTCAAAATTCTTCCAAAATTTCCTTTTTTGTGTGAGACATTCAGACATCACCTTGTCTTGGGTAAAAATTTCCGGGTTTCTATCTGCATGACCTGAGTGTGATCAGTCAACTGTACCTGTGTTAATGACCCCTATTTTAATTTTCAAAGAAACATTTATCCCTGAGTTTATACACAGGTGAAAATTTTGATTTGTAAAGAATCAGGCAACCAATTAAAATTAGACACACTGTAGTCTGTTAACTGTAAATCTAGTGTGTTTTTTTGCCTTTTTACGTATATAGCTGCTGGGAACCAGAAGGCAAAAACAAGTGACAACTACTGTGCAGATGCAGCTTAATATAAATTCTATATATCAAGTTTCTCACTGAAACAGTAGTTTATCATTAAATTAATTTACTGGCTATACATGTACATATACAAACTGCAAGTTTTATTTTAACCTTTTTATGGTATACACTTTTACAGTGTAGTTTTGTGTAGGTATAAGTCATTGATGTTGCAGTGGCCTTCACCTTTTCCTAACTACCACTGTTAAATCAATGTAGAATGTTCATGAGTATTTATTTAATGAGTTATATTTTAAAACATTGTTAATGTGATTTATTACCTTTTAAGGATATAAATAACATTACAATATTTGTATTACTGTAGGTATCAATTTCACCAAGTTATGTGTATAAGAATGGTTGCGTAACCACATGTGTGGATTTGTCAATGATGAGTGTTTCACATTAAATTTTTTGTTCTATATTCGTACTTATAACTGTTTAGCTAAATACAAGATATTGTTAATGTATGAAAATTTCAAATGCTTTAATATATCGATTACCTATTTATAACTGTCACGCCATGCTATAATCCTATAATGAGACACATATTCGAGGAACAATGGATTAAAATAGGGTCAATCTTGGATGCACAATGTTTTCGTTCACAGAAACACGCCTAAGTCATTTAGTCATTAGTCATTTAGTCCCGTCGACTTCGACTTATCCGTGTTTTAGTGTACCTTGATCTAATTCCCCATACAAGCATTATAAAGTCATACCAGATAATCCCCGTTTTCGTCCACAGGTCCAGTTGAGAAGAAAATTCTGAAGCCCTTCCTGATATCCTCTAGCTGTTCCTCTGTTCCCGTCAAACCAAGTAATGTTGGTGAGAATTCTGTAATAAAGGACATACATAAATTACCTAAAAGTTTGATACCAAGATATTATTTATCAACACTCCAAATATTTAAGAACATTTTCTTTAGGTAGAAGAAAGTAGAAGATTAGAGTGTGACCAGTGTGGAGCATACCAACACTGACATACGTAGTGTATGAGATGGTAAGGAATCGATCAAGGGTTAAACAAATTGATAACATTTTCTCTCAAACAATGTAATTTGCTCTCAAACTACACCGTTTTCTATAGATTGGTAACATTTTCTCTCAAACTGTGAAGTTTTCTCTAAAACTCCATGTATATCATTTACTTATAAACTAGGTCATTTTCTCTCAAACATGATCATTTGCTCTCAATCAAGGTAATTTGCTCTCAAACTAGACCATTTGTTTTTTAAATTGGTAACATTTTCTCTCAAACAAGGTAATTTGCTCTCAGACTAATTTGTGTAGAAGTTAAAATAAATCTATAGTACATCACCAGATGTAACTACCTTGACAATATTTTTTAATAACTTCCTTCGTGTCCCGGGCTGGGTCAATGGTAATAAACAATGGTTGTATGTTGGGAACATCTTTCCTTTCATCTGTAAATATAAAAAGTCATGTGAAGAAAAATTATGGTTTTGACTAATTTTTGGTATTAATAATTCCAAGTATGAACATTGATATTAAAAATACATGCTTTATTTTTCTATGATGAATATGTTTTTAATTTTCTGTGGTATCGGTAGTGGCTGTGAAAACCAGTACCTGTTAAACAATGTCAAGTCTCTCAGCCCAAGGCTGCTGTAAGCAAGTTTGACCTAAAAAAATTCTTAACTCCATGTATATGTTAACAGCTAGTATACAGATTTACTGCACATGTATTTTCTGATAAAGGCTAACAAAATCCTTAACACGTATGCTCACTGAAATACGGTAAAACTATTAACTTCTGAGTGGGGATTATTTTCCTTGATTTCGGGGTTGATCTTTAACCACAAATTCATATGCCAACAAACTATTTAAATCATTATGTCAAGTAGATTTATTGAGCTAAATAGATTTGTCAAAGAAATCAAATGTCCTTGAAAAAGAATTAAAAAAAAAAAACCCACAAATATTGAGCTCCTGAAAATATCTAACTGAACAGTATGTTACCTTTATCTTTGATTGTCATATATATCTAGAAATAAGTCTATGCCTGGTAAGATGTGTCCATGTCCTTGGCAGTCTTATCAGCAGAAATGCTTATAAATTCTATTTTTAATTTTCTCTTTAAAAAAGTCCAGTCCTCAACACTGAGTACGAGAATGTCTTCTGGCTACATGCTATACACAGTCTTCTGTGAGTTTTGTCATGTATATACTCACTGAATGAATCCACAACCTGCACCATTTTTTCTAACTCCTCTGGACACACATCTGGACAATGTGTAAACCCGAAGTACATTAAGACCCACTGCCCTGAAAAGTCCTTTTCCGTCCTCTCTACACCGTTGTGGTCTACCAGTGTCCATGGTTTTCCTCCTATATCAACTCTTCCAGTACTTCCAACATGACTTTTAATTGTAGCTAAAAATAAATTATCAATATCATATGTTAGCATGGGGTTTTAATATAATCTTTTTGTGAAACACATCCCTTTTCTGAATTAATGAGCTGGTCAATGGATATCATATAATTAGTATAGTATATTGTTTCCCTTATATATTGTAACATCAGTAGTGAAATGTCCCTACATATTGCCCCAACACTAGATAGATGTTCTTACATGTTGTCCAATTACAAGCTAGCTGTCAGACATATTGTCTAGTCACTATATATAGTTGTCCATATTTATTGCCCCATCACTAGATAGCTGTTGATATTGTCCCAACACAACCTAGTTGTCCCAACATATTGTCCCATCACTAAACAGCTGTCCATATTGTCTCATCACAACATAGTTGTCCCAACATATTGTCTTATCACTGGACAGATGTCCCTACATACCCTAGTATTGTCCATCACAACCTAGTTGTCCATACATATTGTCCCATCAAAACATAGCTGTCCATACATATTGTCCCATCACTAGATAGCTGTCGATATTGTCTCATCACAACCTAGTTGTCCATATATAGCCCCATCACAACATAGTTGTCCATACATATTGTCCCATCACTAGATAGCTGCCCTAACAAGACCTGATCTAATCTACCCTCCCAATACTTATATATAAACTCCTACCAACTTTCTTCTTCTGTTCCAGGCTATCTATCACATAGAAAACGATGCCACACACACCAGTCAAGGCTAATGCACCTGCCCAGGCCAAATTGTTCTGACAATACAAATTGGAAGTATATATTAGCATTTGTTTCTACAGGTAAAATTGTATTGTTTACAAATCAGATCATACAAGTATTGATACCAAGCATGTAAATGTGACCAAACTCAATTAATACTACTGATTTCCATTTCAATGTACACCTGGTTTTTTCCCTTTCATTAACCTTAGTGCCAACAAAAACATGGAAAATAAATGGGTTTTTTTTGTTTGAAAATGAAAACACGTTACGATCTTATATGCAAAACATTAAAAAAGTGGAAAAATATTCCACAACGTAAAATGTAAAATAATTACACATGTCAAATCTTTGCGTAAAAATAGATTTTTTTAGAGCAATCTTAGACATCTAAAACATAAGATTTTACTTATCCTTGTACTCATCATATAATCAGTATGTTTCTGTGTTATGAAGCTTTCTACAAATGACAGAAAACCTGATATTGATAAAGGACAAAATACACTTCTATTTTCAAGCACAGCAGATATTACAAGATAATGCAGCTGTGTGACATTATTCCCAGCACTCCACTGTTTAAAAGACACACAATCACAAATATGAGCGCTTGTATATATTCTGGTCCTGAAAAACTGAACTTTGTGATTTGGTCTATATGTTTCCATGGTAACAGAAAAAAGTATTTAAATGGTGAACTTCCTCAAAACAAAAGGCACCACTTCAATACTAGCTTAATAACTGTACAAAGTTTCAAGCTATAATCCTGAACAGTTTCAGAGCATGTATCCAGAAAAACTTAAATTTGAGATTTTGCCTATCTGTTTCTATAGTAACAGTAAAAAGTATTCAAATAGAGCACTTCCCTATAGCAAAAGACACTATGATAGTAGAAAAAATCCCTACATAACTAATCACATAATCCTTAATATCCCCTGCAATTCATTCCTCTAAAATAAAAAGCATTAGTGGTGTTTCTAAATACCAACTGAATTGCATATCTTCTATAAATATTTCATATATTCACTTGAAAGTGATAAAATTTGTCTTACTTTTCCTTTCTTCTGACTGGCTGCACCCCTTATCTCTATCCGCTGTGATTGAAGTAGAGTTCTAGTGAGCAGTGTCGTGTTTCTGGTAAATAAGGTCCGCTCCACCCGTATTCTTGACTACAACCATACAGAGAAAATTTTTATAGCACTTAACTGTTAATATTAAAATACTGGAAAAAATTTAATATCTACCATATTTCATTTCATAAAAAATTATAATATACAATAGGATCCCACAACAAATTGTTAAATAAATCTGTTTCCTTATAGGATTAGGCTTAGTTCACCATGAATAAATTTTCAAAAACATCACTTTGACTTCTTTAATGTACTTTAAACATCTGAAAAAAAATGAGTTTTGTTAATATGTTTTAGGCATCTTATTTCTTTGGTTTTTTTTTTCTCAATCCAAACACCTCCAAACACTGAAGTTTTTTTTTTGAAGATTACACACAACTTTTAAGCACATATATCATTTTAACCTGACTTTTTACAATTTTGAGAATGAAAAAAAAATGTAATTAAAAGGGCAAATTGTCAAATTACTGTAAACAGTTTTTTAAAGACTTATTGCACCAAATGTAACCACCATACCATGACTTATTGTTCCTAACTGATTATCAGTACCTGATACATATTGTATTTTCTTGTGTTTCAGAGGAAAAAAAAAGAATTTATTACTGCAATGGAGAATGCATTCTCTTTCTATAGTCATTAAACAGTTGATGAACTACAAACATTAATTTTTCAAAATCTAAAACATTACTACATTGTCTCTATTGTGCACTCATTATACCAACATTAAGGATCTTTCTAAAGAAAATCAAGAGATTTGTTGTTGATATTATTACAATACACCTTTGAACCAAGTTTCGTGTCAATATTATAAAATCTGGTAGAGTTATGAGGCATTAAGATTTCCTCATTTACTAGTGGCTCTCATGTGTATAGTGTATAGCATACTGGTTGTTAGTATTTCCAGCAAGAGAGTTTGAAGATTTTTTATGATAACTTTACACATATTTGTAATATTTCCAACCTCACTACATCTCATTATATATAATATACCACATATATATACCACAATTAATAACTTTCATGTTATTTTTTTATTCTATCAAACTGAACCTTGGTACATTGATACACAAGTGTACCGACACAATACAACCATATTAAGAACAGATCTTTTGACGTCACAAATTTTTTTTTATGTATTGTCAACTCTTAAGATATGTAGTTCTAAGATGCTGTTCTCAAGTGTGATACACAATACACACCCGATCATAGTCTGCTGGTGATAGATAAACATTAAACTTTCTGTAACTCAAACCAGTCTTAGCAATATGAAACTTGGTACAAAGGTATATTATGATCATATCAACAAAACAACTTTTGGTGTTGTTGTGTCACTTCAGGAATATTTCAAAAGATATCTGCTAAGGTTTCTTTACAAAGCTTGTTGTCACCTGTCGACACTTTTTAGACAGATTACAAATATATATACATATATCAATCAAATGGAGTCATGTGAAACCAAACGTCAAAATATAGGTCAGCAGTTATTTCATTAGATTTTGATATAAATTGCACTTATCCTTAACTGTAAAACAATTCATTGTAACAGACCAGAATCTGCATTATGGCATCCATTTAAGTCTTTTAAACGTATCTATTATAATATTAAATAACCATAGAAAATGTATAAAACATGCTTATCATTAGCTCTGTAAAATTTTGTTACACGTTATTTACGACTGCTGACTTGAGATCAAAATCACCTTATATTTAAATACAAAAAATTTGAACACGTAATTGTACAGATAACGTTGCATAGACCCACTCAGAATCAGATTAATAAACATTTGGTTAGCAAACAGTATATTGAGATGAAAGAAAAATTCATTTCATGTAACGAATAAACTTCGAAGGTTTAAAACGAACAGGAGGTCACGAAAAAATCTTACGCAACAATGTAAACTAGGAATATTTCGAGTGAGATTCAACAACGACCGGATGTTTTTTGAGCACAATCTCTGAACTAATGCGCCTTCCATGATATCACTTGATCTTGTCTCCAACTAATTCGAGCTTCTCTATATTTAAGTTGCTTTCTTCTTGTAGCACCGGTTCAGTGACTGTAATCACGTCTCCATCGGCAAGGGCGCCGCCATATTGTTTACAAAAGGAAACACAAAAAAATACCTAATCATAAAATGGTAACGTCTCCGATACTCCGGAATTGAAACAATTATTTTTCTGCAGAGAAATATCTCTTTGACAAAAGTGTTAGTTTTTCACCTGTAAATTTCACATCTCAAACAACCAACGATTTAATCGTTTCATATCTAAATGCTTCCTTTCAAAATAAAATAGAAAATAACTGCGCGATTTCACATTGTGTGCTAGCAGATTTTGTTCATAGACAGTATCTGATATTACTACCTCTGAAATAAAGGGATTGTACAATATGTTGTAACGTAGTGACACTGGCCGACATTACAAAACAGTTTTATTCACCTTTATTTTCTAAAGTTCTTAAAACACCCTTAAGAGTCTAATAAAAATTAGTGAACAAAAAACTATATTTAAGTGAACGTAAATAAGGACAGTCCTTGTATAGACTTTGTATAAGTGTCAAAACAACATTTCATTTTGTTTATGTTCTGCTATACGTTTCGACGTCCATATCAAATTTACTTCCGCCATGCTGATACATCTGGAATGTACATCTTACGAAAAATATAAATCCATTTTACGGAACAAAACTGTATCAAAATTATAACATTTTAATTCCTTGAGCCAACTACTTGACTATCTCACAGGACACAGATTCAAAATAGATGAATTACCAAAAATATTCAAAACAATTTACAAAATAAATATGTATTTATAAAAAAAGATTATGTGTATTTTCAGGGACGTATATGGCAGTCTGTCATATACGTCCCTGGTATTTTTGAGATGAGACCGAATATCATTTTCTTCTATATCATTTTTTTTCTCTCCCGCTGGGAAATGTCTTCGTTGACATAACCTATTATTGACCTTTGAGTTCAGCGTATGTGAAAAAAAACTATATATGGCTTCGATACCTATGCCGTAATATATCCACTCGCCGACACCGTCTCCGCAGCGAGGACTTTAGGACGAGGAACCTTAAACAAATACCTGGTAGTGAAATCTAGAACCGAGGAGAAAAAATTGCTAAAGAAGGGCTTACTTGAGATATGTAACATAGATCAGACCTTTTACACGGTAAATATATATACATATATTATTTTAAACAGAGTTACGGTTCTTTGTGGTCAATCTGATCCACCTCACTATTAAGACCACCTCGCTATTAAGACCATTTTTGTTCAATCCCCAAAGTTGTCTTAATAGCGAGGTTTCACTGTACTTTAATAACAACGGCAGTATAAGTCACGATTGTACACCAGACCAAAACTGTAAATTCTACATGTAAGATACCTTTATCGATAGTGACTTGACTTCAAAATCAATTGTTGCCATTCACTCAAGAGAAGATTGTGAAAAACAACGATGTTTAGCGAACTCGTTAATTGTTTTATTCTGACTGCGACAAGCCAACGCAACGATCACCTGCTTGGAAGTCTTGTTATCATCACACACACTGTTACAGACAGAATATGCATACCGTATTAGCGGGTAGCTAAGTCTTTTCTTTTGGTTCCCACTAGTCGCCTCTTACCTGTAGATTTAGGTCCGAAATCACTAGCACAGTGGAACAATTATGATGCGTTGCTTTATTTTGTATCGAAAGGCGCCACTCTTGTTTTCGTGTCTCAATATTATATTATTGTCTTATCTTTAGTAGAACATTTTTCAAATTCAAGAATTGTGCATTAGAACGTTATTTGGGTTTGGTATGAAACATATATCCATAATTTTACTTTGGACTCTGTAATAGTTGTTTATAGGGACAAAGTCCTATTGATTCACGTGTTAAAATCAAGGCGAAAGTTTACTCAAATTTGCGTTAGAGTTTATTTTGTAGAGTATGATTTTTCTTTTTTAAATTTAAACATTAAGACGGGCCGGTTTGTTTAAATTCTACTTTTGGTTTTACCCCCTATAGTGCTAGAAGTTTCAAATGCAGATAAGTTAAATGATAGAAACTTTCACCCCTTTGAGGGTGCGTTGAGCGATCACAACGCGTAGGAAAAGATGAATTAGTTGGCAAACATAAAGCGTGTTGATTGGTTGCCAACAAAATACTCTGTCCTAAATGGTTGTATTAACACTCTCTGACAATCAGTGAATGCTTATTCTTCTTACATTCTGGATTTCTATGAATTTGAACATGCCGTTTTATCAATGTTAGTTAACGTGACGAAATTGAATAAAATAAGTGACGTCATTGAACTGTTGCTGGGACGACAGTCGTCTTTATTAGGGGAATCCCCCGTCTACCCTAAGACTATGACATATTTGATGTTTCGAATGAATGTTTATTTCAGTTGATATTTTATAAAGGAGTCTTCAACGTTTTTTATTTTATAAATGCTGTAGATAGACATGTCCAGGGTAAGATAAAAATAGTTCCCTAATAATGACAAAACAAATTAAATATCATTCGACATTTGCTGGATAATTCAAATTTCATTTAAAGCAGTTGTAAGCAATGTATGAATAAAACTTGCAATGGTGTTTATGATGAATAACAAACTGTTGCAAATGTTACTATTCAGGATTTTTCATCTTTCCCGGCTTGTAACTTATTCATATTCAAAAGCAAGCACAAACACAAGCAGAGAAGCAGACACAAAGGCAGGATAGCCTTAAATACGAGGACTGATTGATAAGTTGTGAGCCTTGTACTGAAGAAGTTAAGCAGGGATGTCCTTTTTCAGCTCAACTATTCCCTGGCTATTTAAGGTTGTGTACCCGAAGACTGGTGTCATTTGGTCAGTTTATATTGAAGAGGCACCACTTTAAAGTAAAAAGGGGCAAGTTACTCTCGCAAAATGGACTAAATCGCTGAAAGAGAGAAAGATAGATCCATCATTCCATCCAAGAGGCCAAACAACAGTCTAAACAATTGAAGCACCATGGTTCGATTCCTGCCAAAGAAGGCAAAGACAGTTCCATCAGCTAGAAAGGTTTTGGCCTCGGTTATCTAGGAAGATTTTAAGCAATTGCACATATGCATCTCTTCTTAGGCAGTTCAGAGAAAATGTTAGAATCATTCACCGTGAAAAACACAGTAAAGGTGTGTTGTTCCTCCAGGTCAATGCCCTTATTCACAAGTCTGTTGTTGCCATGGCTGCCATTAACGATTGTGGATTCGGAACTTATTGAACATCCACCTTTTTCGCCTGATTTCGCTCCATCAGACGTTCATCTATTTCCAAAATTGACAAAGGACATTTCCGGAACCCACTTTCGGCCAGATGATGACGTCATGCATGCAGTGGAGGACTCTCTTAACGGACAAGAAAATGACTTCTTTAAAGGTGAAATTTAGGCCCTCAAATAACGCTGGCAAAAGTGCATAGATACTGACTGATGGGGATTATGTTGAAAAATAATGCAATTTGTCCGCCAAAAGTCAAACCCTTAACTATGCTAACGGGTTTCTTCCATTGGTATTGTAAATAACAACGGTGTATTAGTTTGTGTATAGGTGTGTTGATATCATCATTTATTTTTTTTATTTATTGTCCGATGGATGATATTATCGGGGATATTTATTACTTTCGATAATGCAGGATATTATTGAAATTGAAATGATCAGAGGGACAATAACGTTTCATTGTTTAACTCACTAAGATAATCTGTTTCCTTATCAGCTCACTATGTAAACTAAAGGTATGACCCTAATAAAAGCTTCCACAACAGAAAGGGACTCAAACCATAGTGAAATGTATGTTTATGAACAATTAAATAATACGTAATAAATGTAAAGTACATCTCCATTAGATTAAGAGGCATGAAAGAAGTACAGATTTGTTTTCAAATTGTTACGTATAGATATACAATTAATCAATATTTTCTATATGTACAATCCAATGTGAATCATCACTGACGACACCCAGTTACCCTGACAATACATGCTATAGACAGGACTAAATCTTGGCCACATCCCTCGACGTTCTTGCAGTTTTTAAAATAGTGATAAATCTATATTAAGTAAAAATCTAACCAGTTATTAATATGCAGGTTTTTAACTTTTTATTTATAAAGTGTTTAACGTCCTATCAACATCTACGTTCATTGAAAGTGCGGAGTTGATACTGCACCACTGAATTATACTGCTGAAGGCCCAGAGCAGGACACTTCATCTGGAATATCTCCACCTGGAGGCAGAATCCAATGCCTTCTCCACAGAGGTGAACATTCAACTAATATTAAAAAAGTGTGGAAGTGTCGAGAGACCAATTTGTCAAAATAACTGTTCAGAAAGAAGAGAAGCGGTAAGATCTCAAAATATGTCATCTCTTTTGAATCACGCAATTTGACAACAGGTATAATTTTACCTTCAGGCCGTCTGGGTTGAATGTTAGTATACAGCTCACCAAGGTTAATCTATATGTGTCCCGTTCAAACACAAATTTAACTCACCGGTCAAACAGAAGACGTTTTATCATTAGGAACACCTGGACTTTTCAAAAGGGTCGTACGTATTAATATGTCTTTTAAGCATATCTTGTCCTGGTTTTATAATATTTTATGTTGTATGTAACTCGCAAATGTGTAATGTTATCTCATAATCTAATCCAAACGTCCACAATAGGCCATATTACCCAAGGTTATTAATTTACTAAATGGCAGTCACGTTTAAAAACAGGAAATTCTATGGCTGAAAATGTTCTTTTTTAAAGCACCATTGCTATTATATTGATATTACTCTTCATTGATTATTGTACTCAAAAACTGTGAAGCGGGTCATTCACCAGATAGGGATTCTGAAGTTTTGTTTCGATTGTTTCTTATCTAACGTTTGATTTTTTTTCACATTTAAATTCATTGAATGAAATCGTCTTTTTCTAATTTCCAATTATATGAACAGCTTTTTTGATAACAGCACTGGTACATACTGTATATTTTCAAACTGCTCTCAAACTGATACATTACAGCACAGTATCAACAAATGAAATACAGAATTCACATCTCATTTTCAATTTTATTAAACAATACATAAATGAGATAAGATACACATACCCGAAATCAATTATTATGATATGATATTATATGAGTTTTTATCGAAATGACATCCCCATGTTGAAAATATTGCCCCGTCTTATTTCTTCCGAGACACCGGATACTATTGTCTACAAGTTGACACCATGAAACAAAATGGAATTATTAAAATTTCACATATGTAAACTTCTATTAAAAATAAAATACAAATCAAGTATGCCAGACAAGCGATGTGTACTAGTAATTCTCTATTGTACAAACACCATTTTGTAATCCTCGAAATATCTATATCAATATTCTGTTATGATAAGATTGCATTCCTTTGATGTCTAATTGGCTAATTATATATATATATATTTACCACTTAGACATTGATAGAGAAGCACAATTAATGCCTACTTGATAATACATTCAGGAAAATAGTATATACTAATTTACAAAACATCCATATACTTAAAAACAGATTTTACGAAAACGACATCCGATGACACAGGTAGTATAAAATATATCATTACATCTATATCTTGATTCACAGAACGATTATTGCAAACAGTAACTTCTTTTTTCATCCATATACTTACATTTTAGAAAAACAAGCAGAAAATTCAAAAATAAGATTATAAATAATTAAAATGTCATTCAAATCTAATTATCATATTTCCTTTAATCTGTCCAATAGATGAAATTGTTGTTCAAAATCTTGTATGTCGAATTCTAACAGCAAAATATCTCAAAAAAGTTTTATTTGTACAAATCACTCGCCGCACTTTCATATCCTATTTCACTAAATATTTCTATAAATGACACAAGAAGTTAATTGTGATGTCGGTGATGGAAGTATCCTCACTTTAATTGTACGTTTAAAACTGAGGAATGATATACCCGATAAGATGGACGTGTTCGTACGAGGTGAGTACTCTCTTACCTTATGCTGAGACACAAAAATAATAATAAAAAGAAATTTGGTAAAATAACCTTATATTGTTTGTTTAGTCATGCTTTTTCCATTCCTAGCTCTGGATTTGGTATTACTTTATTTCCGACCATTAATTGTAATAAGCGTAAATCTTAGCAAATTCAACTTTGATATAATTTAGCTGACAGAGATGTAAGATTTCCTATTTCCTAATCGACATTCAGTTTCATTTGTCGATAATTGTTCACCTAATTCATTGTGTAATGTAATCAACCTTGATTTATGCGGTGAGTGTTTCTTATCCCGTGAAATTGTCATTTTGGGATGATTGTTATTTCGAGAAAATAAATTCCCAAATTAGCAAATAAATATTTGCTCACAAAAGGGAGAAAAAATTCATTTTTTCGTTTTTCTAACATCAGAAAACAACGGGCAATATAATCAAAACAACACGTTGCACTATCTCATATTATTGATGGACTCGACTATTCACAGACCGCGAACACAAAGAAGTTTGCAGACGCATTTGGGGTGTCGTTTCCAAGTATATTGATAATGACTAGTATCGAAATTGAAAGTAGACAGTAAAACATACATATGTGTTGACTGACACACAGTGCTTATTTTATTTTAAGTGTGGATTGTCTTAATCTTACTCAACTATCGTATCAATATGAATCACTCCATTACACTAAAATTATATTTACAAAACGACAGCATGATTAAATTTACAAGTTAGAAAATGAAATACTTAGTTCTGATCTAAAATGTTGAAATAAAATACAATGAAAAAACGAACACTCCAGGAAACACTCCATTAAAAAGTTTGTTAGGAAACCTATCAATTTTCACGGTAAATACAACCTTTTTCATTATCAGAAAATAATGTTTACAATTGAAATATGTCACTTTTGGACATAAAGTATTTTCACATGTAGATTCAGGTCGATTGAGACGATACAGTTTGTTAGGCGTCACATCTTTGCACGTAATGCCTTGCTCCAGTTTCACAAATAAATCTTGGATACGTTGTTATTCTTATGAGAATCATTACGAAAATGACGATAAGAATGTTACCGTTATTTCTTATGAATTGCCCAGCAATTTGAAACGAGGAAGTACTAATTTTCAAGACAGGAAGCAGAAAACCCTGTTGGAACAACTGGTCTTATTTTTCTTGCCCGTTTTAGCAAGATCTGTATAAAATTAAAAATGATTTCCCTGCCTCCTGTATTCGTTGAGTTAAGATTACCGTTTTAACTACCTGTCAGTGTTTTTGTTGTCCGTTTTGGAGACATGAAGTATTCATCGCATATTTTCTAATCAAGCGATGCCTCGCTCGTGAAGACGGCTTCTTAGTTATGCATCATGCGGCGTATAACCTGAAATAACCTTGCATAATCAATGTATTGCAATCTCCTTTTCATCTGCACTTGCGAGTTTCACTTTAAATGGATTGTGTCGTCAATATTCTTCCTCGAGAAAAGAGAAAATGGCCATATAATTTCTTAAAATACAAGTATAAATACATTTGTATATCTCAGTAACCTATGTCTCGTTTTTTCCCTTTGACAAATCCATCATTTAGTTTCTGTTTAATGCATTGCATTTTCAAGCAGAAACAAATGTTATTGACTTCAATTAATATTCATGTACTAACTATAATTTTGTATAATCTGTATAATCTACTGTGCAGTCTCTCTTGTCCATTAACATTACAAATACATGGCGATCTAAAAGGTCTCTTCAACGAGATTCACCAGATGATAGAGAATTAAAAGAGCCTTGGCGATGACCACCTTCGTAGTCTTGTAGCCAGTACGTCCGCACTTTTCCACGATAGACGTTCTTCAATTCACTTTCCAGCTGTTTTTAAAGAACAAAGTCAAATTCATAATATCATATGTGTAAAATATGGTGAAAAATGTATTTCAATGTGCGAGATATTCTTAAAATGTATTATATTTCTACATGATCAGCATTCTGAAATAAATATATTTCAATGTGTGAAATGTTGTCATAACGGATTAGATTTCCATGGGGGAACTATCTTGAAAAAACGTTGTATTTCCATGTGAGAAATATCGTTAAAAAGGTACAAATTCACCGCATGATATCATATATTAACATGATTTATAGTTAATGTTTTTACCGATATTTGTCTGCAAAAATCACATTTGAATTCAGTTGTTGTAATAACTATGACAATGATTTAGCTTGGAACATTTTCAGTGACGTCATTACATTCTGAGGTCATGGATGGGGATCGCGTCATATTTGACGTTTATAGCGCTGTTGTTGATTTTTATAACTTGATTTATAATTACCGATAACGTCAAAGTTAACATATGATTTAAAACCTTGTTCAATACATACCATCAGCGGGAGATCCTGTCTTTGTTCGATCAGAAAACCGCCCAACTCGCGCAGGAGGTCATGCATGGTCTCGCTTATATGAATTTTATTTGCTGGAATTTAAAAAAAAGAGCGATTCCTATACATACAGCATAAGCACCAGCACCAGCACCATTATTTCAGTAGACTACAAATAAATTGCATCATGTCTAAAGTACTGGCAAGCGATAGAACACTGACCACTGAATCTCTAGAACTATGTTGTGGATATTCAGCTCTAAAGAAATAATTTGTAGATGTGCCATTGGATAGGTACATATATATATATAATTGTTGTAAAGTTCATGTAAAAAAACGATTTAAGACATTTTTAGTAACCTTTTCCCAGCGATTCCATCATGGACGCTATACTGACGGTAACTCCAAACAAACAGTAGCGAGGCATCTTGGTACCAACAACAGCAGCCACAACTGGACCTAGACGACAGATGACACTTGTTATTTGATTCATGGGACCTAGTGTTAAGCTGTTGCTCACTATGGAATACCTTAAGAGTTTGGCATGTTTATTATTCAATTAAATACATCTCGAAAAAATATTTTGAATTTTTATTTGAAGTCAAACGCGAATGTTTAAATTCTAAAAAGACATTCAGCAAGATGTAAACAGATACCAAACAAGTAAAAGATTTTCCCACCCGAGTGACAACCGATCCTCAGTTTGAATTTCGTCCCAGGCAGGTGAGGGATTTCTAGACGATCAATGTGTTCCAGAATATCTAAGGCCATAGTAGCTACCTCAGCAGCATGTCGACGTCCATTCAGTTTCGGCACACCTGGAGTGAAAATTGATTTTATTTATTATCATGAAATAGAGCCATTTACCCATGCAAGCCATCGTCCTTATTTCATCCACAAATTTGCGTAGACGGAATAAATATAATATCACCACAATAAGATCGAAAGGTAGTTTGACGGTGGATTGCATTTCTAAGGAAGCTGAGAAACGATCTTTGCTGCTATGGGTTTGTCCTTGAGCAAGGTATTTTACCCTAATTGATGTGAATGACATTTGACGTGCCTTCCATAATTATTCAACATACATTGTACAAAAAACAGACAGACAAACAAACAACTTATATCTATATGATATTAATTGCAATTATAAGTTTCACAGATGATGCTAAACGGTTGTAGGAAACTTCAAATAACAAAGGTATGACGAGCAGAAAAAATAATTCATAGCTTTAAAAAAGTTGAAAATAATTTCATAGCTTTAAAATAAATTGACATCAAAATATTTTGCCTTTGCCTCCCAAAACTCATAAACCCTGAAGCAAAATCTAGCGAACACCACCAGAACATTCTGATATACAATGATGGATTTACGAACCAGATACCACCATGTAGGCGTCACCGATGGTCTCAACTTTGTATACATCAAACATTTCCAATCGTTCGTCAAAGCACAAATACAGGCTATTCAACATGTCAACCACCTGCATAGGAGAGCACTGCGAAGCAATTTGTGTGAACCCTACAATGTCGCTGAATAAAACAGTAGCATCCGGGTAATTTTCGGCACCAACTTCTTCGTCTCGTTTCAGGCGTTCTGCAACGGAGCGCGGCAACATCTGGTATAACAGAGTGTCTGTTCGCTTCTTCTCCTTGTTTAGCGCCTTTGTACTAAATAATACAGATGTATAGTCATAATTATATATAACACAAACGAAAAAACAATATTTACAAGTACCTGTATTCTTCATAAACTTAATATATAAATTATTCAACTGTCACGTACGTATTGCAATTACGTGTAAGTTAATTTCTTTTTGGCATGAGTCTAAAAGGTGCTTTTCAATTGTGTGTCTTTTGTACAATATTTTTCTCCAGACAACCGCTTTGCCAGGATAAAAAAGTTCTAGAGCTGATAAATGTGTGAAATAGATACAACTTTGAAACGTATTGTTAAATTATAGTGCGCCAAAATCATTTTTTGGGAAAAATGTTAACAGTGAAAACGGCTAAATACAATGCAAATAAATCCTTTGATTCTTTATAAATACAATAAATGTTTCCGAAGAATAGGAAAGGGGCTAACATAGTCATGCTATATTGGAATATCGAAATGTTGAAATTAAAAAGATGTTTTCGTTCTTTTTTTTTTTTTTTTTTTTCTGTAAGAGGGCAGCCATAGTAATTCGACATTAAAAATACGAAAACAAAAGATACCAAATTCAAATAACAGAAAATAATGTTAGTCCGTGTATAAAACAAAACATAATATATAAACATTTTCAGATTAAGTTTATGAACCAAAACTGCTTTTATATTAAGACCGAAACACTTTCCCGCTCTAAATATAGCCACGATATCAAGGTTAGAAAGCAAATCTTCCAACGTCACCACTGTTTTTTTATTTCGGTGTACTCATTTTGGTTACATACGAAGATTCATGGTTTGCTTTTAATTGTAGATATTTCGTCCAAATTAAGACTTTCGATAAAAACATTAAGAAACATGTTATGATGTCTTTACTCAAATGACGGACAATACGTCTCTTAAAGTGACGGAAACTGTCTATTTTTCATCTTACAAGCGCGCGCGGGTCATTACTTCGGGACGAAACCGGAGTAAGAGGGAACAACCCACGTAGTCAGACAGGTGACCCAATGCCTTTTCGCGTCCGTTCTGTTACCTCTGAAGTATCGAGGATTATAACATAACGAATGATTCTGTAGGTAGCCATTTATGTTGTTTTACAAATAACTTTTATGGAAACTATGCGTATTGCATTCATGTTAATTGGAAACTACATTCCGTTGTATTTTCATACTTTAATCTAAATCTCATTGGTTAATGTAACAATACTTAGATGATGTTTTCTTTCCGTATGAAAATTAATATGTTTGTCAATATAAGGCTAATAAACAACAGACATGAACAGAAATTAGTTCAAAATATATGGACTAGATGTAATTCCAAAGTAGCAATATTGAAAAGATAACTCTTACCGATTAGCGATGGATATGGAATATTTCTGGATCTCAGACGTCAGGGAATACACAGCGAACACGATGAGAGGGCAAAGGATAAGGATGATCCCAAATACTACAGAAATGAATACTACATTCCTCAAATCTTCCTCTGCTTCCATTCGCAAAATTTCATCAATTTCCGACGCGAGCCTGATTTGCACCTCACGAAGAGTATCTTGGTAAACCGTCATGTTTTCAAACCACCAGTTTGCATATTTGAAGGAACCCTTCACTGCAGAACTTCGATTACTTCTTATCTCACTTCTCATTTCATTGATAGGCTGGATAACGCTTGAATTCCGTAGCAGAGTGTCTTCGTATATACTGTAGGCTAACTCCGAATATCGTCTTGCAGATTCAAACGTAATATTTGCAATATCCTGACTTTCCACAAAGTCGAGATACTCATCTCGAGTCATAAAACCACCTATAGCATAAAACGATACTCCTAAGCCTCGCTCTCGTCCGAAGTATTCACTCGCAACTACAATTTCTTGATACGCAACAAGTGTTGGCCATACTGTTCCTGATCGTGCTTCCACGATTGCCTGGTACAACCATTTGATGAAGACCTCGATACTATCGGAATAGAAGGCTACTTCGTCTTTTGATGTACGGTTGTACGATTCCAGCTGATATCGGTGTCGGTTGAGATACGACAGAAAACTTTCCTTTGTCTGAAACTCTCTTCGGACAATCATGTCACTGGTAGGCCAGAATGACAGATTCTGGAGCCCAACATCTGTATCAGGATAACGGTCCAGTAAAAAATCTTTGGTCTGAGGACTTTTACTACTGATATACAAGGCGCTAATATCACGTTCTCTCTGCATCATACGTAACAGCCATCCTAACTCAATGCTAAAGTAGAGGATATTCCGAATGTTTGACAAACTGATGTAATTGTCAAGGGAAACAATAAATGTATTGGCAGTCATTCCAGTAAGCACAACTACAGGAACTAGAACTACAGTCAACATTTTGAACATGTGTAACCTTTTCCCGGCGTCAGTGATGGGATTCCCTGTTGTAAAAATCAAGAGAACAACATTGTTATATATTTGTCGAAATACAACTGTCTCGCAAATCCAAGCTGACATAAACTACAAAAGACAAATGAAAATCCCTATGATGTTAAATACCAGATCTGATATCGTTTTGAAATCGTACAATACGTACCCCGACATATGATCTCGCATCTCTTCCAGTTTTTGTCGACGTGCAACATGTCCATAATGACCGCGTTTAACTGGGATTCATTTAGAGATTCCGTGGAGGACGAATGCTTTTTCATCGTGGAAGGTTGGGCTGGCTTTATTCTGTTGTTTGCCATAATGCTATACCTGTACGAAAAAAAAGAACACATGGCTTATACGAAACATTGTGATATACTCTCTTATATACTGGAATGAAAACCTCTGTGACCTTGATGTACTTATCTCGTAGCTGGCTTATTATATAACTCATTTGAGCAGTGAAATGTTTCAAGATATACAAATGCACGTAGCTTTGTTTGTTTAATTGTCGTTTTTTAGTGAAAATGATCGGAATGATGTGTCTCCTAATCCGCATTTTCCCTCATTCTCCTCAAAGGATATGAAAGGTTGATCTTTAGCATCACTGGACATTCTAAGCTGCTATATGTATCACGTTCTACCCAAAGAACAATCAAGATATTACCTGGAAACTATTGACTCAAGAACAGACTAATGCAATATGGAAAGGTTGATAGATATGATGTGCAAACGCTTCAGATCGTCTTGTATGAGTCTCTATCAACCAATCTTTACTAAGTACAATACAGTGTATTGAAATTTGTGTAACACACTTTGACATCATTCATTTCATGTTCTAACTATGTGCACGAAAGAATATTGAATGGAGAGATTGCCAGGAACAGAATGGAGACTGAGAAAATATTGTTTATTTGATAACACGTTTGGCTCATATCTGTCATGTACTCAGATGCCTTGCTATTCTAAAATTATTTTCATTAAACTTTTGTTTCATTTCAGTAAAGTACCCACATTCCTGTGAAAAGTTAGAGCATTAGCCGATTGTCCACTATGTGTTACACTATTAACGGATATCTCGGTGTCTAATTGGACGACTAGACTGTAAATTCAAATAGGAAAGGCAAGCACACCTCTGTATAATAGTTATGTTTGAATTCTGAAAATATTTCCACGAGGTGATAATTGATTGTATGTCACTGAAATCGATAATCCTTCCTCATTTACATATTTCGACATTTTATTATGACATCGTTGACAAAAATCCTGAAACAAGTAATTTGACGGAGACTGATCATGCCTAACGGTACACATCAGAACCAGAAATTCATTCTAAACTGAAACGACGTCTTTGTAAATTGGCATGCCAATAGTCACTAATTGAGCCATATTGTTTCCTGATATATTCTTTCTTTCATACCAGACTGACTTTATCTCGGAGCATATCACAATAGGTCATAACGACGTTGCAAATTCGATTAACCTCACTTTCAGATATATTCTTTAGATAACAAGAATTGTTTTGGCCACGTCCATCGTATGTACCCACTGTCGTTACAGTCTTCTCATTGAGCAATATTTTGTTCCTTTCCACAATCTGAAGTTGGACGTGTTTGATACTTGTAGTTTGTTTGTTGGTTCCGTTAATGTCTACCTTGTTGCCAAGTTAGAATGTAACATTACCTAGTTGGATTGTCCAAGAATTACATGGCGGGTGTCGTCGATGAAACAGAAAAGGCTTACTTCAGGTCTTATCCTCCAGGTACTGTTTCATGTGTCTCTGTGTATTGTCTGTTAGTAATAGTTTGCCCTAGTTTTATTGAAGTAGAGTTTGGATTATGATTATGTATACATGTTTTAGTATTTTGTTGCTGTTTTTGTGTTTTTTGTAATTTTTCAGTTAACAAGAAATACAACGTTTGACTTTCGTTGGACATGGCAATTCTTCAGAAGAGAAAACAAAATATGACAGCAATTGACAAACATCTATACAAGCGACATGATACAAGCGACTATCATTAACTGTTATCTGTTGCTATGGCGCCGCTACAAAACAGATAGAACGCTGTCATATACATGTGTTGTATTGACCAATCAGTTTGATCAAAGATTAGCATAAACTCTATGAGCAACATATTTTATTATGAAATACAAAAGACAAACATTTAACTATGTAAAATGTTCATATAGATTAATCATTATCAAAATAAACATCTTCAAGAGAAACAAGTCAATCATAAATTTGTGATTAAAAAAGGAAACATATATCTTAGCAAGGAAAGTAACCTGATTGAAATGTTAGAAAATTAAAATTTTGTATTATTCATCTTAATGTCACGGAAACGTTTATCATAATGTTCTGTCGATTTTCATCTAACATTTCCGATGTACTAGATAAGTATTTCGTTTATTGCTATTGGAGAATCCTGCTTTTGCGTCTTAGACATTAATACCGCTCAATTATTTCGCAATACGATACAGAGTCCATTACTGACCCTCGCTGTATCCTAATAGTTCCATTCTATTAATCATATCATTTCACACAAAAACATATTCTAATTTGAATCGTTATGAAACTACAATATCACATAAAACTTACTTTTTAGGTACAGACAGCCGAACTCTCTTGCGTCTATACAAGAGCAGGGATATTTTTCTGTTAAACAGACACTCCTTTTACCAAGTTTCTTTTATACGTGTGGAGTTACCATGGAAATAGAACTAACGCGCAAACCCCACTGGAACAAACTGTGAAATTGAATACTAAGAACTCTGTACTTGTGAACAAAATGTCGATATCTCTAGAACATGTGGTAGTGGTTATGACATTTCAAATACACCAATGTCAATAATACAATTTTTTCCTTATGATAGTCTCTTGAACAGGCCAGACTTACAAACAACTTCTTAGCATTTAACTTTGTGTTTTGAGGTTTTTTCTTTTTTTCTTTTATCTAAGGTAAGTAAATATTTAGTGATATTAAACTTTTCATCGATATCAGCATAATAATTGTCAGTAATGGAACTTTGTACACATGACATCATGGCATCAAGGCAACATGAACCTGATGCGAAAAAATAGATTTTAAATCGTTGTCAAATCCTTCCACTAGCAATACTGCCGGTATCTAAATTTTACCAAAAAAAAAAAAATGATAATAATAAATTAATTAAAACCCTTCTGATCAGTTCTTAACCCGTTGTTTTCTCTAAACAAAATTCCATTTGTTCTGAAAATAATAATAAATTATTTAATTATCGGGCACCTCCAATATAGATTTTCATGTACTAAATTCTTTATTCCCGTTGTCGGCTTCCAGGTTTCAAAATTTTGACCTTTGTTCTGATAAGTATCAAAATCATGAAATAGCTGTATGATGTACGTTGTAGTTTAATTCATTAATTGACTCTATTGTATATCATTCTAAATTTGTATTAATAAGTGCTATTCTCTTTTGCCTATTGCACAATTTTAGAGGGTAATAGATTAAAATTAATTCTGATTGTGAAACTACACATTCATAAGAATTTTGTATTGATTTAGTAATCTAATCTTTAGATAAATTTTCCATGAATGGAATTCCACTGAGTTTTTTTTTTTTTTATTTCTTTATATTGATTTTCGAGAATTAAACAATAGCGTTATCAGTGTTTTATATTGGAAACAATTAGATTTGCATGTTATTGGTCTCTAGGTAACACGAAAGATAACGCTATCGATTGGCAGGTTCTGAGGCCGTTAAATAATGTACTTGTTCAGTAGTATTCAAAATGAATTCGTCAGTCACATCTACATTTGAACTGTGTTAGACTTTCTATAACTATAAGCTCTTACTGTACTAGCCATTCTAATGGTCTTATATTTATTATTAGAAAAAAGATTGTTGAACGGTGACACCGGAGACAGAGTACCCATTAATGATTTTTATTTCCTTCATAACGTTCCTGTAAGATATAAGCCTAGTTAACCTGGTGCTAACCCAATCAATTTATGAGCACACATGCGTTATTCAGCAATTCAAAGGTCTCAGGAACGAACCTTTAAATATGCTTCTTCTTCGGTATTATTTCCGGAATCGGAAAATATAGAGTCGGTTCTGTACATTACATATGATAAAACTGGCCGTTCGCTAAGAATACAACCCAGAAATGCCATCCAATGTCATCAAAAACGGTGATATCATGTCATTTTGTAACATGACGACCAAAAATTATATAGCGCTTACGGCTTCAGTTTTGTAATTCTCGTAGGAACCTCGAAGAATATCATAATGTTTATTTTTTAATATCAATGCATACATAACGGTGTCAGGTGTAATAATTGACCGGTGAAAATGTGCCCGGCCTCGTTAATTTTAATAATGCACCCGTTCTCTTTCCTCCATGAATACCTATTATAGTATGTTCAAAACCAAGTTGGCGGATATGCAAAATAAGTGAGCGAGCTTAATATGCCGTATGTAAAACAGGATATATCCAATACCCAAAGAAATAACCTTGGAATGGGAGAACGAAAGGCCTTGCAGACCTTAAAACAGAACAACAGTATTGTGATCAAATGATCAAAACCAGCTGACAAAGGCATCACAGTGGTTGTCATCAACAGAGAATATTAACTTAAGGAAGCCAATCACCAGTTGTCAAACGAAATATTGAGGCAACTAGTGTAGCATCACACATTCAACTCTAGTCAGGAAGTCAAAATTCTAATTTTAAAGGAGCGAGTTTTCCTTGGACGAATTGATGAATCTGGGACCTATATTCAAAATAATATTATCTCTAAATATAATTTGTGCATATGACTGGTGATTTTTATCAAAATACTTTATATTATAACTACCCATTAATTTTTTTTACAATAAATCATATGTCTTTTTTTAATTAAACGATTCCTTACTTAGAGTGTAGCCGTGACTAGCAATTGTTTTCGTTGGGATCACATATGCAAGTACTCTCAGTGTCTACAGTGCAAAATATACCGAGAGTTAGATCAAACGTTTTGTTAGTTTAATAACTATCTTCCGTACAACAACTTGGGATTTGTTTGTCCCTTATGAAGGGCCCACGACATCTAAATTTACACTACTGCTCTCGATTTGGCTTTATAACTTTGTGTTTGTTTTATGTTCTATGCCTAGAAAATTTGACGGTTCACTTGTCCGGACTGTCGTTATTACTTCGTTGATCATATATCTATTTCAGTAATAGGCATCCAACGAACATTTTTTATTAGGATCCAGTACCAATATTGATCCATACCGTTGATATTACTTACCAGATTATATATATATTTGGTAGTGAAGATGTAAAATGACTCCAA